CTTTGAGCACTGGTTATAAGCGAGGTGGATGAAGTTTTTTAGGTTCAAACTCCAGAAATCCTCCAAACAGCCATACGAATCATTCCTGATCAATTTTATTATTCTGATCTATCGGGAACTGATTTACGAGCTCATTTCTTTTCAGCCCCATAATTCCCTTCCCCAAAATCCTCGGCAAAAAGATCCAAAATACGAATGTCAGGAAATTCAAATACCATAACCTGAGTGAATAGGAATGAAATATCTCATCAATAGTGCTGGGTACTAGTGAGGGTTCTTATCAGCCGTAATAGAATCCGCGAAGAAGCAGCCCTTGTTATTCTAGCAAACATCTGTCGATCCGTGCGTCGCATCCGTACCTCGTGGCAATGTTCGGTTGCAGGTTCTGGCAGGACAAGGGGGGACGAGTGGGAACCAGTGGAAATTTTGGATCGGAGACACCGGCAAGGCTACGGAGTATGTGCATTGTACATTGTAGGAGGGACGGAGTTAACGTCGTAACCAACATGCCGGCTGAGATTTTAGGGATGAAACCTTAGGTAATCATCATGCAATACACCATATCAAGTTATGTATGGAGTATGTTCGAACGTACTGTACAGGACAGGAATTCAAGTATTGGGAGGGCTATCTCAATACTACTCCTACTACTACTACTACCACTACTAGTAAAAGGATAAGTCCAGGTTTCAGAACTTAGTTTATGGCTAGTGATACATTCGAGAAGGAGGAGGGGGAAACAAAGTGCCGACAGGGTAATACGTAGGTATTTACTTACAAGGTAGATAGTAGTAGCTGCATACTCCATACCTACAAGGCAGTTAGCGACCGAGTTGAGGCTAAGGAATCGTCCAAGGGTGGAACACTTTAATTTTTAATTTTTTTTTTTTTTGAAAGTCCCAAGAGAGTTAAGGTCACACAATAGGTAAGCAAGCTGTATTTGTGAATGGCTTTCTTGTTCGAGTGGATTTGGGGACAGCCACTCACATGTTTAATTTTGACTTTCACGTTATTTGATATTATTAATCTTGAAAATTATTATTCTTCTTTTAACCTTTTTTTTTTTTTTCTTTTTTTTTGTTTTCCCTCCCGATGTTGAAGTAAAATTCTCTTTGAATGGCGAAGATGGTGCCTCGCTGGTACTAAAGGTAACAATGGGTTGTTATCCGCCGAGGCTAATGACACACTAACTTTTGCTAAGAACGGAGATGCTGCGGATACTAAGAATTAACGGACGACACATGCCACGCGCATCTCCTGCTGCTGGAGATCTAGCATTTGCATTCTTGGTTCTAGTGCCAGGGCCACCCAACTCCAGAACCGAACTAACGAACTAACCAAAAGTCCACTGCAGGACGATGACTCCAAAAGTACCTAAATGGACTTAGTTATCTTACCCGGGCGCTGTGAAAATGGGTCCCCCTCGTCCACTCCTTCTTGTCTCTTGCTCCGATCGGAATTGATTGAATATAACTAACAGATTGCGCGACATTACCACGGATACTACTCGTTCCCTACTGACATTGCTCTTGGGTGTTCTCTTCCTTCCTCTCCCACCCACCCCCACCCCACTTGTGTCCCTTCTTCCCGCTCCCTGAATCGATTTCTGTGGCACGGCAGCGATGTACCACTTGTGGCTATTAATCTTACTATATTGATACCCGGAGCCTTTTTTCTCTTTACTCTCCCCCTCTCTCCTCGTTGTCGCTTACCTACTGCTACTAACGTCCTCATCTTATCTCAACGCCTCTTAAGAGTTGTTGACGCAATCAAAATCCCGCTTTGAGAGCGGTCGATCAACCACTACTGAATAGCACATTCCTTTGCGCTTTTTTGACGTTCCCCATTTGGTTTCGGCAGACGTCGCATGGGCTCGTACCTCAACTCCTATCTTCGCAAACCTCCACAATTGAGCCTCCGGTTTGCCATCATAACTCAATTTTGACTGGGACTGAACTTTCTAGTGGCAACAATTCGCAGGATCCTCCTATATTCCAGAATATCTTTTTCGATTTTGCGCTTGGAGTTGGTCGTTTCCGTCATTGGGTAGCTGTGCTGCCTCTGGGATTCTCTCTCTAATTCATCCGGGGGTCATCTACTGTCGGATAGCCTGGCTGTGGTTTTCAACATTATCACATTTGTCGAGCGGTTCTACAATCGCCTGGACTTCAACCGGCAGCTCATTCTGCCGTGACATCAGGGTACTGTGTCGTACGAACGGAACGCCAGAATCCACCTCTCGAGTAACTGTTCCAGCTGGAGTTCTGACTTTCGCCCATTTGATCGCAAACAGAGGCACTCCCGTGTTTTCTTTTTGCACTTGTTTCGCTATTTAATTCCACCATCTTAAAAATAATAGTATTTCTACAACAAATCGGTTAGTTGCTCTCCCAGCGAAGATAGCCTGCCCACTCGTATTCTGTGTTGGTGGTCGTCGCATGTCTTAAAGGTCACCTTTTGAGTGGTCATGAGCATTTGTCAGGCGTGTCCCCTGATTCACCTGCTGCCATTGGACTTCGCCCGTTCTCCTCCCACGTGTACACCAATGCTCAAGTTCTTAAACTAATTGCCGCCTTCAGAGGTCGTGAAAAAAGGTTCTCCTATAAGTGACAGAAAATCATAGACAACATGGGTTGTATGAGCTCAAAGCCCGTTGACGCAACGGACAAGGATGCTTTACAACGAAATGCTCGGATAGACAAGGTCCTGAAAAATGACAAAAAGGTTATGGATAGGACCATCAAAATTCTCCTTCTCGGTAAGTTTCTGGACAAATCTATTTCAGGGATTTGTATTAACAGACCTTAAGGTGCTGGCGAATCAGGGAAATCAACAATCATAAAACAAATGCGCATCATCCATTCCGGGGGGTTTCCTGACGATGAACGCCGTCAAACGCGTGCAGTAATCTATTCCAATGTTGTCATTGCGTTCAAGGTTTTGCTAGATATCATGCGCACGGAAAGCATCGAGTTTGAGCAAGAGAAGACAAAGGTAAATAAGAATCGGAGTCCGCCATTGTTCTACATCTCTCTCATTTGCATCCTGCTTGAAGCATCGACTAATCTTTAATACCAATCTACAGCCACTTGCGGATTATGTAGATAGTTTGGAGTCTGACGTGGGCTCAGATGAAGCATTCTCCGACCTCAAGGTTCGCGACGCCATGAGGGACATGTGGAACGACGCAGGGGTGCAAAAGGCTGTCGCTAGAGGGCATGAATTTGCTCTGCACGATAACCTGCATTAGTGAGTACCGATTTTGTACCAATAAAACAGAGACGGTTATTGACCTTATAGCTTCTTTGATTCACTTGACCGGATATTCGCGCCTGGCTGGCTCCCCGACAATCAGGACATGCTCCAAGCGCGTTTACGAACCACAGGAATTACAGAAACTCTATTTGAACTTGGCCAAATGAACTTCCGAATGATGGATGTTGGTGGCCAACGATCTGAGCGGAAGAAGTGGATCCATTGTTTTGAGGGTGTGCAGTGTCTTCTCTTCATGGTTGCCTTATCAGGTTACGACCAGTGCTTAGTAGAGGACCAGAACGCTGTAAGAATCCTGCGCTCCTTCCGGATTTGACACATCTATCTAACGCTATTTTCTTGTGAACAGAACCAAATGCACGAGGCCATGATGCTGTTCGAGTCATTGGTTAACGGAGAATGGTTCAAGCGCAAGCCTATCATTCTTTTCCTGAACAAGATCGACCTCTTCAAGGGCAAACTAAGTGTCTCCCCTGTGTCTAGACACTTTCCGGATTTCAACGGCTCGAGTACGGACTTTGATGCTGCGGCAAGATATTTCGCTGACAGGTTCCGCGGCATCAATCGCATTCCCGACCGAGAGATTTACATCCATTACACCAATGCGACTGATACAACACTGCTGAAAGCAACCATGGATTCGGTCCAGGACATGATCATCCAGAAGAATCTGCACACTCTTATCTTATGATAATCAATGTTTTATCAGAAACGATTGGCTTCCACGATGATATCCGCAAGCCTGAGGCTGTTCTATTCATTCAGCATTTCACGTTGCATTTTCCGAGCGTTTTCCTTTTCTACGAGACTGGCCCTCATCCTTAGCCTTGAATTATTCTTTTCACGCTTATTACCCTTTTCTTTTCTTTATACATGCATCGAGGAAGTGGTCTGGGTCGACTCTGTGCTACAGTTCTACTGCAACCCTGCATGAAAAGCTTACACTACTACATGGTGCCTCATTTTATTCGGTTCAGCGACGAGTTTCTTTCTTACTACGCCCTGCGGATTGATACCATTCTATTCTTCTATTCTCTCTTCTGTCGTCATTCATTATGCCTGGCAGTTTCCATGGCTACTTGCCCTTTCTGTCCTTTTCATACTGTAATACATTGTGGCAAAGGCTTCGGCATTTTGTTTTCATAATATCTAGTTTCAATCTTACGATTATTGACAATCTAGTCTGGGTTGAAGTGTCTGTGGGTGAGGGTTTCTGGCTTCCTGGTGTTAATTGGGCCTGGTACGTTGTCTTTAAAAAGAATAGAAACAGATTTCTGTTTGAAATGCAGCTGTACAGGCAAGAGTTTTCTTTTTTCCCTCTTGTTGGTAATTACTTTCACTTGTCCTGGATGAAAGGAGGTTGTTTTGGAATAATTTCCGGGCTATGAGCAATATCTTGTTAATTAGGTTGTATGAATACAGCGAAGCCTTCCACGGCATCTCAAGGCGTATCACCCTATAAATGTACACATTCTACCTTTGAAAACTGATGCTTTGTCAGTTTATTATCGACATTATTACGAAGTAAACTCTTGAATAGGTGGAATGATCATCATATCACATGATCGATGCGCTATTCATGCCTCAGGTGTCTAATGCGGAACGAGCTTTACCGGATTAGGCTTCCGCCTGATCGGCTCAACTTCGAATTCGCCTCAGACAACTTCTAACCGGCGTTGTTCCCGACATACTCGTCACCCAGTTTCTGGGCTATTCGACGTCGGAAAATGCTGTCCTCTTCGTTACGCCGGGCTGCATGGGCTCCTATTGCTCCCATCACCGGCATTGCTCGCTCGTCCAGTCAAGCTCTTCCAGCTTCCTCTAATACACTCTTAGGCGCGGCACAGCATGTCCGTCAACGCCGTTACTCCTCATCTTCTTCTTCGAAGCCCAGCGACGGTTCCAGAAAAGTCGACGCTTCTTCTCAGACCCCCGCAAAGGGCGTGAATGCAAGCGAAAAGCGCGAGGGTAAGGCATCCAGGCGAAGGGGAAAAGATAGCAGTGGCCGGAATGGTTCCAAGTCGAACCAGCATACGGTCTTCTCAAGACTGCCTAGCGTTCCCTCCACCCAACACCTTCAACCCCATGGTGAGTAGAGATAGCACCAAGGAGGCGGATAAGGTTCTTAGATTGTCTCTTGACTAACTTTTCCCTCGCGGAGCAGATGTTCATGTAGCTTCATTCTTTTCTATCCACCGACCTATCTCCGTTTCGACCACTGTTCCTCCTCCTTCTAGCCCTGAAGCATTTGATGCCATATTCACCGCGAAGAAACCCACGAAACATGAATCGAATGATGTGATTCTCACTCTATCTTCTACCGTCAACTCTATGGAGAATCCTGCCTATCATCTAGGCGAACAAGAGGGCTCTCTGAACCACTTCGATATGGAGGGTAACCAGCTCGACGGAATGAACATGGCAGAGCTGAAGGTTTCCGTGGAGGAGCTCACAAGGCGACTTCGTCCATTCCACCCCCCGCCGCCACCGGTTCCCTTCGATGAAGCGAAAGATGCCGGTGCTGTGGAGTCGGAAAACTTCTCTCCCCGCGAAACCAGTTACTCCACCGTTTTGACCATCCACGAGTCCACACATGCGGACGGTCGCAAGACGTACGAAGCCCATACGGGTCCTTTCGTTCGCACTCCTGATATGGACGCTCCTGGCGCCGGTGAGAATGAAGCCATCATCGACGGACCCTCCCAGCCCGGAACCACCTATATTGAGCGCCTGCGCAATAACCGTACCATGCAAGCGATCAGCACCAAGAGACGGCGTAAGCTGAAGATGAAGAAGCACAAGTACAAGAAGCTTTTGCGGAACACGAGAACCTTGCGTCGCAAGCTTGACAAGGCTTAATCGGGATCTCCCTATTCTCACCTCCATCCTCTTGCACTGCCCCCTTCCGATCACCTTCCCTCAAATCACGGCATTTTGGAGCTGCACATCGCCATCTTGTCGGACTTGAACCGGTTGGTGATTCCCTAAGTGCTTTTCTTCGTGTCCGTCCTTGTGGCTCCCACGGTATATTCATATTCTTGAATATTGCACGTTTCCTATGCATTGTCCACTCTATAGACAGTATCATTTACATAGCTATTTTTTATATCACTTTGTTTGATCGTTGAAGATGGACATATAGCTCTGTATTTTTAATGTGATTATTCGACGCAAAGCTCTGATTGCGCCCTGTACTACTAGACACCATGTAACTCAGTCAACGGTTACACCGATTACAGCATAAGAAAACAAATGTGTAGCAAATTTGTAGAACAATGAATATATTCCCAAACGCGGTACATGTAAAAATATGAAGTTAAGACAGCAGATGTTTACAATATCAGCATATCAGCCGCACGGACGCACGGGTTAGAAATGCACCAAAATCATAGTATGAGGTCTTTTGATTCCAAATAACAGATAACATCCCGAATCGAATCTTGAAAGCAAGTAGTAACTTGAACAGAAACAGCAAATAACAGCATAAACAGCATGTCAGCATTGCAATGTAAATGATCCAGTCCAGGACCACAGCGACTCCAAATAAAGTACAGGTACAGCGCAGGCTTCAGCCATGCAATGTATCTACCACGACCTCCCCACACATCATCCTACCATACAGCCTCGGCCTATATGTAAGAATATAATTCTTGACAATTGAAGATAAGCAAACGTTCCTTCCCTAACTCGATCGCCGTTTATCTTGGCTCTCGTGACAATATGAGAACGTTCTTGTTCAGGGGAGCAAGGCGTTTACCACGTCACGTTGACCAACCTAAACCAATGTACTCCGTTGCGCAAAGAGGATTATTAAAGAGATATCGCACAACGGATGTCAAAGATGACTTAGCACTTGGCATCGATCTTGGCCCGAGAGTTCATGAGAAGGGCAACGATGAGACCGTAAAGACCTGTTATATGCAGCGACAATCATTAGCAAACTGGAACAGGAGGCTAGGATATGCATTCATGAGGCAAAAACTCACCCAAAACTTCAGCGAAAATGAGGATAAGAATCATGCCGACGTAGAGCCTGGGTTGCTGGGCTGTTCCGCGGACACCAGCGTCACCGACAATACCGATGGCAAAACTATACACCATGCCATTAGTTCCGAGCTCTAGGAAAAGTAGACTGTATCCGATTCATCAAGTAGGAAGAGACATACCCGGCTGCCAAACCAGCCAGACCGACTGCGAGGCCTGCTCCCAGCTGAATGAATCCAGTGTATAGAGGGACTGTCTGTGCCAAGTCGTTCGCGATCAGGACGGACACAACCAGTCCGTAGATACCAATGATACCCGCCATGACAATGGGAACGATATCTAGAACCATCCATAGTTAGAATCTTTGACGCTTAACCGGTAGTCCTGTCGGAAGAGCTGAATGCGTGCTCCAACGTACTCTTAACGATCAGATCGGGCCTGAGGACGGCCATTCCACAAACACCGACACCGGCCTTAGCGGTTCCATAGGCGGCACCGAAGCAAGTGAAGACGATGGCCGAGGTACAACCCAGGGCACCGAAGAAGGGCTATTTCGATAAATAAAATCAGTCATGCTTTCTTCAGTGGGCAACACAGTACGTCAACCACTGGGGAAGCTGGCCATAGCGGTTTCGTAGCTAGCTGGAGCTTTCGCATGGTCGGCATCAAAAACTGGGAAGGTACTCACCGCATAGACAGGACTATACGGATATGAAGTTAGCAGAGGACAAACGACTACTTTGCACGCTGTATCATCGGAGAAGCATATGGCATAGCGACCGAATGACCCAGATAGGAGTCAACTAGGAGATTACGTACCAAAGTTCTGTGGCCATTTTGAAAGACTAGACCGGTCCGAAAGAGAAGGATTGATTAAGAAAAGTACAAAGAATGTTAGAGGAAGCTGTACACACAGGTGAGTGCCGCGTAGTCAACAGTTGCGGTGATGCGAAGGCTTCGGTTGTTGATGGGAGTTGAGGCGAACACCGTGGTTGCTGGTCGTTGCTCTTCGGGGAGGCTGACGGACCGCATGTGCTGCCACGTGACCTGCGGCTTGGCACCGCTCATCGGAGCATACTGGTTGCATTTATAGAAACTAACAAAACTGCTGTATGATAATGTCTACGGTTTCAATCGTATTTCTCACATTTGTTTCAGTGGCTATAAATGGGTGGCCTTTTGGCCCTTCGAGCTCTATGAGGCGACTAAGTGAACTCGACACCCCGGGATATCAAGTTTAGTACCAGACTCTACAATCTCTTGTTCCGGCCTGGTTGGAATGATTGGTTGCGAGTAGGTCATTGCTTTCTCCGATAAGGCACCAAAGTAGTTAGGCTTGACTCTTAAGTCCTTTTGTGGTGCACGATTTCCCGCTTGGTCCAAGGGCATTTCGTTATCATAAACGACACCGAATTGGTACGAGATCGCTCCCTCGCGTGAATCGGGCAGCTCCGGCCGGCTTTTTTGTGCATGGTCTGGCTCGACAGAAACATAAAATTGAATGTAGTCCCCAGCCCTAGCCACTTGTGACAAGGACGACAAGTCATCGACAATAGATAACCCCTCAAACGAAGGTGGCGCAGTCTGTGCCGTGCTCGCGCCAAAGGGAAAGAATATGTTATCCAGCGTTGTAAATTCATTTCTTCCGTAGGGTCCCAAGAAATTGGCCTCGTAATCAAGCGACAGGAGGCCCTGTTTCTTGCCCCACCCACCACCGCCGCTCATGACCCGGTGAAGTTTGCCTCCGGCCTGAACTGACCTCACAAGTCTGGTCTGAAAGCCATCAGATTCGATTTGCGGGTTGCATGAAGGAGACTCGACCAGAGCCCAGACGGAAACCCTACGGTCAGCGATATTGTGTTCTTCAATGTACCGTGGCAGCTCTTTCTCTAATTCAGACGAAGCAGGCACCGGGTCCTTCGATGTACCGTTTGGATGTTTTGCTAGTTGACGGAGGATGTTTCCCATGCTGGAGATAACCTCCCTTCGCTGGCCAATGGGATGTAAAGGAAGTGCCAATGAGTTGTGCACAGAACTTGCAGTAGAGGCTATTCGACAGCGCGAAAGCTCAATCGATCGATCGAAGGTAAAACTGGATGAAGAAGGATTATAGGACCAACGAGTCCCAAATAGAGTGTTTTCGTTGCCATTGATAAACAGTGTATTGGCGAGGCGCAGTCCGACCTCATGAACAGCTCGGCGGAGGGTCGTATCATCCGAGCTATGTGAAATTCCCGTCTGGAAGGAAAATACAAGAGCTGATTCCTCAGTTTCCGAGCTTCTAATACGTCGAGGCGCAGCGGCCCTCCCTTGTATGTTCGCCATCCTCGTAAATAGGAGGGAGATCCCCTCGGACTCTCCCACGGCGCCATTGTCGGTTATATCTTTGTGGACCGATGGAGTGTCGGGCAATTTATCGACGATTGCGACAATGGCATGTACGGGTTCGGGGGGGTCGGATGTCGGAGCCTTACGATAAAGTCGGTTGATGCATTGTTCGAAAAAGGAATTGGTTGTATCGGCCCATTGGGCAAGACTAGGGGTTAAGAGGAGAATAGGAATATAGTCGGGTCCTGCGAGCGATGGCGGTATAGAAGGAAGACTCGAAAGGACATCATCGGGGATCTCTTCGACGTTTAGCTAGTCGCACCCTCGTGCAACACGGGGGAGGCTTACAATCTCTTCGGGGGTCCTCGTTAACCAAGTGTGAGCAAGAAGAGGATCATCCGCGGCCGCTTTTATTTGTGTTGCAAAGCATCTCTGTGGAACACTGCGCTTCCGTAGATACGGGCTCAGCTTCTGCAATTGACGACGGCCAGACATCAGTTGAAAAGGGTGTGGTTTGATTGCTAGCCGTGCTGGGATGGCAGGCGGGACGGACCCGAGTATCACCGACATGGAATCATGGACGTTCGATAATTGCGCCCAGAATTGACTGATAAGGAAGACTGTTTTCTGATCTGAGGCGTGGGGAATATGTTCATGGAGGTTGAGGGAACCTTTTTTTTCTGGTTTCCTCCACGGACCGTCAGTGGGTTGCCAAGACCTGGAGTTCTAGACGGCAGTCGACGAACGAGCTTCCCCCTACGACTACTACGAATTACCCGCCGCCATTAAATCATGGTTTTACAGATCATGTAATTACCTTTCGGTTATGAACAAAGCACAAATTCAGCAAATTAATCTATGATTAAAGGAATAAGGAATTTAATGAAAGCCAAGCCACATCTTCTCTTGCCCGATACCAGTAGAGTCTTTCTACAGTAAGGTGTTGTCAAGATGAGGCTTGGTGGAGAATGCTGGCGCAGTTGAGGTTTGTTGATTTATTTTTGTTCCTTTTTTTTTTTTGAGTCTGATCTATGCTTTTTATTTGTAGAAAGTAAAAGCAGCTGGGTTATAAGCGCCGTTTGAAACGTTGGAGGTCTGTTAGCCTATCATTTTAGTGGTGTAATGCATCGTCCCCTTGTTTCCACTCTTTGTATCCGTATTATTGAAACTCATTGGCGTGGTGGTAAACTTGACACTCCCATGACGTATACAGTGTGTACATCATTATATAGAAGTGTAGAACCAACTTGGTTGGAGGCACAGCGACAGCACTGTGTAAGTAAATCCCGAGTGTCGTTCAGGATATGATATCAGTTGGCAAGAAATACCGGCGCTAGGTAATTGTAGCGGTGGAGGTCAAAGAACGTATACTAGCATTGCCATATAGCCTATATTGTATAACGATGTGCAGACAGTATTATAGTACTAAGCCTGTCTGGTAAGGCCATAGGGCTGTGCGGCCCACAGCTTGTTACGGAGTACACCCCCGTGCTCTATGGAGCCCTGACATCAGTCATGGTCGTCAGGATAACTCAGAACTAACAATAAATAAGGACCTGAACTTGAGGCGCTTTATTGAAAAACAAAAATAGAAACAACTGAATATATGATGACGATTTTTGTTTTTATTTTTCTTTTTTGCCTCTTTTGGGGGCATTTCCGGTGTATAGAGAAGAAACTGGTCAGCCTGGAACCGCCAAGCTTTTCCAGGCAACAGAATTCAAAGGGAAAATGGAGAGGGCGAAAAAAAAAAAGGATACTAGTCATGGTGACATAGCGGTTGGGCGACTAGAAAACCAATCGCCTTGCCTGTGATCGTATAATCAGGTAGTGCTGCCAAGGATAACAAGCCACCATGAACTGAAGGGACGCTCCATTCTGCAAATTTCACCCTTTTTCACAGATCCACTGTGTAGTATGTACATGGCTTCGTCGACGACGCAAAAGTCACCCGACAAGAAAGCTGGATCGGAGGGCTCGGCAGCGGGAAGTTCTTAATGCACATCATGGGTGATTCATCCAATGGGAAAAAGGATGAAGGAACCCTGAGCCACAGTTGACGGTGGAAGTATGACGTAGCTAATCAAAACCGATGAAGCATCACCTTCTCTTTATGGTCTTGACTAAGGGGAAATTACTACCTGGATCATCACCACCCGAAGAAGAAAGAAATCCATAGTACGTACTGAACCAATTAACCTAGTCGTCTACTAGGACCTAGTCAGTCACTTAGCCTAACCCGGTCCCAAGCCCCATCGGGAGTCCAGTAAAAATTAGTACTGCCTTGGGGCTTTTTTTCCTTTTTTTTTTCTGGGCGGACGTGCTCTCACGTTATCTTGCCGCCCATGATCTATTAAATCATTTAAAGAGCCCATCGCTTCTCTCCCGCCTTCCTCCTGAAATCTTCCCCATTCTCCCTACTACACTTTTACTACTATTATCACGGACCCAATTCGTGCTAATTTGACCACCGACCACTGTCGACCTTGCCTATAGAACCTACACGTTTCTCCTCGACCCCTCCTTCGTCACCATGCCTTTCACTGCTTCGTAAGTGAGCTCCTATCATCGGCACCACACTCTGTTGCCCACCTTTTCTCGGAGTCATTGCTTTCCTGATCCCATCGTTGCGCTTCATTCCTATATAAAGAGAACGGGGAACGACATTTGAGTAGGGGCTCAACTAACCAACCTGAATTTAGTGATATCTGCAAGATCCTTTTCGCGATCATTCTCCCTCCCTTGGGTGTTTTCCTTGAGCGAGGATGCGGTGCTGATCTCCTCATCAACATCTGTTTGACCATCCTCGGTTGGATCCCTGGTATCATTCACGCTCTGTACGTGTCTGCATTGCATTGAAACTGCATGTCATGGTTTACTAATCTGGTTCACAGCTACATTATATTCAAGTACTAGACAGCTCCCCACATCTCTGTCGCCATGCCTGTTTTGGTTCACAGCGCCCGGTCGAAAAAACTGCATCGTTTCGCGGTCAATAGCATGACATACCAACTTTTGAGATCGTACTCGCGACCATGATGTTGTCAGCACTGTTCCGCGGCGCTCCGGCCCAAGCCACCCTAATGCAACCCCACCACTTGGCAACCCCCGTGTATCCATTCTTCAACTGCGACGGCGCTAAGCGGTCTGGAACGCTGCTTGCTCGCTGCGATGGCGTTTTGGATTGTTCCGAATTCCCTTTATTCTCATGTTAATCCTGCTCTGTTTTTTTCTTCGCTTCGGATGATACCAGCTCATTTGCGATACTGGGCTTCTACTTTGCTCTGTTGTCAGTGAGATTAGTTTTAATGATTAATGGCAATTGATAAGACCTTTGATCTGTGACCGTGCTAATATCATCTTCCGTAAAGTCCGACAAGATTCTTGTCAGCGACCTTGGTATAAACCGCTTACGAACGAGGACTCCCATGCAAGGTGGTCTAAGAAGTGGATACCAATGCTATAGTATATCTTGTTATTGCTTTGTTCACGTACCGAATACCCACCAAGTGATACGCAGATCGCACTCCACAGGAATCTAACGTAAATTGTTATCGCACCCTCTCGCTGGAAACATCGCAAGTGTGGCGCTTGGGAAGTGTTATCGAATTTTTGCTATTTTGAATGAATCTACAACCAAGTGGGACAGCAAAGTGTTTTTGAGACAAACCTGGTCAGGCCTCAGTTCAGTCATCCCATCCGAATATATTCGCGTATTAAACGCATTTCTAGGTTCCAAATGAAAAAGGGATCGAAAAAGGAAAGGGAAAACGTCTGAGAACCAATATATCAGACTATCTGACCTAGTCAATACTGCCATTGGAGCTTGTATTTGGTCGCTTTCAGATACAGAATCATAGGCCACGATGCTTTTGTAAGTAGCATACGCCAATTGTGTGTACTCTACAAGAGCATACCCACCTAAAACCAGGGATACCATACCGAGTTAAGCTTCCGGCGTCGAAGACCAACTCGTTCGAAGCTAGGGTTAGCTTAGCCAGTAGGTTATCTCCAAATCAGACCCATTCAGAGTAATCAAGGCGAGACAGGCTACGCAGAACGACCTCCAGCATCCTTGAAGATCAGTTAGCGGAAATGATGGCATGGTGTGGATGCTCCGCCCCATAGGTAAGTCCAGCATGAGAGAGATGCGACTATGGCATGGTCTAATCCTCGGTTGGAAGAAGTAGCCAGAGTCATAGATCACTTTAGAGTGTAGCCTTACGATAAGGAGGTATGATCAGAGCCCCAGGCCGACTCAGAAGGGTTCAAATAAGCTTTAGCTCCCATACCCCGGGCTTATGTGGGTATTGCCCAATCAGGAAGTCGAAGGATTCTTCAGGTACGACCCTATGAGATGACGTAAAACTCCATACAAGCGCCTCGCTGTGTGTAGAACAGTTCTACTCTTACGTGTGAAAGGATTTCTTCACTTATGCCGTATGGGAAGGCTCCTATCACGGTGTATGTCGTTGCAAACTATGCTAATGCTCTACGGGTATGTACAGCCCATGCCACCGGGCCATTACGACCGTACTGGCAGTCGAGAACAGATTAAGATGTAAACTTAGTCAGGGTCTTTGAAATAATAGAAATAATAAGTTATTTTAGCCCAAGAGTATAAGCCTTTAGGATGTACGAAACAACGGAGGCTGAAAAGACTGCAGTCACTATTCATGAGATAAAAAACATTGCCTTATTTCTTATTTGTCACCCAATCCTTCGGTCTTCCTAACTACCACCAAAGGTTTAGACGTGTTGTTACATACGAGAAGTCATCTATATTTGGAGTCAGATGATCTGACATCACGCATCGTAGGCTCTGCAGCATCGGCGCCAACACGGCGCGTACCGAGCTTGTTTGCGTCCCTCTCGCCCAAACAAAGAGCTTACCCACTTTAATGCATCCCTTTACAGGTTATTCTGGGATTCGAGCCAAGCAAAAGGTTATTTATGTTTCATGAGGGCGCTTACAGATGTGTTGTTGATGGGGTTCGTCTCAGATCCAGGCTTTTCTCTGACCACGGCCACTCAGCGCCATGGCGAGAGACGATGATCTTTTTGACGCCGTGCGGAGTAGGATTACCACAATATGGCATCGAACACGCTAAGCTTTAATCATGATCTATTTCATGTCTTCTCTTTCAATTCCGACCTCACATCTCTGCAGTACCACCTTGCCTACAGTGTCTGTACCACTACTGCTATTGTATACCGTTAAGATCCATCCGATTTACCTTGTCCGCTTCCTTATTATGGTCTTCTATAAGTGGATATGACTTCTGAAGCAGAAATCACCTTGCGATATTGAGGTTGTGGTAAGTTGTTGAGATCGATGAGACTAAATGACGTTCTCTCTTTGAAAGCCCTGTCTTTCTATTTCTTTCGCGTTTCTGCATCGGAGCTGTACGGTTTGCTGATAAGTCGGATCTAAATAGGTACTGCAATATGTTATCATCTTTTCTTCAACAGCTACCCACCGCATTTCTATCATCAATCTCGCTTCTTCTAGTCCTAGGCGCATATGGCCAAAAACTCCCGGTATCCCAATTCGAGACCATACCCGACTGTGCTCTAGACTGTGTTGAGAGTTTCGTCAACACTGATTATCCGAACAATGCTTGTTCGTCCGTGTCCGATATCAGCTGTCTGTGTAAAACGAACACAAAAAGCGGCTATACACTGGGGGAAGCAGCCTTACGCTGCAGCATCTCGTTTTGCCCAATTGAAGTGGCGATCAATTCAAGTGTCTACAGCATTTGTGACTCGATATCCGGATCGTTGCCTCGTACACATGCTACAATAACTGCCACGGTTGTGTCTGTACTATCGCCTACGAGCGCTCCTACTACCGAGACACACTCGCCTAATCCTAGTTTGACCACATCGGCAGATCCTACACTACCGAAAACAGGACATCCATCCACTACATTCACCACCTTTCAGAGTCCGGCATCAGCGACAGACACTGAGCAGAGTACCTCAAGTACCACTAGCAGCTCGCAGACGTCTCACAATGCAACATCGGGAGCAGAGGCCGGTAAAGAGAGTAGTCTTAATGCAGGTGCTGTTATCGGGGTTTCTGTTTCTTCTGGCATTGCGGGATTCTTTATACTTGGGGTCATAGTATTTTTCTGCTGCAGGAAAATGAAACGGCGGTATCAGCAACCAAAGGACCGAGATTTCTTCGAGATTGGAGGTGTTATGGCGGAACCACCCGATTTCTCACTACCTCCAAGACGTCCGAGTCCAGGTCCCAACCCGTCAAACCGTGCAGGACACGGGGACACCGAGACTTCGAGGCTCATGTCTCCATTTCACGCCGGTCCTCAGAACCCAGAAGTCGTTGTAACTGGCCCGGATGACGATTACCATTATGGCTCCACGGGAATACACAGCCCAGGAAGGATTGGATTTGCTATATCCTCCAGCTCAGATGCCGAGCCCTCAGTCAGTCAGTCATCCCCGCGGACAGTCTCCGACCTATTGCCTGACAAGCCGGCGTACACTCTCTGTCCAGAACCATTGAGGCTGGGTCAACAGACATACACAAGGCCTAATAGTGGTGACACATTGTTTGAAGAGGATGTCACCAGGCCAAGGAGTTTCCTTGGTGGTAACAAGCCCTATCCGAAATATTCAAACATGCAAGCTCCATACAGTAATAACCGGAGGTACAAGCGGTCCCCAAGAGTAGGGCTCCCTGATAACCCACGGGCATTGTTTCACGCCTTTCGAGCGCGGAATGGTACCGGCTTTTACCTTGGTTCAGGCCACCCAAAACAGCCAGCTTACGTTGCTGGTGAAGGGGCACAATTCCCTTATCAGAACGATGTATACGGCAAATCATCGCCCCTTGGTCCACGGCCGTATAACGCGAAGCGCAATGAGTATATCGGTGATTACTGGCGGGGCCCCGATATGGGGCTTGCCAGAGCTCTTCCTGAGCCACCAGTATCTCGCAATGCAGTTCGTCATTCATATCAGGAGGCCGACACAAAAGGCAGCTTATTAGACAGCTCCAGTGATGAATTTGAGACCATCAATATTAATGAAAGCTCGGGGCCTCATCGAACGTCTCGACACTCTGGAAACTTCAGACCACTCACTCCTGTACGGGAAATTCGAACACCGAACAATGAAGGCCAGCAACGAAACTATTTTGACGAGAATGCGCCGGTAAAGTATCCCCGAATGCCGTTGTCCCGGACCGTTAGTCCAGCCCGGGAAATTGTGTCTAGACCCAGGATCGTGCGGCGTGATGATATTAAACGTGTGCAAATACGTCGAGGGAAACCACAACCCAAGGAATTGACTGTTCCTTACTCACCAGATGATTACTGGAGTGGATATAACCGTAGCTCTCTGTCCGGACCTAGATCGTACAGGTTGTCTGGTGATCGGTCCTCAACGGAAATACAGGGACGCATGGCAAAGAAAAGGCGTTCATCGTCAGAGCGCAATTTGACGCCATCAAGGAGAGGTTCTGACTTAATTCTTCGAGTAGACTGACGGCCAGCTTTTGTTTATTCCTTTCTTGTTGTATTTGTTCTTTCGATCAAGTATGTGGTGGCTGAATTCCTGGTGAAGGCCCGTGTACTATGTATATATTCATAGAATACCGTTTCTTGATAATTATAGAGGGGAGAAGTATGTCCTTCGGACGAGTACCTAGTTGGAGAGGTGAGCATTGAGGATGGACTGGTTCTTTGTGGTATACTACTCACCTGACTACTTTTATCTTCTTCAGACTTTTCCTTGATCGTTTCTTTATTCTGACTACTGAATAAACTTTGGACGAGTATAACAAAGACTAGAGGATGGGGCCAAAGCCTCGCCTATCGCAAACAACAGCGGAGATAATCCTTATAGCAAAGCACACATACCGTGCCGGTGCCCCATCATTCTTGCAGAAACTGGTAAAATCCCTAACCCCCTTCTCGGTCAAGAGAACGAGGAGAATAGCAAGGAAGAAACAACATTCCACTCGGTGGGATACTTAGGGATGTTAACCAGCCATTTTGGCCATAATGGCGACGATGGTGCCAATCCGACACAGACGGACGCTAAGACCAAGTCGTCCCGTCAAGATCACATGCAGCAAGGTTTAGAAAATGGCTGACTGAGGCTGATGGTCGCACCTTGTAAACTCTTTCAGAACGTTGCAGCGCAGCGGCGGCTTTTCTGGCGAGGATCTCTCGGAGTTGGACCCAATGAACGCATGGAACTCGTCGCTAGGCCTCGGGACATCGGCTGGGCAATCACATCCCATAGGTCGCCTGGTATCTGTGCCTGCGCCATCGCCGTAATGGATATTGACGGCATGCTTCTCTTCAAACATCTTACTCGGAGATAACACCCGCAGTGACGTCAGGGGCGGCTGTTGAGATGAGAAATTCCCTCATTCTGAGAAGGGGGTGGAGGGCATGAGGGAGGGCTAGCGAAGATGGATGGTTAAGACAAAGAGAAGCGAAGGGGATAGGGGAGGGAAGTTGAGAGGAAACGCAACAGTAAATCAAAATTAAATTAAAAATAAATAAATAAATAATAATAAAAAAAGAAAAAAAAAAAACCCCCTCCCCAACTTTTCTTCATGTGCTGAATGGAATGCTTTTGAATGTGTCATGTTTAATCGGGCGTTGTATGTATGTACAGTATGTACATACTACATAGTATTTCTATTTTGGCAACGATGCTGTGGAGAGATGTGGATCCAAGATTCACGATATTCTCCATATTCTCCAGCTGTCAACCAAAGATATCGACCATAGTTCTTCTCCACCATACCTGAGGCATTCATTCCTTCCCATGGAGCGTATTATTCGCAGTACACAATACGGTCTGTACGGTACTTACTTGTACTATGGCACAGAGACTCTGGTCCATTTTTACAAGACACCACGCAAGTGCAAAAGGTAAAATCGAAGTAATCAACGTACCGGGAAACGTAAAGGGTAAAGCCACCACCACACAAACAAGGAAAACAACCACATCATCCCCCGTAACCACAGCCACTCTCCCAATCTTCCTTTTCGATGATATCAACGACGATCCGAAGATAATTGTCAGGATGTCTTCCTGCGCGTATCCACTTTGATACCCCTCTACTGCGCATCAACTCCACCGTCTTCGAGCGATCGAGCACCGGCGTCCTATGGTTTACGACTCGGTGGGCGCCTTGATCACTGCGTCGAGCAAATCAGAATGTGGCATCCCTTCAGTACAAATAATCAATCACAGCGTCGCTGCCTGGAATGGACCGGAGAGCACCGGTAAACTTTCCTTTCGGTGGAGTCTCTTCCTGGAGCACGTTAATGCATGATTCCATTTCTAAAAAGGAATTCGTCCAGGAGCGGTTGATGTAGGAGCCACGGGTTGCATTGACCATGAACCAAACAATGCTGCTCTTCACTCCACCCGCTGTGCCCTGTCTTTATATTAATGGCTTCATCCTCGCGACCTTGACCCTCTCTCTCCACTTCACTTGGTCAATCAGTCCCTCTTCCTTCTACTAAATACTCTTAGAGTGCAGCCCATTGCTGTTCTTGTCTGGACGATCGCGGTACTGCTGCATAATCCCGGTCTTCTCTTCTCTTCTCTTCTCTTTCTTTATCCCATTGTCTGGTAGAATCTCTGCTCATTGATTGTCCTTAATCTTGGATTGTTTATCGAGCTGTGTTTCCGTTTCTCGGGTTTGAGACCATCTCGTTGACAGAAGTGGTGATCGATCTTGAACGTTGACGGTTTCGCCTTCTGCCGGCCGGTCCCACACAGGTCACTCCACAACCTCCACTATCTGAGGTCATCCCGTAGTTTTACCCACAATAATAGGAACGAAGATGACGACCACCGACGGTCTAGGCACCCAAAGGGTCCGCCGGCTATCCAGCTTGGACGCTGTTCGGGCCGACCTTTATGGCGGTCCCAATGTGATCGTTCCTCCCAAGCATTTGATGGCCTCCGTTGACTCTCACGAAACGGCTATGGAAATGGAAATGGCCAAGCAACACCTAGAAGATGAGGTTTCATCTGATGAGGGGTCACCCCGCGTTGCGTCCCCCGTCCTGCGAGGACCTTTGACCACCACTGATGAGTTTGCGCTGGCCTTTGACATTGACGGTGTTCTTATCAGGGGAGGGGAACCGATCCCCGCGGCCATTGAGGCACTCAAATATATTAATGGTGCCAATCCATATGGAATTAAGATGTAAGCATTTCCTTTATAAACTGTTCCCTTCCATTAAGTGACATTGTCGACGAAATCGAGTGCTATGACATAAACTAAAAACCTGCCCCTCTTCTAGACCCTATATCTTCGTCACAAATGGTGGAGGCAAGACCGAAGAAGAACGATGCTTGGATCTAAGCCGGCAACTCGAACTGGAGGTCTCGCCGGGCCAATTCATTTGCGGCCACACTCCCATGCGGGAGATGGCGGCGCGGTACAATACCGTCCTTGTCGTTGGTGGTGTAGGTGAGAAATGCCGCATTGTAGCTGAGGGCTATGGTTTCAAGGATGTCATTACTCCCGGAGATATCATCAAGACAAGGCACGACACTACTCCATTCCGAAGCTTGACAGAAGAGGAGTACAAGAACTCTCGCGTCCGCGATTTCAGTCAGACCAACATTGATGCCATCTTCGTTTTTGCTGATAGCCGAGACTGGGCCGGTGATCAGCAGATCATTTTGGACGTTCTCATGTCGAAGAATGGACGTCTCGGTACACGCTCCGAGACCTTCGACGAGGGCCCACCCGTATTCTTTTCTCACAATGATGTCGTATGGTCCACCTCTCATGAACATTCTCGTATTGGCATGGGTGCCCTCAGGGCTTCTCTAGAGGCGCTCTACAAAGCCGTCACTGGAAAGGACCTACAGACGATTGCTTTTGGTAAACCTCAACTGGGAACATATGAGTTCGCCACTCGACTCCTTCGCCAGTGGCGCAAGGACACCCACGGTATCAACAGTCCTCCAAACACCGTCTATTTTGTCGGCGACACCCCAGAGTCAGATATCCGCGGTACCAACGAGTTTGACAAGATCAGTGACTCCCACTGGTACTCAATTCTTGTTAAAACGGGTGTCTACCAGGAAGGTACTATTCCCCGTTACCCGCCCAAGAAGATCACCGACAATGTGCTGGGAGCTGTCAAGTTTGCCATGGAACGTGAACTCAGCAAGCAGGCCAACGAGTCCGCCATCGCAGATGATGTCGACTCCGGTATCGACTCGGAATCTGCTAGGAACCATTGATTGCCTTTCACTAGGAAACTTCCATATTTTACGTTCATCAACATTTACATTTATATGATATCCCATGTCATCGATATACTTCTTATATTTTGTGCTGTGCACAGTTTGTTTTCCATTTAACGATGCTTTATGATTCCCTTTTATGTCAGTCTGCTTTCATCTTTGGTTGCTTCAACACCATTAGATTCGGTCTTCCTCTCAGATACGAATTGCCAGAGATCCTGGATAGATGTCATTCAGTGCGCATTGATCCTAGGATGATAGTTTAGGTTCACAATACCACGAAAGCCATTTCGGCGATCAAATTTATGAGACCCGATAGACTTCGTGATTGATTGAGTTGTGAATGGTATATCTATCAGCATGCTGTGGACAACAGTCTAAAGTTACAAATAATAATAGCTAGTCTATAGCAGCAAACTCCATCTCTCCCCACTAAACGTCATTGACGACACATAAGCACGCCCTTCATGGTATAGTAGAGACTCAGATGTAGAATATCTGACGTGACATCGAATCAGCCTCCTACAAGCACTGTAGTATCCGTAACGCCGAGGCCATGTTTGAAGCCTCACACACACACATCGGGAGAGACGGAACAGGCAATTCCGAATATTAAGTTCAATAGCACTACACCATGTCTATAATATGCAAGCAGACGTCACGATTCCAAGAGGGGGAGCTCAGCGGAAGAGGTCATCTACTAGTAGTATGAATTTGTCTGAGCGCGAGAATAGTCCGGGACCTTAATGGAGGGCCGGTCTTGCCTACTGTTGGACCGGAGAGTGTATTCGTTGCAGTGAGTTCAGCCTTGCGCTTTTTGCTTGGATATTGTGAACCATGGATATGCTCTACTAGTAACGTATACAGCAGGTTGATATTGTCGGGGATGAACCATTGACCCCTCATGCCGAGAAGCGGACACGCACCGGCGTCGTGGTGGGCGCGGGGCGGCGGATCCATTCAGAACGCTTATTAGTAACCGTGTACTCTGTCGATATTTCCTATACGAGGACTCGATGGGGTGCAGTTATGCGACTATTTCCGCACCCCGCATTTTCGATGGGTCCCCGTTTAGATCTGAAATTCAGAATCGAGCCAATGCTTGATGACTATTTTGCCTTCGTCAAAGCCCGGCTTAGCTGCCCGCACGATGATCGCTGCATGGCTATGCCGGTGGTTGTGGATGTAGACCGGGTATTTGCGGAATCCCACGGCGTTGAGCGACTCGATTATGGTGGTCTGGGCTGGCGTCAGGGCGAGGGTGGGATATGCTCGGCTCTTCTTGCTGATGGTATCACCTGTTGTTGCTTCGCGGGCGCTGTTTGGCTGGTCATGCTTTGGTGTTTGAGGGTAAGCTTCCTGAATGGTGATGGAGGAGCCAGGTTTGTGCTCTGCAGCTTCTTTAGCTTTCAGACTGGGAGAGTTTCGTCGCCTGATTGAATCTGCTGGACTGCTTTTGCTTGTGGTGGAGACGTATTCGGGGTCCTGGCTGAACCCAACGTCCTCGTAGGCTTCTTCTATGGCGCTTTGCATTTCCTTTACCATGACGTGAGGCAACCGGTATCGTCTGAAGAGCGTTGCGCTCTCTCCTTTATCGTGTAGCCGGACTCGTTCTCGACTGTGGGACCACTGGGAGATCGAGTGCAAGAAGAAAAGAGGAAGGACGACGGATAAGAAAAGAACAACCAAGGCCCAGAACAAGGCCGTGGTGAAAAATCTCGTTATTTGCCCCCATACACGCGATCCCAATGGCAAAGTCTCTTTCAGCTCCGCCGAAGGCAGAAAGTACATATCTGGGTCAATCACAACAGACTCATACCCCTTAACATAGTTAATCTGCGTGTCGCCCGGATCACGAAAGGGATCCACCATCGAAAGCATGGTAGTATAGAAGATGGTAGTGCGATCATTGGCAACATTTCCATAAAGACTGCGATTCTTGAACTTCGTCAGAGCCCGCACGAAGATACTATCCGGATCCGCCAAAATGCTAAGCAGCGGTCGCCCCGAGTCCCCAAACGAGTCAACCAAGAACAACTGCTGCGCGGATATAGACCCCTGCCGGGGCCCTACGTTATTCCAGATATAGCCCCAGACGCCCTTTCGGGGAATTCGCACACCAACATGTGGCGACGCGAAGGTTGTGAAATTGACTGGCTCTAGCTTGTCGAACCACCCTCGTGCGTCGAGTAATCCTATTGCATATCTAGCCAGCAGGCCTCCGAATGAGTACCCGACGATACTCAGTTTTCGGATAGGATGTCCTTTGTCAGCTAATGTATTCAGCGTTTCTTCAATCTCGTGGGCCACTCGCTCGCCGCCGACTTCGGTCCCATCGTACGTGAGATTTCCGACGTTTCGCTCTGTGACTAGAACGTGGAGGCGGTCCTCACTGTATCGCTGTCGCAGTGACGCTGCGAGGTGGTCCATATGAGAGGGGTTACCCCAGAATCTGTCATATTATATGTTAACAGATGTGGTGGTCGAATCGATCCGATGTCCTTACCCATGGATCAAGACACAAAGGTGATCGGCTTTCCGCGGAACCCCGTCCGCATCCTCATTGTGGTTACTCGAATCCATATTTCATAGACAATTTGCTAGTCACGATTCAAACCGTTATTCTTCTGTTTTATATACTTCCCACGTCTTGTATATATCTATGTACTGTATATGTTGTGAGTTCCTTCGATGAGCATCAACGGGTGTTCTCCGTCGTATCTACAGGTGATTACCAAGCAGGTGTCTGCCTAAGCCAGCTCCTGCCCTATGACAGGTCTGCTTGCAATGCTGCTCATGTATATGGCTTTTGTATATAGGTTGGGAAGAAGGAGGAAATGTCTATCAATGACAAGGTGCTGAGATCCTACTACTTCGCCTAGTCAGGGACAGATCATGATTGATTGCTAGATGCCGAGAAGTGCAACATCGAACGCAACACCAGCAGATGCCGTACGCCGGAGCGCTTGGGCCAATCAGAGCCTTTCAGATCAGGCAAATCACGTGGGCGTATGCTTAACACATTGACACCTTCATTATAGAAGACTGGTGAAGATCTTGATGAATCTGGAGGTTTCGCCGGGTATTTATGGGTACACTAATGAGAGGTCATGACTATCATTTTGGTTTTACTGCTGTGTATGTGGTGTAAATAGGAGTTTGTGATTCTAGAGTTTCTATGCTAGAGTTAAACAATATATATATATCAGGCAAAACAGCAACTTAGGTAGATGAGCACGGCAGCCTACATTTCGCAATCACCCCATTCCCTGTATCTCATAGCATAGTAATTCTCTATTATGCGAAGTGCTTCCCAGCTACAAATTCATAGTATATACGTATCTATCGACTACTGCTATACATCAACGTTGATGCCTTACCAATCCGGCAAGAGATTTGCGGCGTTTGCATCGTTTGTTTGAAGGACCGCCGATTCACCACATATACAGCTCTTTAGATCATGCACTTCATTGTACTTGAAGGTATATATGCTATATACTCTGTCTTCCTTGCAGATGAGGTCACCGAGATTTTCTTCGATGCAGTAATTCATTGAAGCTGACTGGAACTTAGAAAGCGCTGGGGTTCTACGTCAACTTCTCATCCAACCATTTAGGCCAGATTGAGAACACCCAAGAACAAAACATGCTGGAAATGACCAGCTCTATTTTGTTCACCTAGATTGCACACGCGATTGGCCTGAGAAGTCTGTGGTCATATTCCTGTAGTGACTAGCTACACCTCAGCAAGGCCTCAAGGATACGAGCATAAATATCATCACTTCACATTTATTTCATATATGATCGGCCTAGAACCACCTTGATATCGTGACAATGTTTGCTCCGCTTGGCTTATTCAAGGATATCCCCTGTCCTCAGGGCCAGGAATGCGCTCTCTTAACTTGCATGTTCTCTCACGAAATCACCAACCCACCCGCAGAGGTCGACAAAAGCGCCAAGAGTACGCAGTCAGAGAAGGAGCCTACAACTACTCAGGAGTCTCCGCCACCGAAGAAACAAAAGCTGCAGGTAACGGCTGAGGCTGACAGGGTGAAGAAGGAAGACAAGCCTTCACTTTCGCTTCAGTACGAAACTAGTGATCAAAGAGTTACACCAGCAAAGAAGGTCAGCACCAAGGCCCAACCAACAGGCCAAAACCCTGCGAAACTCCATTCGATATCCAGGGACATCTCACCGCCTCCTTCCAAAGCAGAGCCTTCAACAGCGAAACATGATGTATCGGCATCTGCAAAACCGGAGCAACGACCTCCGCTACGCAAGGCTCCTCGTGAGAGTCTGAATCCTAGGATGTTGGCCAAAGCGCCGGTGTCTCATGGCGTGCGGCTGTCTATTTTGACGAAGCTTCATGCTGCTATGTCTGCTTTGAATGACAAGATAGCAAAGGACAAAGAAAATAAGGATAAAAGCATAGTCCTTACCCCAAATGAGCTCATCACGATGGCTCTAGATGAAGAGGAAAAGACGGCAAAAGGGAATGCGAGTGTATACGGCAATGTCATCAAACTCCGCATCGTTAAACTCTCGAAGATGAGCAAAGAGGATTGGGTGAAAGATGTCAAAGCTTATCTAAATGAGAAATATTACAAGACAGCACCGAGTGAAGCAGATCAGAAGTCGGCTGTTCTTACAACTGGCCTGAGCATCAAAGAGGAAATAGCAATTGCGGGAAGACTAGTCACGCCTCTTGAAGGATTGGAACAATATGGCTATGTGACCAAACCGCCCACAGATGAAGAGATTGAGGGCGCAAGAAAAGGGGTCATTGAGTCTAAAGGATGGGAAAAGTGTGACCGATGTGGTGGACGATTCCAGGTCTTTCCTGGCCGCCGTGAGGATGGTTTGTTAACAACAGGAGGGCAATGCACATACCACCCTGGCAAGCCGTTCTATCCTCCGAAGAAGCGGACAGATCATATTACTGGCCACAAGGAGGCCTACTACACTTGCTGCAATGAGACCCTAGGGACTTCTTCTGGATGCACTAAAGGCGATACCCATGTCTTCAAGGTGTCGGAGGCCAAACGACTAGCGTCCATTCTTCAGTTTGAAAAGACTCCAGTGCAGCCAGATAAGGGCCCCCTTCCACCAGTATGCTTCGACTGCGAGATGGGATACACCACTTTGGGGCTGGAGCTGATCCGGCTCACTGCTGTTAGTTGGCCCGAGGGCAAGGAGCTCCTCGATGTTATTGTCAGGCCCATGGGGGAGATCCTCGACCTCAATTCGCGGTTTTCCGGTGTTTTCCCCGAACATTACAATAACGCGGCTCCCCATGATGGCTCAGCTGCACCGACCACTGCATCTGTCAGCGAGGATGGAGAGGTTAAGTTAACGCCTTTACAGGTGATGGAATCTCCCGCGGTAGCAAGGACTTTGTTGTTCAAGCTGCTACAGCCTGAGACGCCTTTAATTGGCCATGCCATTGACAATGACCTCAACGTTTGCCGTATTATCCATCCTACCGTTATTGATACCGTTATACTGTACCCAGTGGGGGCGGGCCTACCCAACCGCATGAGTCTCAAAACCCTATCCAGGAAATACCTTGATAGGCACATACAGACTGGAGGGAACCGTGGGCATGATTCCAAAGAGGACGCGATTGCTACAGGGGACTTGGTCCGGGTCAAGGCCGCAGAAGCCTGGAAGGTGTTAAAGACGAAGGGATGGACTGTCCAGGATGATAAACTTGTGCCTCCTCCCGGCGTAACAGAAGATACTGGCCCGATATGGCGACTTGGACTTGGAGCCGGGCAGAAGAGGACTAGCTCAGATTTAGGTTAACTTAGGATGGCCACATCATAGCTGACTTTACTATATGATACCCGACGAAACGCAATTTCCGTGCAAACTACGCGAGAATGAAGGAACAAATGGGTGATAGATGGATCAATTCAAATCTACCAGTCGTAACGTCATGAGTAGAAGTCTTACACCAACACGGGGATGTGACGAGGCTAGCCATGGAATGCCGCCTTTTCAGGTTGAGGCAACCCGGCGGGCATATCACGCCGCAGAGCCGTGCTGATGCGCTCCCGACCAACCGCATCTATATACCCTCCAGACCGGACCTATAGCACGGACTCCCATTAAGATATCGCTCCCGTCCAAATCTGGAAACCCCCTGATGTGAGCGTACTCGAGCCTGGCCGATTTTTTTAATTTTTATCCGAGAGAGGAGACATTTACTCCTCATCCTCGTCAGCCTCCTCGCTGGCGACGTTGTAGAAGCGGAGCTCGTAGACACCCTTGGAGGTGGCGACAACGCGGAGCCAGTCACGGAGCTGCTGCTTCTTGAGGTACTTCTTGGTCCTGAATGGCCGTCAGTATTACGGGTCGTGGCTATCATGCGACGGATGCGAGGCAACTTACAAGTACTTGAGGTAACGACCAGAGAAGGGGATGTGGGCAACAACCTCGATCTTGCCATCACCGACCTGGGAGATGACGACCTTGTCACCGAGGTTGCCGACACGGCCCTCGACCTTGATGCGGTCGTGAAGGAACTTCTCGAAAGCGGAGATGTCGAAGATCTTGTCGCTCACGGGCTGAGAAGCGTTGATGACATACTACAGAGATGACATGTTAGCGATCATCGAGTCGTTGAATTAGCTTGCGAATCGATTCCTCGACATACCTTCTGGGTAACCTTCTGGGCCTTACGACCACGAGCCTATTCACCGGAAGTTTGCGATTAGCCTACTGTTCCATAATGTCGAATCCCCAGGGAGTCCATGACGATATCCTGCACAAGCTAATGTGAAGAGGCCGTCTGGCTGCCGTCTCAGGGGGAACAGCAAAGCAGTTTCAGGATTGACAACATACAGTAGCGGGAGACATTGTGATTGATTTGAGGGGGGTTGGTGACGAGGGAGTCTTGGTCGCAAAGAGATGAGTATCCTGCGCCTGGAACGAAGATTGCAGAGGGATGGAGATCTAAAACTTCTCGCTAGTGGAGCCTTCGATAATCCCACCGGCGAGTGCGTGTGACTAATCCGCATTGGGAAGCCATACTAGGGCTGTAATTGTGATTAGGGTATCTGGCTGTCATCTGACCGCTTGTCTTACTAATAGTTTGTACCGTTTGTTTCCTCGCTTAACTAGGAACGGAAACACTAGTTAACTAGTGCCGCACGGGCCACTGTGCCCTTTCTTTAAATACTCCGCCGACCTCCCGCTCTTTAGAATTTTTTTCTTTTCTTCTCCAGCTCTCTTTGCCTTTTGGCTTAGATCAAGTGTAGTATCTGTTCTTTTCAGTTTAATCTCTGAAAGTGTTCCATAGGAACACAACATTGATTAATCTTATTTTTGGTCTCCGTGGCAGGGCCCCTGTGCTTGCGCATGCCTTGCCACACAGTGTCATCGGGCTTACACTACCCCCGATAGACGCGAACTCCTTTTTCATCAATTTAGTCGGTATATCCGGCTGCTTGGAGAAGAAGGCGTTGGTAGATTTCTCGACTTCAGAACTTAATTGCATCTGTATAGAGCTGGTACAACTAATCATTTGTTTCCTTTTGCAGTAGAGCCTACTTCTCACGTGATATTGAATACCATTTCCTGCCCAAATCACTCGCACTGTACTCAACTTTTTGGTATACTTCACTCTTCACTCAGTAACTCTATAGCGTCACCATGGGTTCCGTCGTCCTTCCGCACCTGCGCACCGCTTGGCACGTCGACCAGGCCATTCTCTCTGAAGAAGAACGGCTCGTTGTATGCACCCAGCCATCGCGTGTCGAGATATGCGCATACTGATAAGTACGGTTACAGGTCATCCGATTTGGTCGCGACCACGATGTCGACTGTAAGACCCCTCGCTGTATGTACAGGTTACAACGACGTCCTAATTGTCCTCCAGGCATGCGCCAAGATGAAGTTCTTTTCAAAATCGCTGAGCGGGTCAAAAGTGAGTCGGGTACCCTCACCCAACTATCACAGGAGAAAAAAACTTCCGCTCTCGCAGCTCCAAACTAGCTCTACCACGCACGAAGTGCACTTTTGAGATCCACGAATACCTATTAACAATCCATCTAGATTTCGCCGTGATTTACCTTTGCGATATTGACGAGGTCCCCGAGTTCAACACCATGTACGAACTCTTCGATCCAATGACCATTATGTTCTTCTATAGGAACAAACACATGATGTGTGATTTCGGTACCGGTAATAATAACAAATTGAACTGGGTGCTGGAGGATAAGCAAGAGTTGATCGATATTCTTGAGACAATCTACAAGGGTGCCAAGAAGGGACGAGGTCTCGTGGTTAGCCCGAAGGGTAAGTTTCAGTTTTCTTTCCAGTAATTACATTGATGTAGAGCTAATTGATTTATAGATTACTCGACGAGGTACCGGTACTGATTTACTTCAGTCGGTGGTTGGGCTCTGTGTTCTCGGGTCCAATATTAGATAATGAAAAATGTTTATGACGTATATTTATATTCTTGGTTTAAATTGTAAGCGTGATCCATAAGGCGATGATAGGATACCGCATACAATATATTGTTTATCAACCATCAGTCAGTTCTCCATCTACCTTATGAATTGTATATGATGTTGTTCTGCTTCGTACGTATTCTAGCCTAGCAGTTAATGATGTCAAATTCATTATTGATGGCGTATATAGCATAGTTAAATAGCTGCCTATAGGTTTGCGATGACACTTACAGTAGGTAACATAAAGGGACGAGGCACTGCTTTTACGCCGGGGTATGGCTTGTTCCTCTGTAATCGAGCGGGGAGTTATAGATACTATTCGAAGAGTCCTCGGTTCGCACTACGCAGCCGGCCCCCGGACCCAGCCTCAAGGTTAGATCCGGAATAACATAGCCTGGTAATGGGGGCTTAGACTAAGTTCGGGGATGACCCGGCTCTCCAGCGCGAAAGGGCCGGTAGGGACTGACGAATCCCAGTCGTATGACTCTAGATACATTGAAAGATATATTCCCATCGGAAATTGCCAAGAGATGTGTTTAGTGATGCGGAATCTTGTCTTCTAACTTAGGACGTATGATACCTATGAATGATTACATGAAAAGAGGAGGGAAGAAATTATCCTTATTGATGGGCTGAGTGGAGAGGAGGAAAACATCTCCCAGGATGTATAAATGTATTGCATAGCATGCGTTCGCTACTGGGAAAAAGTACAGTCAAAGGTGTCCCAACACACACTGTGATTAACTGAGTAGGAGGTTCAGACCCACCTGGAGTAACTTATCTTCTGGGGACCGGATAATAGCTCTTTAATAAGTATGTTGTGTCGTTTCAATATTAGACAGCAGTTGATAGAAACTGGAGAATCATCCAACTACGGCCAACAACACGGACGATCTCAGGCCCCACAATCTCTTCACTGTATTTTTACCTGACGTAAGGTCGAACCATCCCCATCAATCCCACCTACACCAAGAAAACATAAAACAACAAATCCACCCAACCTAAACACGAACCAAAAACAAAATGATCGACCGCACCATCTTCGAAAGTCTCCAGTCCAAGATCGACGAAGAGGCTGCCGTCCGCGATGTACGTGCCAAGCCTTTTTCCGTTCGAGCTCCAGAGAAGTCTCAAACTGACCCATTCCAGGAACTCCATGAGATAGTACAGACGCTTGCCAGAAATGGTCTGTCTTATCAATGTCACAAACTCTCTGTTTTCCCTTGATTAAATGGGAATAAAGTATGTTCAGAGCTCGGATTAACATGTTAGAATAGGACGCTCCACAACGGCTATTCTCTCTCGGGCTCATTCCACACCCTCAGATCAGTGTAAGTAGCTCCCTCAAAAAGGGGAAAAAGAAGAATAATATGATAACAAATTCAGTGAAACCTGTCCTCGACGAGGCGACAAAGGAAATCCTCGCCCAGAAAGAACAAGTCACTCGGCTTAAGGCCTTGGCTGACAAGCACCCGTTCTACAAATATAACGGCGTGTGGACTCGTGAACTGCAGAATCTGGTGTGTTACATGTCTCTCCTTCCTTCCGAGATATAGTAATGAGGACTAATAAGTGAATTAGGTATCGTCTATTGAGCTCTGTGCCTACTTGGGCGGGCTTGAGGAGTACAAGAGTAACAGCGCCGCGTCGTTCTTGACTATTGAGGAGGTTGGGAAGTTTCTTGATAGTATGTTCCTTGCATGGGAGGTTCCCATTCTTCTTCTATGATAAATTTCTATGAGATTGCTTCAAATGGTGCTGATGTGGATGTTTAGTCCCCGTCAATCTTAAGGAACAAGATGCGTTCCACCTCACGATCGAAGAGTATCTGCTCGCTCTGATCTCTATGGTCGAGGAACTGGTTTGTTCATCTACTTTCTATTGGCTGCTTGTCTTAGAAGGCGCTAACTGTCATAGTCTCGTCTTGCTGTCAACTCGGTCACTCTTGGGGATTACGCACGGCCGGTGCAGATTGGCAGTTTTATCAAGGATCTGTTTGCCGGGTTCCAGCTCTTGAACTTGAAGAACGATATCCTGCGCAAGAGGAGTGATGGAATTAAATACAGTGTATGTTTATCCATTTTCGGAAAGTATGGGTTGAAGTAATGCTGACACCTCCGTGTAGGTCAAGAAGGTTGAGGACGTTGTGTATGACCTTTCTTTGCGGAACCTGATCCCGAAGGGCAGTGATAACGCTTAGTTTGTGAATTAACAAAGTCATCGTGGATTAATGCATAATGGCGATGAATTTATAATCTCATGACACTAGCCTCATGGTAGTGGGCTGGAAGTGCCCCGACGAAAAAAAAGGTACATACAACGAGCACTATTAAGATACATGTAACGAAGCATGGTATAACATATGGACTCCCAATCACTGAAAAAACTAGATTACGACAACTTAGCCTGCTCAGCAGACTCTCCCTCCTTAGCCTGGGCCGAAGCTGCAGTTCCATTCTTCTGAGACTTCTCAATCTCCTTGACGATGGTGTCCTCGAGCGACTCGGGCTTGGTGGTACTGGCCCAGCGACCGACAACCTTGCCCTCGGGCGAGATCAGGAACTTTTCGAAGTTCCACTTGATGCGCTTCAGGCCCAGCAAACCGGGTTGCTGCTCCTTCATCCAGGTCCACAGGGGTGAGGCCTCGTTTCCGTTCACATCCAGCTTGCCCAACACGGGGAACGTAACACCGTAGTTCAGCTGGCAGAAATGTTGAATCTGGTCATTGGAACCGGGATCTTGGCCGCCGAACTGGTTGCAAGGGAATCCGAGGATAGTAAAGTCTTCGGGGTACTTTTCCTTAAGCTTCTGGTAGAGTTTCTCGAGACCTTCGAACTGGGGAGTGAAGCCGCACTTGGAGGCAGTGTTGACGACGAGGATGGTTTTGCCCTTAAGCGGGGTGAGTGGGAAAGGAGAGCCTTTCTCTATTGGAGGACAGGTCTGTTAGCAGGAGTCCCATACGTGATACAAGGAGATCGACAAGGAGACTATCAGCAGAAACGTACTGTCGACTGGCTCAAAGTCGAAGAAGGTGGTTGCGGAAGCCATGGTGTTCGTACGAAATGCGCTTAAACGAGGTTGTTGATGATTGAGTAGCTTAGCGGAGCTTGAGAGCGCTGAAGAAGAATAACTGCGCGGCGACCTTGCGACAGGGCTGGTTATATGTGCGAGGAAGTAGATTGGTGGTTTTTGGGATGATAAAGCACGTAAGACAATAGACGCAGACGATAAGGTTGATCGCATGCTCCGAGGGTAGGAATGGTGTGGTTTTATACACCGATCATGAGGTTTTGAGGAAGTATGTGAGGGGCGTGACGGAGCAAGCACGGCGCCGAGCCGGCATGTCATCATCGTACTGCGGGTGATTTGCCCGTTTGGTACACTTCGTCAACGGAAATGCATCTTCCGGCTAACCGAATTGGTCATCTTTGTCATCTTTTTCAGTCCAGACCTGTTTGAAGGCGCTATGAAATCTATAATCGACTCCCCATCATTTGACCCGTGGGTTCTTGTGGGGTCGGAAATAGGAATCTAGTCGCTGATTAGTGATCATGTGCGCATAAAATAAGAATTGATTAAAGTTGATCAGAAAAGCATGGCTTGCGGGTCTCATCTCTTTTCCAGAATTCCAAATACATGAAACAGCCCACATCAACCCAGACGATCCGATGTGCTAGCCTCGGACAACGGGCCTCGGGGCAAGGAACACGCCAAGAGGTGTATATACTCTTTTTGGTTCACATGCTGAGGAGCACCAAGAGTTTATGCACTCTCAAATGACACGAACCTCGTTCATAATCCCATGTATAGTTAAGGTGTACGTATTACACATCTATCGAGACTTGGGCTGTTCTAGAAACTCAATCTCCTGGTGTAGTAGTTCGGCATTTGAGGCAGACCTCCGACTGACTATCCTTGGGTATACAACGAGTAAGATAGTAGTAGCTGTCGTCACCCCCATCCAGGGCTATGGAGAAAGATAGGAGCAATTCTAAAGTTCACTGGTTCGTGTCTTTCATCCGCGAGTCGAAAAGTAAAGTAATACAAATAGACAACATTCAATAATGAACGGAAAGCCATTCTATCAACTGAGGATATATGAGATGCGGTGGGGCTGGTCTTAACAGATAATATAAACAGTAGCAACTTTTGATATCACAGTTAATACTAACAGCAGAGACTTAGTGATATTGATATATGAGTTGATAGTCCAGGCGTAGGCACTTACCTTAAGCATACTACCCCAGGCGGTAATCAGATCACCTGCCAAATACAGTTAAACTATCTTGGCAGCTGCCATTGCAATTCGCCGACTCTTTCACAATACTTGCCCACTACCATCTAAATGGCATCTCAAAAAGATACATCTCATCAGCTAGCAGGACAATATGTTTCATGAGTTCAGTGACTTCGTTCAGCAGTCTGCCACACAAGGCTCAAACCCCACAAAAAATACCCGCTCTCAGCCAAAAGTTAATCGGTCTTGCGTGGAGTGTCGCCGAAGGAAGATTCGCTGTGATGGTGGGCTTCCATGTGGGAACTGTAAGTGGTACAGAGTAGAAGGACGGTGCGAATTCCCGCACCGCTCAAAGAGACATACTGTTTCTGTCAAGTACGCTGCTTCACTAGTCTTAATCTTATCTATATACTGACTTCGGTCAAGGTCAGCTGAAGAGTTAACCCGGACTGTGAACCATCAGCGGATTATCTTGCAGAAGCTCTTCCCTTCTTGTTCCTTAGACACCCTCATATGTCTATCTCGAGAAGAACTATTGCAAGTCATCGTAGCCAAAGGACCGACACGGGATGTCGCCGCCACTACTGAGCTAAATACCACAGTGATCAGGGAGAGCGACCACAGCGATGAGGATCGGCAGCTTGAGGAGAATCGGAAGCTGTCTAAGGGAACATCGAATGTCTACGATGATGTCAATGGCTTGTCACTCTCATTCGATCGACAGCAGACTAGTTTAGGGATATCATCAGTCAGGTTTATCCTACGCCTCATCGTTGAGCGATGGCCCACCGTGAGAACGAAATTATATCAGAAGAGATGTCGTTTGGAATTTCAGCACCAATCATATCCGCATCCGCGAGGACCTCGCGAAACCATTGGGTCAGCGCCGGTTAGCATGATAAATGAGCTAGCCTGCATAGATGCGTATTTCAAAACTGCCAATTCCATTACCCCAATGATCAATGAGACACAGTTCCGCAGAGAATACAGCAGTGGGGTTCGGAAAGATGCTGGTTGGCTTGCTCTCCGTAGCATGGTACTCGTGGTGGGATCAATCGCTGCTAGCGAGGAAGGAAGCCAACGTAGTCATGCACTTTATGCGTCTGTACGACAGCATATCGGGCTTGAGAGTTTTGGATCCGCTTCTATTGAGGGTCTACAAGCTCTGTGTCTTTTGGGAGGGTACTATCTACACTATCGAAATACGCCAAATATGGCCAGTGCCGTTCTAGGCGCCGCATTTCGAATGGCAACCGCGCTTGGTCTTCATAAGGAGCCCATAGAGCTAAAAGTTCTTGAAGAGAGCTTGGAAAGCCATTTTGCAAGCAGAGAAGTCCGACGGCGCACGTGGTGGAGTCTCTTTTGTCTGGATACCTGGGCATCCATGACACTCGGACGGCCAACATTTGGCAGATGGGATCCAGATACGATGGATGTATCGCCTCCGAAATATGGCAAGAGTCAAAGCCATCGAGATATCATCATCACCGCATTCAGAGCGAATGTGGAGTTTTGCAAATTGGCCACTGAAATCCAAAAACGACTGGCCCAATCAGATCCACCTACGACTGGTGAAATCAATAAATTTGACACTGCTCTCAGAGGCTGGCACGAAGAGGCTCTAACGGCAATCTCGCATGAAAACTGCCCAGATGATTTTATTGTCGTCAGAGACTACATGCGGAATCGGTATATGAACGTTCGAATTCTTTTACTCCGGACTGTACTTCTACGACATGTACAAGATAAGACGCAATTCGAAGATTTGACAGGAGATGATAGAGAAGCTATCGTCAATTGTCAAAGACTTAGCCTCGAGGCTATTCGGAACATTGTTTGCTCTATGCGACCCGACTCATTTTGGGTATGGGGCAGTACCTGGTATCTCTACCAATCCTGCCTTGTCCCGTTGATGATGTTACTTGCCTTTCCATGTAAACCGGAACTAGCGTCATGTCACTCCGAAATTGAACAGGCTCTTGCAGCTTTCAAGTCATTTATACCCTGGAATGCAGCTGCTAGACGATCGCATGATGTGGTTGAAAGCATTTACGAAGCCAGCGAGAATGTAACAAGACTCGAGGTGAGTAGGGGGACTCTACCACCGTTTGGGGAGATGGATATGGAATTTTGGAATCTCGCCGCAGGAGGCTTTGAATATGACTACGAATGGGAATCTCTAATAGACTGGGAGAAGACATCTACCCCTAATGTGGAAGATTGACTAGCTATATTCGGCAACCAATGATGGATTTCACAGGCTGTCGTCTCCAATGTACGTCCAGCATGGGATATCAGAGGAACTGCGGATTCCACGGACGGCGATTATTTGCTTATAGCCAGGGACTATGTCGATCCCGTTATCTTGCAGCCAAATACCATCAGTCTCCTCAAAGACCAAACCCTTGACTGGCTTTCTTGCTGTGATGGACAGCACATTCTCTGCAGAAAGATATTTGACCTCTAAACCCCTGTCTCGAAAGGAGAGGTACTTGTAGGGCTGTGGCCAATCCAAGTCTCGACTAATTATCTGACCATCAACACTTAGGGTTGCGGTCAGCACAAATGCATCGGTCTCTTTCAAACTCAAATCACCACTTGCTATTTCCGTTGTACCGTTGGGAACGAGAACAACCTCGTAAGATACTTCTGGCTGCACATCTGCACCCGTTTGGATTGATATGAAGCGTAAGCTTAACATAGCGCGGATCGGCTTCAAATGGCTGGTCACAGCCCAAAGCTCATATCTCGTTGACTCTGCAGGCTTGGCATGTCCAGATGTCCATTCCTTGTGAGCCCTGGAAACACCAACTGCAATTGGCTTCAGAGTCCGCGATATGACATAGAATGCGGGCTTCTTTCGCAGATAATAGTCTACTACCGCCCACGAAGTTGTCGGCCAACAGTCGTTTAGTTGCCAAACTAAGGCTCCACCACAGAGGCGGCCGTGGCCCCATTGCCGGCGCCAGCCCTGATACGCAAACTTCATAGCGTCGGCTTGAGCAATCTGAGAGAGATGTACGTATGACTTATAAACAGCTGCGATTAGCACTTTGTAGCGCTTGATTTAGCATCGAGGTAGAAAACCTCCATCCACCTACCTGGAAATCTGATTTGACTCGGAAATTCTCAAGAATATATGTGCCGAGTCGTCGCTCGTGGTCTCTGGCCTTGTTGTGGAAGTCCATGGTGAGAGATTGAGGGTACATCTCGTCTTCATCTTCAATAAACTTCTCGATTGTAGCTCGATGCGGGAACGCTTCCATTCCAAATTCACTGACAAACCGTCCGCCAACTTCCGGGAAGTTTTGATAAGGCAACATTGTTCCATGCCAGACTGTGTTGACATTAGCGAAGACTTCTTATTATCGGGGAGTTGCGACAGACTGTTCCACTGATGGATATCTCCTATTGTTGGATCTGATGAATGTTTTCCTCCCCCCCAGGGACTCGTTGGGTGGTACGGTGTAGCGGGTGATTCTTCCTCTACAACCTTCGGCAATAGGTACTCATAGATGTACCTGGCAGGAAATGTTGACTTGAGCCATGACTGCGGATCTTTATCAGTCTCGAAGTTATAGTCGAGATGATACTTTTCTTGAATCTGGTAGTCTTCATTACTTCCTGCGTAGATCACGATGGAGGGATGATGACGAAGATGTTTGACATTTACACGCGCTTCTTCCTCGATGGACGACAAAAAGGATGGATAGGTAGGATACGAGGCGCATGCAAACATAAAATCTTGCCAGACCAGGATTCCGAGCTCGTCACAAGTGGAATAAAAGGCGGAGGGTTCGAAGATCCCGCCGCCCCAGATGCTGAGAGCTTGTCAATGCCAGCTAGGCTTCTGGGTGACGATGTAAAGGACTTACCGGATCATATTCTGATTTCCCTCTAGCAACAATTCGAGCCATTTCCTGTACTTGTCAGGAGTCATTCGAGGAAGGAAGCTATCCCCCGGTATCCAGCATGAGCCGCCGGCAAAAGTGTCAATACCATTAATCCTGAAAAAGAAGGATTGGCCGTGCTGGTCTTTCTCTTGAACAAGCTCTACACTCCTGAACCCGGTCAACTTGGAGACCTCATGTTGTACCTCATGATTGTTGTCAATGAGCTTGACACAGATCTCATGCAGGTCCTGCCGGCCATATCCACGCGGATACCATAATGCTGGGTCTTCGATCACGAATTCTGTCTCTGCAAAACCATCCCCAGTAGCATTTACTTCAGATTCAAAGAGCACCCTACTCAGGAGCAGAATCTTGAAATGAATAGTACATCCTGAACTCTCAGAAACTTGCGCCTTAAGACGACCTCGACATGACTTCAAATCCTGGCTTACTTCGCTCTCAACCCATACGTCTTCAACCCTAGCTGTATAGGTCTCCAACCGAACTGGTCTCCACGGCCCAGCCGTCATCAAAATAGGGCCCCAATCCCAGCCCCAATGATACCCAGCCTTCCGGACCGAGCTCCGCCCGGCTTCCGTTTGATGTGTAATGAACCGGTGCTCGGGATGTTGCTTAACACGCTCCCGTCCACACAACAGAGCAGACTCAAACAAGATATCAAGCGTCATGACGTTGCCAGACCCCGGCACCAAATGTTTCGTGATATCAACTCGATGAGTAATAAACATATTATCGCTTTTTAGGATGGGTTCACCATTCAATTTGACACTCGCGATAGTATCTAGGCCTTCGAAGAGGAGATCACATCGTTGACCAGCTTCCAGCTTTGGTGACACAAACTCGACTCGATATATCCAGTCTCGCTCACCAACCCACTGTACCTGAAGCTCGTTCATCCCAACGAACGGGTCAGGTATCACACTGTGCTGGATAAGATCGAGGTGTACAACGGTTGGTACGTTGCGAACGCTACGCCATGCTTCTAGACTGCTATCGCTGGCATCCCGGAATTGCCAGCCCTGCGAAAGCTCGAGCGACTTGAAGCCGGACATTGTTATCGTTTACTTACCAACCAAGGCTTGCAGCAGCAGAAACACTAGTCCCAGTCAGATTATTTATGAAATATTCAATAGGAGATATAACGGAGGCAAAGGACAAAAAAAACATCATAAACATCAAGTTGTATACCCATATTGAAACCCCGCTCTACTAGATTGACCCCGCAAAATCCAATCGGCCATAGCTGCCAGATCAAAAGAATCTTGGCCTTTTACAGCCAATAAGACTATCTCACTATGTCAAGGTACTATGATATCAACTCCAAACCCCACGTCGACATGGCTGGCACACGGCATTTGAAAACCACGTGTCGAAAACGGCTTAGTGGATCATCCTTTGCATGAGCCATACCGTATCAGACACGGAGTTTTATATTCGCGCATCATGATACCGGGGCGGTACGCTTAGTGCGTAATTTATTCTATAGGCATTGTTGTGCAGAGTAATCGAGCGTGTAGGTAGTATGCATGGGCGTTAGAGGATCACAGTGGTTGGGTCTGCTCTGGCTGATGTGGATGTAGATAGGTATGATTTGAACTGGTTTTCAGGGTATGATGCCGAACGAAAGGCTACACACCCTGCTACAAATTTCGGGTTTGATCATCCTAGATTCTAGGTAAACTCGATTTATGGTAATTGATAATGGTGGATTTGCATTTATGTGTTTAATTGAACTATGTGACTGAATTCATGGGTTCTGTCATGCATATCTAAAGCATTAGAGCTCACATCTTAGCGCGGGCCTTTTCCACTGACTCCGGATTTGACATCGAGCTTCCTGGGTCAAAGGCCTGCATGTCCACAAGCCGGGTATTTACCTGGATTGAGTTTAGCTAAAATATAATGGTCAGGATATACCAACTCACATGCTGGAGTGACAGCTGATCAATACGTTGAACACCGAGAAGTCTCATAGCAGTGGCTGTTTCGTCGGCAAAGACTGCACAAATCAGTTATGACAAGCCCGGTATATGTTCAGCATTTATAGTAAACCTACTCTGCAATGTCCTTTCGACACCCTCTTGCCCACCAGCTGCAAGGCCGTACAAAGCCGCTCGTCCAATCCCGACAGCCTTAGCACCAAGCGCTAGTGCCTTGATGACATCTGTCCCTCTTTGGATGCCGCCGTCAACAATGACATCCAATCGATGAAAGACCTCCGGACAGAAGCGTCTAATCTCCAGTAGGACATGTATAGGAGTTGACACGGTGTCCAATGCGCGGCCACCGTGGTTCGAAAGTACAATACCCCGGACCTGGGGTGCATGTTTTGCGGCGAGGATAGCGTCTTCATATGTTTGAATACCCTTTAGAACAATTGGCAGGGATGTATGCATCCTGAGCCAATTGAGGGTTTTCTCCCACGTGAGTGAGGCATCAGTTCCCCAGACCTGAGGTGATGACGCTGCACCAACGGCGCGCAGTTCTTCCATCTTTTGTCGCTCCTCAACCTCGCGTTTACCGGGAAATGGAGCGTCAAGCGTGAGACAGATGAACTTGATTTCTTTGATTGAGTTGATTTCGGCGATTCGCTTCTCGCTACGTTTCGTGTCTTTTAGGCAATACAGTTGCCAGCCGAAGACTTGGTCTGGATGGGCGTTTGCGATAATCTGCTGTGTGGTCATCGAGGCGTTGTGGGAGATCAGTTGCATTGCCCCGAACTTTCGGCAGGCTGCTGCAATGCCGGCTTCGCCCTGTGGGTGGGCGAGACGAGCCATTGCTGCTGGGGATATGTAGATCGGTAGCCCGAGCTTGAGGCCGAGGAAACGGGTGGAAAGATTGCATTCGCGACAATCTATGAGTACTCGTGGTCTTAGTAGGATCGAACGGTATATGAGATTGTTGTGCACTTTTGTGATGCTGTCGTCCGTTGCAGAGGAGTAATATGCCCAGCCCTTAGGGCTGAGTTTTCTCTTGGCAACTCGTTCGATTTCGGCGAGGTTCAGCAGTGATGATAGCGGTGCGTCTTCGGAAGCCTCTTTAGATGCTGACTGCTTGGAGACGCTTGTTGGCTCCGCAGCCTCTGGTGCGGATGCGGATAGCACACCCAAACATGCCTTAGGAGGGAGGTACTCTTTTAATAGACCTGGGGGATGTATGGTATCATACTCCTCTGTTGCATCTTTCCCAGCCAGGGCTAGGATAGCAGCAGAGCCGCCGGGATGATTTCCGAGAAAGTTAGTGACCTATATTTAGTTAATTGAAATGCACCCTGTTGAGAAAGTTGTCGGATTCTACTCACGTTGTATACTTTGCCGTAGAGGACAACCCAGCAACTATCGGCGGAATTGTGTTTGGCGACTCAATCACGTTAGTACCTTTAACCCTCATACTTTCTCGCTTGGCATAGAATGATTCAATGGCTTACCTTCCGAGCGCTTTATCATAGTGAAGACTTGAAGGATCTAACAAGGCAGCTCCTGGGCTTGATCTGACACGGCGTTAGCGGTCAAGGAAAGCTGGTCCTGCAACGCCTCTAGTATTGCTCGCAACACCTACGAAGAAACCCGGTGCCCCCACGCTTCTGACAAGGTAAGTATTTCAACGAGACCCCCACTACCCCAGTGTTTGACAGACATGTTATAGCACTAGTAATCGGTGTTACCGGGAGGTATTTAATCTTGTCTTTCGGACTAAACCCCAACCAACTGGATTAAAAACCACTTACTCTTATACTATTCGTAGTAAAGTAATGCGAAGAGATTGGACAATGTGGGGATAGACTGTCTGTCAACGGGCAGTCCTAACTTCTTGGCAAAGGCTTCCCCGTGGGGATGTGCCCTAGGTATTGGGGTACTATAAAACAGGCTCTGGAATACCATTGGGACGTATTCTTATTTGCACACCTCAGTTTGGCTTGCACCGAATCTTGCGATCTGATGGTATGGCTGAGAAAAGAAGGAGTAAGGACCTTGATATGGCACCACCAGAACCTGAGCATCTTGAATCAGCTGGCCTGTCAAATGGCAAAGTTCAAGGAGATCCCCCTACCCTGGCAGAAGTTATTGAAAGAAACCGACCCGATCCATGGGGTTCGGGGTATAGAAAATTATATCTCATGTCTGCTTTGGTTTTCCTGTGCTCTACTATGAATGGTAAGTATCTTGACTCCTATGGTCACTCATGACAGGTAGCTGATGCTTGGTTCAGGCTACGACACGAGTCTCATGGGCTCTATCAATGCTCTTCCGAACTATACTGAGTATTATAATCTTCCGAACGAGGGCTCTGTGAGCACTGGAATCGTTTTCTCCATATTCCAGGTGTGAATAACTGCCTATAGGAGACAGGTTGAAAGACTAATCAGACTCTATTAGATTGGCCAGATGGCAGGTGCACTTTTCATCTGGATGGCAGATTGGCGCGGGAGACGAACGCATATCTTTATTGGCTGTCTCGGAGTCTGCGTCGCCACAGTTGTCACCAGTACAGCGGAGAAGCTAAGCGTCTTCATTGGGGGGAGATTCTTGCTGTCATTCTTTGCGACTTGCGCTCATACAGCCTCTCCCTTGTTGCTCGTCGAGCTTGCCCCTCCCCAGTATCGTGGGAGCGTAGCTGGAATGTACAACACACTTTATTATGCTGTGCGCTACCGATTCAGTTCCTATTCTGAAAAGAAGACCTTCTGATTGACTTACTAGGGCTCAATACTCGCAACTTCATCCGTGTATGGCGCCCATCTACACTTGGCACACCGTAGCCATCTAGACTGGCGTCTTCCACTCTGGCTCCAGATGGTATGCCCTGGAATTGTCTGCTTGGGTATCTGGTTTGTCCCAGAATCGCCCCGTTGGTTGGTTCTCCTTCTCTGAAGAAAACGCGAAAAACTAAACTCGTACAGGCTCATCGCAAAGGATCGCCATGAGGAGGCCCAAGCCTTCATCGTAAAGTATCACGCCAACGGCGACGCTTCACACCCAATTGTGGTGCTTGAGATGAACGAGATGAGAGATAATTTGCAACAAGAAGGCATTACGCACTGGCGTAACTTCTTTGATCTTTCAGTGCTTGTCAAGTCCCGTTCTCGCCGGTATCGTCTCATGCTCAATCTGGTCTTTAGCTGGTTTGGACAATTCTCGGGAAATAAGTCAGTCACCTCAGATGTGCTTGTTGATACGAGAGAAAGACGACTAACTTTCCATACAAAGCGTCATCTCGTACTACCTTCCAACGCTGCTGAAAAATGTTGGAGTTACAAATACTGATACTCAGCTCCTGCTCAACATTATCTATGCGTTGACTGGATGGATCGCTGCCACGATTGGCACGCGTTTCCACGACATTGTTGGCCGCCGGAAAATGTTTCTTGGTTCAACAGCTGGGATGGTCATCTGTTTGGCAGTCACGGCAGCAACAGCTGCTGCCTTCCTCCACAGTGGCAGCACAACGGCATCGTCAGCTTCGATCGCTTTTATTTACATATTCGGTGTTGTATTTGCGTTCGCTTTCACATCCATGCAACCTATCTATCCCGGTGAAGTCATGTCAAACGATATGCGGGCCAAGGGTATGGGAACATTCAAACTCACGGCTGGTGCTGCGGGCTTTGTCAATACCTTCGCGGCACCGATTGCTCTGGCAGATGTAAGTTCATAATACCCTTGGCTGTACAACCAGGCTGCCCTTGCGCGAAGGATAACAGCTAACTATGGTAAATAATTATAGATCGGGTACTGGTTCTATGTCTTTTTTGTTTTCTGGGATTGCTTTGAGTTTGTTTTCATCTACTTCTTCTTTGTTGAGACCAAGGGTCGCACCCTAGAAGAACTGGAGGAAGTTTTTGAAGCCCCGAATCCTCGCAAGGCGAGTCTCAAGGTTCCATCGCGGCGTCGCCGTGATGGAGATTGGTAAACATATTGCAATGACGTGAAAATTACGGGTTAATTGGCTTTATAGACCGGTCCTCCTGGTCATCGCTAGAGAGAACAAGCCAATGTATCGGATAGCTTGAAATGTACATATCGAGTAGTCCGGGCATTTGCCTGACCAGTTATCATTGTCGATCCTAGGCCAGCTGAAAAATCATGCCCTGCTTAATTTTGTCGATCTCTGACTTTTTCAGAGGGTCTTTACCGTTGTAGCTGCTCTTCCTGCGTTCTGCACTGCTCATCGCCGTGATGTCATACTGTATTCCTCCAATCTTAGGCTTCTTTCTCTCTTGTCCGTGGAGTTTCTCATACTGCTTGAGGACAGCAGCCCAGCTCCAAGGGTCGTCTTTAGCAGGTGGTAATTCGACTTGATCCAAGGCTTCAACATAACTATCGAGGTCGCACGGACCACGCAGCTCAATGTTGTATTTCTTAGCATAGGCTAGAATCTTTTCGTCCGAGTTATAGAATGCTGCAACGTTGTTCGTCTTATCATCATTTCCTTCGCAAATACCGTAGGCGCGTATGTCAGAAGGTGCGCACAAGTACAAAGCCATAACCATTCCGAGGTTCTTGATTTCCGAGTCAGGGCCAAGAAGTCCCTGGGACTCTAGTTTGGCAAGCATAGTGAGGAACATAGCTAAAAACAGACAGAATGTATCGTCTGCGAGATCTCCATCGTCGACGCTATACCTGTCAGCAGAGATTATCCATAGAATGGGGATTCTTGACGTACTATGCCAAAGGAATGAACATATCACCGAAGATGGCGATACCCACAGCCTCACAAACGGCCCACTGCTCTTTCCAGTCACCTTCGGCCTCTACGAAATCAAGGATCAGGTTTTGCGCGACCTCTACAAGACCCTAGCCTGTGAAGTCGTTGAATACATCCATCTCGAAAACATCCGGGCAGCGTATATCCGCATGAACATGCTGGTTTGTGAACTTCCGCACACCTGCGCGCGTGGCCACCCAGGGATATTCGGGATGGTCTGAAGCAAGTTTGTGGCAAAGGCACATTTTGCCGCCATCGCATTTGGGGTTGGGGTTGGCATCCTCTACTGAGTCCTCAGGCTCATCATCTGCACTGCCCTCTGTCTCCCATTCTTCGTCTTCATCTTCGACCTCACTAGTGGGTGGGCAAAAGCAGACATATGAAAAGGCATGATCATAGTCATTTGTCACGAACCAAGAATAATGGGCGTCCAGGTTGGCGGAGACGCAAGGCTTTGACCAGCGGTTGCTTCGCGGCTGTGGCCGTGGCTGCGTCGGCGCGTCGTTGCTGTTCTTATCGCTTTTGGGACCCTTGCTAGGCATGACAGATTATAGTAGGATTAGAATTGATGATGACTGCTAGGAAAAAAGAAATCAAAAGGAGAGAAATTGGTTGAATGAAAAGGAGTTGGTGAATGGTGTGATGTGTACGCGTTTCTTTATACTGAGCAATAGAAGGGATTGTTAACGTGACCCGCAGTGACAGGTCTAAAAACTAATGACCCGTGACTTGATTTTACTCAGTACACCCTTGAGCTTGCAATCATCGGTTTATCTCCATGTATGACCGTATGATTACACGATACGTCCATTTTCTTTGTGATCTTGTGGATTTACGGTTTCTGTAAGGCTTACAGAACACGTACAGTGTACTTATACAGAGGCCGTGCACGGAAAGTCCTCGCCAGGTGGGTCATAGCCACGTGACTGATAGGCCAATAACATGGCTAGAATATGTGGAAGTTTGAAATATTATTGATCCAATGGCACGTGACCCAATGACCCACCTGGCTAGGGCTTTCCGTGCACGGCCTCTGTATAAGATGTAGACTTATAAGTTATTACTTGGAGTTGTACGGACTACGGAGTATTCAGTTGATATTTATAGAACATGCTAAGTGTATCAGGGTGTCTCCCATTGGATTGAGAGTTGCTATACAATGTATCGAGTCTCCACCACAACATCATAAAGTGGATATAGTACTCCATAACAGAAACAGACGTCATGGCTCTAGGGTTCGCCTAGTATGGACATACCAAGCGTCATCTCTGATAGACTGATTGGTTTCAGAAACTGTTGTTATATCTTTTCAGGTGCCCAGATGTGATATATGCTTACCTTGTACGAGTACTGTCAATATCATCACGATATCATCAAGAGACGAGCATTCCATGATCAGTCATATGGGATCCTATATGACTATCTAACAACGGCGCACATAGGCAGAGCAGGAACCCGCAGTCCACAAATCTTCTCAGCCCCGCCCCGGATAGCGACATGTCTGCTGCTGCTCTTATATTGAAGTTTTCCACATGCGGAGAGTTATTGTCTGAGATGCACCCTACCATTCACTTAAAGACTGGTGGGGATATGGTTATTATCGTAATACAACTGTAAGCGAAATGCTCTTCATGAGGAAGGAATATTAATTCGTTTTCTTTGCGACCACATGGGAGCACGATAGCTTTTGTTTAAACATATGTGCTAGATGGTTAGTAGTAATTAGTGTAGCACGATGATTCTAATCTCTAAACAGAAATATCAAATAGTGGTCCGACGGCTCACTAGTAGCATGAAATAACAGTTTACAGCCTGCTACCAACGCTCATATGAAGCAAGTAGGACATCCATGTTCTTTAGATACTCTCTTGAGAACATTCGTGGCTACAACTGCTGCGGCCTTGCCTAGTCTCCGACCAAAAACAGCCCCCGAGGTCAACCCACTCCCACCTGAGTAGTTAGAGTAGAGGAGACCTCCAACCATCTCACCGACACAGAAGATCCCGGGTATGGGGCGGCCAGTAGACGCAGCGGCTAACTGTGCGGCTTGAGGGTCCACTTTGAGGCCTCTGAATGTGAAGGTGATACCACAAGTGACCTTGACAGCAAGACAAGAGGCTTTGTCTAGTGGTAACGCCCAGTTCGACTTTGCTAGAGCCAATTGTTTCTGAGAAGATTGGGTAGATAAACCATCCTTGACTGCAGGATTCCACTTGGCTGATGGATTCTCCTGCCGATGAGCATAGACAGCCCCATTATACTCTCGAATGGTGCGGACGAAGGCCTCCCGGTCGTGAAGACCGCATTGTTCACACTTCTCGGCAAGCTCTTCCAAAGACTGTGCCGTAATATGCTCCACACGCTCCTCGCGGTATCCCTCAGACCGGAGCCAGCGGCTGGTCTGGGAGTCCCGTACCTGGAACGCAAGCTGCTCCGGTTGTTGGAGAATCGCCCGGCCGAATTTCGCGTAGGTATAGCTTCGCAGGTCAATACCTTCATCGACGAAGCGCTGACCGTCAACGTAGAGCATTAGGCCGAGGGGGTAACCAGACTTGGTGTACTCATTGGAGGCCGCGCAGTCGTCGATATTGGGGTTGGCATTGACATCCCAGGCCACAGAATGACATCCGGACCAGTCTCCCACGGGTTGTACAGCGAGCTGTCCAATGGCGATTTCGAGACAGTCGCCGGTACTGTAAGGTGTGCCACGAACCAGAGCGAAACCCCAGCCAGGCCCGAGGAATTGGCTTCGCATCTGCGCTTTCGATTCAAGTCCACCAGCGGCCAAGATTACAGCCCCAGCCCTGATAACCTGTTTCTTGTCCCCAGTCTTGGTTGTAACGGTGAAGGACCCGTCTAAATTCGAATGGATCCCAACTAGCCTAGTCGGCCAAATCACCTGAATCCGATTTCTCTCCGCAGCAGTCCGATAGTCATCAATGAGCACTTTTCCACCATCCCCTGTCTTTAGACTCAGTCCACCCTAGAACTTGATCCTCCCGTCGACCTCGTACGCCTGCCGATTGAACGATAGCTGGAACCGAATACCTTGCCGTGCTAGCCACTTGATTGTCGAGTTGGAGTCCCCAATCAAAGTTTTTGCAAGTTCCAGGTCTGAGCGCCCCATGCACACCTTGTTGAGGTCGGCCAGAAAGTTCTCCGAGTAGGGCGTTAGGTGGATCTTCTGCACCTGCTCCGGAGTTACATTTCCGACAATGGGTAGAAGGTCTTATAAGCCACCATGTACCGTGCGGTAGGCTCCAGCTGTGAAGTATGTGTTGCCACCTGCCCATTCTTCGGGGCATTTATCGATTAGCAAGACCCGCTTGGCGCCGGCTTGTGCGGCTGAGATTGAGGACGCGAATCCTGCGTTGCCGCTGCCTACGACGAGACATCCACTTCTTTGGGGATTGTAGACATGTCGCTTTGGAGGACAACGGCCTAATAGCGAGATAGAAAGTATTGTATAGTTGAGAAGACACTTGGAAGTTAAGACAAGAACCTCAGGGAAGCGCCATACGAAGTCAGAAAGCCGAGTCGTATCCGCTTCGAATCGGCTAGAATAAGAAGCTCGGTACTTGAAGTTGACTTATGTTCTTTACTTATGGAGGTTGCAATTTTGGATCTTGCGTTTGTCTATACACTGATACAACGACGTTTTCGTGTCAGCTTCTGAGCCGGAGAGTAAGTCTCCGAGCACACTTCAGACATCGCAAGATTCGATAGGCTGGCTTGTAGAGAGGTCTTGTGCCCACAACTATGAAGCAAGCATCGACGTCAGCGGTCCGCATGGGAAGCTGTTACCTCCTTAAGGAAACGAGCGAAGCACATGGGGTGAAGAATAATTCCTTTGCTACGTTCTTGATGGGTGCCATCGCAGGCACGGTCACTGTCTATACCACCCAGCCCTTCGACTGCATTAAGAGCCGGTCGCAGGCATTGGACTCTACGAGAACCTTCGAGGCCTTCAAAAATAATTTATTGGAGTATAGCATGAAGGAGTTTTGGTGTGGTAGTATTATGCGGCTTGGGAGGCTTCTTCTTGGGGTGGGGATTGTGTTTACTGTCTATGCAAAGACTCGCTTCACTCTACAGGAAGTATTGGTACCCGATAATTAAAGAGATATAGAGAAGGGTATCTCTAGTTATACAATAAACATATGCTTTATAGCTGCCATATCCTCATCCTTGTCACTGTATGTCACCTTGTCCTTTAAGTGTTCCTATGCACCGACAATTGACATAGCCCAGTGCTCATCTTGCATTGATATATCCTTCGCTCTTCCAATCTCTTATCCTTATTGAACCCCCTCTCCGGAGAGAGAATCCCAACAAGAAATATGCCTTGGGTTGAACTTACAGGTGCCATCTCCGGCCATCCCGCGAAGATGCGATCAATAAGTTACGGGCCAACAAAGTGTTCAAGGATTTCGACACACGTGCCTTTGATAGATTTGTGAAATACGGACTTCGAGACCTACCGACTGAGCTGTATCCGTGCTATGAAGATCACGGTACAACACCAGTGACCTTAGCAACCACAAAGGCCCAGGAGCTATATACCTACCTACGGCCAACCTACCAAGATGGAAAGGTCGGTTTTCGGGAGGGAGAATGGCGGGAGGAAATGCGTCCAGAAAGATCGAGAGGAAGGGTATCCATGATACAGACCGGAACCTGTCTTTTGGTTTCACCCGTCTCCCCCAGCTACGACCTAGTGTGCTGTATATCTTTGGAGAGCGATCCAAGATCTCCACACCACCGCTCCGCCGGGAGATGTTGGAAATGACCGGATCCGGTGTTAGAGGCAGTGGAGGGACGCATCGAGAAAGGGTCAAGGAGGTTGTACTCCCCACAGGACATTTAGTTCCCATGGAGAATGCACTGGAGTGTGCTCGTGTAAGTGCTTCTTTGTCCCATTCCGAGGTGTCTAGATGGGAGACCGACCAGCAGTAATTCATTCAAGAATGGAAAGCAAAGCCTCGGGGGGAGAAAATTGTGGTTGACGATAGATGGAAAGGAAAAATTGGTTCCGTGGCTGGGAAACCAAGGATATAAGGAATGAGACCATTTATTCATTCTATTTTTAAGAACATTCACAATTTCCGAAACAGATGTCCAACCAGGGAATATCATCCTATCCATTCGGCAGCCTCAGTAGACAATTATCTTCTAATCGAACAGCGGAACACAAATACAGGAATAACCGCTGCATTTACCTTCCCCAGAAACACCCTTGAAATACTCAATTACAGACTCTAATCTGATTAAGCTAGCGGCAAATTACTTTACAAGGTGTGCCCGCGACCGCAGGGATGATTTTTGGTAATCTGAAAGCACCCTGTTGGCAGACAGTAGCACACGCCGTTGCTGCCCGGCTGGCGGACCGGGGTTTTTAGGTTGCGGTTGCGGTTGCGGTTCAATATCTCCATCCTGCGGGATAGCATTGGCCAATGATACAATGAACATCATGAATAAAAAGACGATAAAATGTCTCATCTTGGTTGTTCAAGACGTGGATGATAGTAGTAGTAGTAGCAGCAGTAGCAGTAGCAGTAGCAGTAGTAGCAGTAGTAGCAGCAGTAGTAGCAGTAGTAGCAGTAGCAGTAGCAGTAGCAGTAGTAGCAGTAGCAGTAGCAGTAGCAGTAGTAGTAGTAGTACTACTACTACTTGGTAGTGGTAAGAGATCGTCCAGCCAAGTCAATTGTAGATGCAAGAAAAATGGATAAAAATTACTTTGGTAAAAATGCTTACCAGACCATTTTTTATAAATACTTGCCAAGCTTACTAGTGCCGAAGATCCCCCTCCGTGCACACTCGTAAGATATTGAAGCTTGTGGTTGACACACCCCATACAATTTCACTAAAATGATACCGTTCAGCGTTCCTACAGTAGCTGGCTCAGAGCTCCAATATATTGAGCAAGCGGTGCGGAAAGGCACCCTCAGTGGGGATGGAGAATACACCGTCTTATGTCAAAATTGGCTGGAAAGGAAATTACTAGCTGCTAAAGTATTCCTGACTCCATCTGGAACTGCTGCCCTAGATTTGGCGGCATTGGTCCTGAACATCCAGCCGGGAGATGAGGTCATTGTTCCCAGCTATACCTATGTTTCTACCGCAAATGCCTTCCTCCTCCGTGGGGCCTCGTTGGTGTTTGTGGATATTGTGCCCGAGACCATGAACATGGACATGGAAAAGCTCCAGGATGCGATCACTGACAAGACCCGTGCAATCGTCCCGGTTCACTATGCTGGTGTCGCTTGCGACATGGATGCGCTTTTGCACATAGCCAAGGAACAGGAGATCTATGTTGTGGAAGACGCGGCGCAGGGTTTGTTCTCAACCTACAAAGGTCGTGCGCTGGGCACAATCGGTCACATCGGGTGTTTCAGCTTCCATGAGAGCAAGAACGTGACAGCAGCCGGGCAAGGTGGCGCGATACTCATTAACGACCCTGGCCTTGTCGAACAAGCGGAAATTATCAAAGATAAAGGCACCAACCGCCAAGGGTTCCTGCGAGGGGAAGTCGCCCACTATACCTGGCAGCAGGCTGCAGCCAGCTATACCCTCAGCGAGATACAGGCAGCCTACCTTTGGGGCCAGCTGGAAGCGTCTGACCGGATACAAAACCAACGTTTGGAGATATGGAATTTCTACTACAGGGAATTATCTAAGCTAGGAAATGATGTACCCATTGCTCTCCCGTCGGTACCATCTTACTGCCAACACAATGCACATATATTCTTTATTAGAGTAGAGGATGGAGAGCAGCGGAAAGATTTCATTACCGCGATGAAAGATGCAGGGATAACAGTTCTCGCCCATTATAGCCCTCTACACTCGACTGTCCCCGGCGCCCAAGGTCGGCACGTCCTTGACCGACAGGACTTTGCAACTCGCGAAAGCGAGAGGCTAGTTCGCCTTCCGATCTTCTATACGATGACCATGGAGCAAGTACGCAAGGTGGTTGAAACAATGAAGTGGTATTTTGTGAGGCGATTGACTCATATATAGAGATGCAGCGAATTGAGTGTGCTCTTTCTATATCTTTTCCCTCCAAACATAACCTCAGGAATGTAGTATTACAGCCGCACTCCACGGTGGCCACCACGGTTCATTTCCTCAATATGCCAATGAATGGTGTGTCTTAGGCCCTCTTCGAGAGACATAATCGGTTTCCACCCCAGCTCTTTCAGCGCTAGAGAATTGTCTGGTCGTCGAATAGTAGGATCATCCACCGGCGATGGAAGGAATGTGATATTGACCTTGGGGTGCTGACTAGTAATGTTCGCTACTAGCTCCGCAACCATTTCCGCTAACTGTAATATGGTATTCTCGTTATCGTTCCCTATGTTCACCGGTCCTTTTGCGTAATTGCTATTCATCAACTTATACAGGCCGTTCGCGCAGTCACTAACATATTGGAATGAACGTGTCGCTGAACCGTCGCCAGTCACCTGGATTGGTTGTCCCGATAACGCGCTCGCAATGAATGACGAAACAACTCTTCCATCCGAGGCAGCCATTCGCGGTCCGTACGTATTAAAAATACGGGCGATCCGAATATCAGTCCCTTGCTGTTCCCGATATCCATACATTAGAGCCTCCCCGACTCGTTTCCCTTCATCATAGCAAGATCGGGGACCAAACGGATTCACGTTCCCCCAGTACGTCTCCGGTTGGGGACAGACCTTGGGATCTCCGTAGACTTCTGCAGAACAGGCAGTTCCAATTAGTAGTTGTTCTTTGCCTTAAGGGGTACATGGTGGTTGCACGTTACGAACCAGATGTGCTTGTGAATAGAATTCGGATCTTGCGCTTTGTTGCGAATTCTAGCAGACTTTTCGTCCCTCGGTAGCAGGTATCTAGTGTGCCAATATGGTCTTTCTGGTACTGAATAGGGCTCGCTGGACAAGCAAGGTGATATATCTGGTCCACAATAGGCAATACTGGTAAAGAGTCTCGCACATCATGGCTGTTCAAAGCGAGTCAGGATCATAACCCTTTTACAACCCAGGTCCCCACTTGCTGTATGGCTCACATACCGGACAAGGGTAAATTTGGTACTAGACACCAAATGTTTTAGGTTGTTGGGAAAGCCCGTTTGGAAGTTGTCCAGGCCAATTACCTCATGGCCTTTCTCTAGCAAAAGGTCTACAAGATGTGACCCTAAGAACCCGGCCGCCTACTAACATCAGTATATTAAGTAATTTCGTATATTCTTTCCGCAAGGCGTACCCCAGCAACCAGAATCTTGAGTTTTTTATCTTCTGATAAATCTTGGCCGGGCATTTTCAGTCAATTTTGGACCCAAAGAACTCTGCTACTGTTTGCCGAAGAGAATGAGAGTGATCTCCGTTCGGATCTCGCGAAGTACTAGGTTATATATGCGAAAGCTTAAGCCCCGCACAGCTGGCCAGAACTTTTAGGACCTAGTATTTGATTGTTTCGCTAGTCGAATAAAATAACTGACTAGTTAAAATTAGTCTGAGCCAGCTGAGAAGGGCGGTCTCTAGCATTTTAGGAAGGACCTTTCAGTATAACAAACCTCGGTTGCAACAACATCATTTCCCCGCAAGACAACCACACCAATATTCCTCCACGTATCTCTCTATAACTGTCCAAAATCCTCAACAAGCTGGCAATGGTCTCCGCGGTCGTTTTCGGGTACCACAACGTAGGCGTGAGGTGTCTATCGGTTCTCCTTGCACAGAAGATCGAGGTAAAGCTGGTGGTTACTCATTCAGATGATGAGGACGAGAATATCTGGTTCGACAGTGTATCGAACCTTGCGAGCCTACATGGAATCCCCGTGGTTACCCCCGACAGTCCAAATACAGAAGATATGATTATGCGTCTACGATCGCTGAACCCCGATTTTATTTTCTCTTTCTACTACCGCCAGATTCTGAGCGTGCCGGTACTGGAGACCGCGCGTCGTGGATGTTACAATATGCATGGCTCCCTGTTGCCTCACTATCGTGGACGAGCCCCTGTCAACTGGGCTCTCGTGCACGGTGAATCCCAGACGGGCGCCACCCTCCACGAAATGGTGAGAACGCCCGACGCAGGCGATATTGTGGGGGATATGGCGGTGCCTATCCTGCCCAATGATACGGCCTCGGACGTTTTTTCCAAGGTCTTAGTCGCGGCAGAGTTGGTTCTCTGCCGAACCCTACCTGAGATAGTGAGTGGGACGGTGGTTGCGAGAAAGATGGATCTCAGATCCGGGTCCTACTTTGGCGGACGCAAACCACAGGACGGATTGATCGATTGGAAAACGATGGGGGCACAACAAATTCACAATCTTGTACGAGCTGTGACACATCCGTATCCTGGGGCGTTCATGGACACGGAGAGAGGACGAATAATCATTTGGCGCACATTGGTGGTAGTGGATAGCCCTAACTCTACCGCTCAGCCTAGTCTGCGGCAGGAAAGAGGTCGCTTGCTCGCAACAGCTTGCGATGGAGGGGTCCTGCGCATTGTCCACGCAGAATTGGAGGGTCGAGTGTTGGACCAGGGGACTTTTATGAGGATTTTCGGCTCTTCATACCCACTTCCTTAAATACTACCCAATAAGGCCACGCCATGTGGCGTAGTCTACACAATGAGGGGAAGGAAGAATGACACGAAGTAAATCCCCAGTCAGCTTGCACAAGAGCCTACTCTAGATATTCATTTCGACCGGAGACAGCCCCATAGGCGCCTCCTCCTCTACGGAACATATCTCGTAGATCTTCAATGAGTGACTCCGGAGCTTCCCAGGCAAAACAATGGCCGCTCCGGTCCTTCTGACGATCGAAGACAATTGGTCCTAGCTTTCTCACCCAGGTACTTGGACTGATTCGCAACTCAAGGGGCAAATGACTATATCCTATCTTGACAGAATCAATCCAATTCCCCTGTACGGGCGCGGGTCACTTTGTTTGGGGCACTGTCTTTCCACGTGTGCGTTGCTTCATAGTAAATCAGTAATAATGCGACCTATCTGGGTTGGGACGCCCTGAAAATTGGTAGCTCGGTGAGCGTCCATCGCAAGCACAGCCTGGGTAGCGATTCTCGAACCAAGTACCACCAACGTCGGCATTCTTGTCAAAGCATTTGATTTCGATGTTGAGGTCGACTATGGACTTTGATGCGGTTGCATGATGAAGAAAGTCGATCCCTGGGCTCCGGCTCCGGCTCCCATGACGATCATCTTAAAGGGTTCATCGTTGCGATACGGCTCTCCCAGTACGTTGCTTCCCACAACATACCCATCGGACGTAGGTTGGTGTCATTCCGGATAGTCGACTGGGCGTTTTTTAGACGCTGGATGTGGCCCTGCACTGTTGCTGCCGACTTGAAGAGGGATATCCCGCTGTATTTCTCACATGGTCGTGATTATTTTGCTTTCAGAGGCTAGAGATCTATGACTTGGTTTAATCTTAGAAGTACGGCCTAAAGGATATATGTCAGTTGAATAATAGTAAATATGCGGCCTTCGTGGCGAATCACTGTTTCATATCCGGATATCTTCAAAGTCACTCGGAGAATCAGTCTCCGAGTCTCTTTGTTAGGGAGTTGAGGCGGTGCTCATGTCGGCACATTACAACTGAACAGGCATCCATAATTTTCGGCTGGGGTGTGCTAGAATTGGACGCCATGGGTCACATAGACTAAAGTGCTATTGAGCAGACGTAAATCAACTCCCAAGAGCAATCTGCTATGACTATATACAGCCATCTAGGGCTTCATTTTTGCTTTCTTTTACCATCCGACATAGCCGGTCGGGCGCATTTCGATTCTATTCATTTCACAAAGAAAAACGCAGAGCAGGAATCAAGGATGCAATACCCAATGTGACTTGAAATTCTATACTACTACTAAACAAGTGAATCACTTGAGCCAAGTCATCTTTAGCTAATTCCTAAATGGTGTATATTTCAATATGAATTATATACAAGTGGAGTAGCCCGGTCCATTAGAATCGTGCTAGCCAAACTTGACAGTTCGAGTTGCTGCCCTGATCGATTAACTATCTTCGGTCATAGAAAGGAGATCTTTCTTGAGAGTCGAGACCCTGTTGTACAGCAATTCGGCATATGCCTAGGTTGTCATAGCTATAGATTCCCCAAATTGGGCACTGACGCAAGATCTGTTTCTGATTCTCAACAGCACAAAATTCTTGGCGCATCATCAATGCCCCGAGGGGTCCCAGTTCCGAGGGGGTCAGGATTTAGTGGCTGGGGGTCAGAGTGGTTCTGACCCCCCCGAGAGATCTACCGCCTTTGTCACATGATAAGATCTCCGAGGGGGTCAGAACTTTATATATTATATAATCGAGCTCTAAGGGGGTCAGAAATTTTTAATAATTCTGACCCCCTTAGAGCTTTAATTTTAGCTATTTTAATTTTTAAACTATATTTAAACAGGAAAGATTTTAAGAGTTAATTAACTTTAGATTATATTTAAATAATATTTAAAGTAAATTTAAACTAAATATAATTTAATATCTTTTATATATTATTAAATAATAAAGACTTAAAAAACTGTAGTAGTCACGTAACAAATCTCTAAGGGGGTCAGAAAATACTCCTGATTTTTTAAGATTAGTAAGAAATAGCTCTGAGGGGGTCAGAAATTACAATATCACGTGAAGCGGCAGTATTTTTTCTGACCCCCTCGGAGATGGTTTCTCCGCCCCACCCTGACCCCCAGCCACTAAATCCTGACTCCCCCGGAGCTGTATGCCCCCATGCCCCGATTAGGGCACCGATTGGACCGGTGATTAGTCAACCCTCTATTATGTCGTGATAGACATGTATTTTAGTTTATCTTAACTAGCCTACCATATCTATATGTCAAAAGAACGGTAATATATCCATTGAAAATACACATCCCACCATTCCAGTCGCCTCACGATACATTTTAATCAAACATGGCACCACAAGTGATTCTGTATGAAGGAATTCCCTACTTCACACCCGCCAACAATGGCGGGGCAGCCAAAGACCCCAAGAATCCCGATACCCCCACTCTATTCCGCCCCCTCAAGATCCGGGGCCTCATATTGAAGAACCGGATCATGGTCGCGCCTATGTGCATGTACTCAGCACAATCCGACCCGTCCTCTCCCTTCGTCGGTGCCCTAACCAACTATCATATTGCTCATCTCGGCCACCTAGCCCTGAAAGGCGCGGGGTTGATTATTATCGAGGCAACCGCTGTCCAGCCCAATGGCCGGATCACCCCTAACGACAGTGGGCTCTGGCAGGAGGGAACTGAGTCGGAGCAATTCCAGGGACTAAAACGCGTTGTAGATTTTGTTCACAGCCAGGGAGCCAAAATCGCTATTCAGCTAGCTCATGCGGGTCGGAAGGCCAGCACTACGGCACCCTGGATTGCAAAGGAGGCAGGAAAGGGCAGTCTACGGGCTGAGGAAAGTGTCGGCGGATGGCCCAGCAATGTTGTAGGCCCATCTGGAGGTGCTGAGCACATATGGGCTCCGGGAGATGGATTCTGGGCCCCACGAGAGCTTCATACCGCCGAGGTAGAGGAGCTCGTGGGGGCATTCGCCAGGAGCGCTAAGCTGTCTGTCCTGGCTGGAGTGGATGCAATCGAGATCTATGGAGCCCATGGCTATTTGATTGGCCAGTTTCTGAGCCCCGTTACCAACAAGCGAACCGATAAATACGGCGGCTCATTTGAAAACCGGACACGGATTCTGCGCGAAATTGCTGCAGCCATTCGGGCCGTGATTCCTGTTGATATGCCTCTATTTCTGCGGATTAGTGCTACAGAATGGCTTGATGGCAAAGTTCCTGAATTTTGGGATCTGCCTTCATCAGTTGCACTTGCTAAATTGCTTCCTGAGTTGGGGATTGACTTTCTTGACGTGAGCTCCGGTGGTAATCACAAGGACCAGGTCATCGATACGCATACCAACTATCAAATTGACCTTGCCAGCAAGATCCGAAAGGAAATTCGACAGGCTGGACAAAGCACATTGGTTGGAGCCGTCGGGTTGATTACGCAGGCAGATGCTGCTAGCCAGATAGTCCAGGGAGCACACATCGACGAAGCGGAAGCAGCTGAAGCGATGCTGACAGGCACACAACCAGAGGCTGACGCTGTGCTGCTAGGACGTCAGTTTCTTCGAGAAGCAGATTGGGTGATCAATGCAGCGAAGAAGTTAGGGGTCCCTTTTACAGCACCTTGGCAGCTTAGCCCCGCAGTTTAAAGTAATATAGCGGAGGGAACAATTCTTTATAACGAAGATTGATAGAAATCTTGGAATATCAGGGACTATGTACTGCCGTTATCCATAGATTAACTTGTTTATGACATATATTCTCAGGTTCAACTTATGATACATTGACTCCCTGAAATCTCCATGCTTGCTAGTTTAGTCTTTTCCCCCTTTGGCCTTGCTACTCTTCACAACCCAGAGCTTACCGAGGTGTATCTTGTCCAAGTAGTTCTGAGCAAGTGTTGTTCTCGAGAGAAGGACAAGAATGAAACACAAACACGCCATAGCAAGGATACTCTAAGGCTCACTCACACAATAAGCAACCAGACAAGTGTGTGTTAGAGAAATATGCTACCAAGTAAGAGGCATGAATGACCCCTCCCCATAAGATAGCGATCCCCCCTTAGTTAAGCCTTCGGACAATTAAACGACAGTCCGAGAGATGCGGCCAGCCTGTCACCCCGCTCGAGAAAATTGCTCAGCCCATTATACGGGGAGACGTATTTTTCTTAAGAGATACTGTGTAGGAGATGATGAAAGATCCCTCGTTAGTCGAGACCCGAGGCTTCATAGGAGGGGAATGAGTGACCGCTGCCTCCGGCCAAACTTTTTCAGTATTCGGCAAGTGAATCACAAGAATGAGTTCCAACATCGGTCTAACAGATTGATTAAAGATCCCGAAGATGACTACGAAATTATCCGAGTTACCGATATGGGCTGCGCCGACACCGTGCTTGCCATCGAATATGCCCAAGAGGCATTCAAGACATACAGCCGAATGCCCCCACCGGGAGCGCCGATGGTTGATACGCCGCTGGGGCGATTTCATAAAAGCCAACAAAGATGATCTGGCGGCGCTCTGCACACTGGAGCTAGGCAAGCCATTCACAGAGTTCGCCGGGAAGTGTGCAATACGCTATTAATTTCATCGATTGGTACGAAACCGCAATCGAGAAAGCTCTGGGGGCAACGATACCCTGCTGCGCGAGGCAACAACCGTATCTTGATTATCCGACAGCCTCAGGGGATCGTGGCGGCCATAACTCTTTAGGACTCTCCACTAGCGATGGTAACGAGAAAGGTGGTAATGCTTCGTTCTTGGTCTTCGCCGACGCTAACCTGGAACAAGCTGCGAAAGGTCAGTCTTTATCCCAGTTGTAAAATAGATAAGATCCTGATTTTCTTCCTCTCCCTTAGGCTTGGTGGCTTCCAAGTTTCGCTCATCTGGGCAGACTTGCGTTTGTGCGAACCTGATTCTGGTTCAAGCGTCCATCATTGAGCACTTTTGCCAATGTTCTACGAAAATGCATTGACGAGACATTCGTGTATGGGTCGGTTTGGGATCCAAAGTCAATTTCGGTTCCTTGTAGAGCGTTAAAGGTATTGACAGGGTCAAACAGCATCTTGAGGATGCTATAACGAAAGGGGCCAGGATTCACTCAAGCAGTGCTGTATCAAACACTGACGGGCTTAATTTCCTCCCCCCCGACGATTATCACCCAGTGCGAACAAGGAATGCGATTCATGGATGAAGAGGCGTTCGGATCAATTGCATTCCTGGTCCCCTTCGAAACCGAGGAACAAGCTATCCAAATGGCTCACGAATCAGACGTTGGGCTGGCGGCATATTTCTACACAGAGGTCATTTCCCGCATGTTTCGAGTGAGCGAGGCACTGAAGGTGGGCATGGTGGGTGCTCGCACTGAGCTCGTAAGCACGGCAGAGCAACTGTTCGGAGGGGTCCACGAGAGCGGACTGGGCCGGGAAGGTGGAATCGCAGCTCTTGAGGAATGTTTGGATATCAAGAGTGTCACAATCGGTATCTGAGGGCGATATAACCGGCATGGAATAGTATTGATTCCCATTCACAGTGGCATTCTATATCGCGCTCTGGTCATCTAGTTCAAAGTAATAGTTATGTAGTCTGCTTCGGCACAAGCGATATTACTAGAATAGCACTCATGGCCTTCTGTAACTCGAACCGGCTCCAAATCGCTTTATAATACAAACAGTTCAGAATAAGCCGGGTATCATCCTCCACCGCACCATCCGCTTATACTCCTCCCACTGTGACCCACACTTAGCTGAGCACCGCTTCTCATCGCGATGGCACCTATGGACCAGCAGTACGGTCATATAAATGAAATACATATATGGTAGAACATGCGACCATCCACAGCACACGCATGTGCAGAAAGAGAAAACAATGTCACCAACGTAGTTGGGATGGCGCACGATTCCCCAACAACCTACCTCCCAGTTAGTCGTGCTTTGAACAAGTCAAGTAAAGCATGTCATAGAGGGGAACTCTACATACCAGAGCACAGCAAAAATGTCTCATGGACTTTCCCTTTCGCTGTAGTATACTGAGCCCTGATGGTGCGAGGCTTGCTGCCGGCAATCTGACAGTTGCCCTTCGTTTGTCGGAAATGATGTTTCTGGTGGTTGGCGAGACGGAATAGCACATAGCTCAAGAAACCTGTTATAAGGATTGCACCGAATGCTAATGAAGAGAGGTCAACTGGATGTAATGCCAAGTACTGGGCTTGCACAGTATAGACCATGGGTAACCAAACGGCAGTGCCCCAGGCTAGGGTGAAACCGAAGTGATCATGGGCAATATCTATGGTTGCAAGGTACCTGAATGGGGACGTTAGAACTCGGTATGCTCAGTGCGTGGAATAAGAAGAACTTGCCAGTCCTCGTTAATAAAAAAGTCAATGACGTATATGGCATGGAGAATGATCACAATTAGGATTGAGTTAGAGATTGTGCCGTAGCGGAGGTATTGTTGGGCCATGAAAGACAGGTCGCTGTTTAGGTGAGTCCACATTTCCTACATTATAACAATCGCAAGGGGAGCATTCCTACATCACCACCCATGAGTTCATTCCTAGACGGCCAACTTGGAACATCTTCAGATCCCAGTGCCGACCCAGTCGGGGATTCAGTTCAATTCCAACCATAAAATCATGAAAGATGGAACCTGAATTCGTTAGCCAAGAATTCCCATGAAGTCCCATTCTCGATACATCATATAGAAGACTATAATAAAGCCTATACATCGCGATGGGGGTAGTATGTACGAACCGCTAAACCTCCGGTCATTCTCAAAGGTCGGCCATATGTGACCCTTCGCCACAGCCAGAGCTGGCACCGCCAGCCCATAGACGTTCGCTGCGGCTAACACCGCTGCCCAATTTTGAGCTAAGCTTGCAACTATCTCAGCACCTTCTATACAAGCGGCCAGGAAGACTGCACCAACTGTGATACCCCAGGACAGCAGTCCGTTCATCCGGTAGGGCAGTGTATTGCCCCCCGGTGTTGGTGGCCCATAGACGGTTTTCCCTGGGAGAAGGGAGTACAACAGAGCCTGAAAAAGTACCCAGCTTGCATACGCCATCACATGGCCATGGGATATTTGAGGAAGATAGCGTCGAAAGAGGGTTGTCGGGGATGAGTGTACTAGTAGCTCAAACAAGCCCTGCCGTAAAGAGCCATCGAAATGCTCGAGGCAGATGCAAAGAAAGAGCACGAAAAGAGAGGTAACAATTACAAATAACAAACTGAGGAGGCCAGAAAAAGCAGAAACATGACTGCGACGACCCCAAAAACTGTTTCCTGTTTTCTGCTGTTTTCCGTCGGCTTGTAAGTAGAGATGTGGTTTGTGGTTGACCCTCGTAGCGAATAATGCTCGTTTTTGGAGCATCTTTACCAAACAAAAGGAAAGGCTTGTTTTGTAGTCGAGTGTGAGCCACGTGGGAACGGTGTTGAAAGGGAAATTAGAATTGATCAGCTAAAATAACAAAACACGTCAAGGTGCGCTAAGCAAACCGATAACAGGTGAGGAAGAAATGGGTATATATCTCAAGAGAACAGGTGGTGTGTTGGCAAGATGTACGAGAGCTGGCCGCATTGACAATCTATCAATCTGATCTGTATACATATAGTACGTAGATCAGTCATGCTACCGATCTTACTTGTCAATCCTCCCACCTTTAGATAGCAGTATCCAATAACGTATCGATTAAATAGATGTAAGGGACCTGCATACATGTGGTGATTAGTGGTTGGTCAATGATCCCTAATTTCACGAGGGAACAATTTACCGATGCGAGGTCTCTTTAGCTAGCCACCTCTCTGCGTTACTAAGATGCACCATACATACCTCTGCACAATATATGTAGTTCCGATGTGTATATAATAATATTCTTTTCGATCTCTAGATTACAAAACTCCGCCTGCAAGTGATAGCTGGCATGAACTATGCAAGCTCCTTATTAAAGTAGTAACAATCGAACCCTAATTTCAGGCATCTCTCTTATCGTATAGCTAAAAGTCCTCTCGCATGCACTTACAACGTTGAACTTCCACCGCCTAAACTCATTTAGTGACCTATTAACAGACGGGGGATCCAAAGCGAAGTAACGAAGCAGGGGGTTCGAATGTATTTATCCATATAAATACTTACCTAGGAAAGGGGCATACGTGCTCCTTCATGAGCGTTCAAGCGGCGGTGTGTCCTTTCACGTCTGTGCTGAGAGCACATCATACACATGGTCCAATAGCTGTACTCCGGAAAATATTTCCAAATTAATTATAAGGCGGATTCTTAGGGAGTGTGGGGTTTATCAGGTAGCCTAGAACGTCCACCAAAGCTACTCAGTAAAGCAAGATTTCAATGGGCGGACAGCCTTTGCAACCGCTGTTTTGCTATGTCCCCTACTTTCTGTTATGGTTTTTCCATTGTGTCTTGGCTCCCGTTCTCTAGTGATTTTCTCACATGATTAACCATGCTGAGCAGCGCGGCGACACGGGCACTGGTGTCCCAAGGTTATTCGAGCAACCTGAAAACAAGGTATGTATATACATATTTGGAGATATGCACACATACGCATAATATAGGTGGTGCACCGTGGAGATATTATATGCTGCAGAGGATCCTGGTTCTGCGTCCCCAAGTTAAACCCCTGGCAGTAACATGCTCACCGGACCTTCCAGGTTGGCCTGAAAATTCACCCACTAGTATTCCTCATCCACCCCGGACGTCATGCCTCCTCCTGTCAACACTATGTTCCCCATCGTATGGCTCATTGGTGAGGACCCACACACACTCGTGCGTCGTGGAGAGTGCGTCTAGCCGATAGTGATTCCGGTTTTCTTTGCTGTCTGACAAGACAGACGCCATAATCATAAGGTGTTGCACAAATTGTATCCGTTTTCCAGCCAAGCTGAACGTATATGTTACCCCTTGTGAATTGGGATCATTTTTCAACTCCCTCCGCTTCTAATACATCCACATCCAACTCCTCCATTACTCCAAGCACGACCCCAAGACTCTCCATGAACCCGTTTACAGCCACCCGCAGCATCCGGTTGGTGGTTGCACGGTACGTAGTTTCGAGTACGGTCTTTGCCTCTTCGGTATCCGCTTGAATTTCCTTTGGAGTGGTTACCGTCATGTCACGTCGGACGAAGGGAGAGAGTTCGGTGTCGACTTCAATGGCGCGAAGAGCGGATGTTGCAAGGCGGTTCGAGGGGAGGGGGAGAGAGATTGTCCTGTTGTGTGTGATATATTAGACCTTCTGTGCCTAAACTGGAGTGGGGGAGGGGTATTGTGAGTGAACTTACAAGGTGTAGGGAAATTCGGTGTTCGCTGATTCAGTGGAGGCCATGATGTCGGATCGTCTCTAGTTAGATTCGATGTAGGAAATGAAAAGAACAAAAAGACCAACGGAGTCAAATGCAGAGTATAAAATAGCAGACTACCGATAGCGTGCATCGAAGCAAAGAAATGGATGTAAATTCAATGGAAGCAAAAAGTGGGGTGTTGGGACATTGGATGAGTCAGCGCTTTCCATCTCGACGCGGTCAAATATTCATTTAAATTCAAATCAACATATTCCTCGGCAGGCTTATACGTAGTCTTTCTGATTAAAGATACTAGTCTAAGAGTGATACTTATGCCTACGAGTTTCGTAATCCAGCTTTTATTCAACACTGTCAATAGCTTAGTATGGTATGGAGCATGTTGCTTAACAGCTTTAGCTAGGGTTAACATAAACGAAGATATATATTTAGTGTCGAGGGCGCCATACAGTAGCGTCTACATCGCTGGTATGTTAATTGAAGCTGAATAGCATCGAGTGACCTCATCAAGAGTTTTATTATATCAATGCCGAGAGTATTAAAAATCAGGGTGGCTAAATCGCGGGTGCGAATATTAAATCGGCATCGAGCTCGATATGTTCGCTAGCCATAACTGAAAGCCGAATGAGGATTCTTCCGTTCTTCAAAAGGCATCATACGTGATGAGGGATGTGCTGTCTTCATGAAGGTATCTGATTCAAGATATGGTATTATGAATTATGGACTAAGGCCTCCACTATACTGTATGTACAAAATCTCCTCTCACTCCCTGTTGTCCATGCCGCCGTTCAGTCAGGTTTACAACATCGCTGTACTCTCATATTGCCGTTTCCCGTGGGTTTCCCCGACAGGAGCTTCACTTCAACCGGTTTGCAGATAGGTTCCATGACAGTCGTGAGAGAAAGCATAAATTCCTGAGTCTGTTCCTTTACAGAGCACCAAGGATGTTGCCGACCAGAGGGAGGTTGCCTAGGACGTGATTAGTAGAGCTTCAAGAGCTGCTTAAGATTGGACTTACCGGCCTGGATGGATTCAAGGATGTGCTCGACAGCAGCATCGGTGAGGGTTCCTAAAAGTTACTCAGCTAACGCGATTTCGTAACCTGAACAAGGCCAGTAACTTACCATCCTTAATCTGGCCGACCAGGCTCGTCGCAACACCGCCGAGCTGTCCAACCTGACGCTTAACACCAACGGCTATCATCCATATTAGTTATTGTAAATTCAAGGATTGAAAGCAATGCGTACCGCTGGTGATGCCGGGAAGGGTGCTGTCAACAGTACCCTTAACGGTGCCGACAGCTGAGTTGACAGTGCCAACCACAGGCTGGACGGCACCGCTAGCGGTGGAAGCCACAGGCGAAACAACATTGTCAACGGTGTCGACCTCATTGCTAACAACGCTGCGCTGGGAGACGGTACCAGTGAGCTTGCTCAGGTCGCTCTGGATCTGCTTCAGAGCTGATGACGCTAGTTAGCTTCTGTGCGAGCAAAAACATGACCAGAAGTTTCACAACACACCATCCTGAACCTCAACAAGGCCAGAACCGTTCGTATCACAGAGGGCGCCACCAAGGACACCGTCGATGTTTCCAAGGACACCATTAAGTTGGTTTAAGGTGGGCTGAAGAGAAGCAGTAGGAATGGCAGCAGCGGAGGCAGCGCTGACAGCAGCAAGGGAGGCAACAAGTCCGGTGAACTTCATTTTGTCGAGTTAGAATTGGTAATTTTATGAAAGAGAAAGAATGAACTGTGTCTTTGATGTGGTGAAGGAGTGGACGCTGAAGAGCAGGCTTGGTAAAGGAATGACTGAATTGAGTGAGCTTGTTTGATGGGCAAAGAGAAGGTCCTGGAGCAGGGAACTCAAGCATGATTATATACTGCCTGTTCACTCCATGGATCAGGGGCTTGTTGCACAGGCACTTCAAATGGTGACTATCAGATTCCGTTAGTTTATTTTACGAACCTGTTAAGTCAAATGATGATCGACGTGGATAGTCTTGCGTTCAACCTTTTACTGCAGTCCCCATTGGCAACAACGCCAGTAAACTTCGATGACGGGGGAAGGCGTCCAATTGGTGCAAAGGCCGTCCTTTTCTCCGCTGCGCGAAATACTAGACTCCTTGGCCAAGCACTAAGGATAGATTTCAAGGCACAAGATTGAGGCCATGATGGGTTGAACTACCAAGTGTCCGGCAATGAGCCCACAACTCTTTTGCTCGACGATAATAACTTCAATAGTCCGACATCCATAGACGACGGTACAGTACTCAGTATTAATTTTTGGGTCTGGAACCCATTATTAACCGAAGTGGACTGCGAGCAAAGCCCATTTCCAATAGATAGTAAGTCCCATCTTCATCCACACCATCTCAGTCCTGATCAACCTACAGAGGCGTGACTGTTGCGCACGAGAGCACCCATCAGTAGCCGGCAGTTCGTAGAAAAAACGAGCACATACCCCAGATCCAATTAAACATCACTCAAGCCTAATAACTCAAACTTTAACCGTTGGTAGTCGTGTCTTAGCTGGAAGATCGTCGTTTCTTTGCCGTCGCCACTGCCCGCGAGTTGGCGTCCTACCAGGCCACAAACATGCCATTCATTTCACTTGTGGCTTGTCGGAGAATTAGGGGCAATTCTTTAATTTTCACAAATACTCTGCTCGTGTTGAACTTGGATTCGAAGTCGAGCAGTGAACCACACTTGATTATACTCTGCACTCCGTTCATCGAATGGTCTACATAGGGTAGCGGGACAACGTCACTTCTAACATACAGCAAACTGGCAATCCCCCGCCCCTGCCGATCAGATCCACTTACTCGTTTTCATGGAACGGCAAATTCGAAGCATTCCAGTGCGCAGTGGTTACCAAATTGCGTCTTTTTACCCTCCACTGATCATCGCTCGTGTGAAACTCGAATTTCGGTCATTGCCCGCAGATTACCTTCCCATTCTGGGTGGACCCACTATCTTTTAAGTATTCTTCAGGGTGGGAATGCTTGACAGACACGAGGGAGCCAGTACGGAGTATATTCTCCAGAAAGTATTCCTCGGATCAAACCAAAGATTCTGTTCGTACTATCGAAACTTTAAAAAGTAGTACCGCGGTAGTGAAATTGCTATTGCCACATTTTCGAGCATCGACTGCTCCACCTTGACGTATATACTGTGAAAATATATACGTAGTGAGCTCGCGATACACAGATATTCAGGGACCAGAGGCGCTATATAACCTGATCCATTTCGCAATACACTTAAAAGGGTACAAGTAATGTGATACTGCCAGGTATAGCCTCTTTCATGACATGGGGATGTGCAGGATATATCTAATGGCTAGCACGAAGGTGAGTGCCTTAGGTTGCAATTCCCAACTCAAGATAGAAAAGGAAATTCACAATATGCCCGTTAAATTTCCAGCGAACCAAAAAGGTTACTAGTCTGCGACTTATTGCTCGTTCACTATCACCCTGATAGGGCTGTTCTGTTGTCTTGAGTTAGAACGCTCCGTGGAGGAAAGCCCCTTTCATGGGTCGATAGGGTCAGTTTTGAACTTATAATGGGCTTCCCCCTACTGATGGTTGATGTAAAATTTCAAACTGTCCATAAAAACGTAACCATAAAGAGGGAAGACGAAAACTAGAAATCACAAGTCACTATGCTCAAGGAAAAAAAAAAAAAAAAAACAGGCTCGACGCAGAGGCGCCCACAGAACGTGGATGTTTTCGATAGCAAGGATGAGTGAGGGCTTGGGGCTTGTGGCGTACACACAACAAACAACAAAACACTTGAGGGGAAGGAACATGGGGCTTGGGTGATGACTGACGTTTGTGTTGTTTGTCTGAGTGGGGGTTGTTGACTGGTGGCTTACATAAGGCATTGTTTTGACAGTTGTGGCGTTCGCCTGAGGCAACAACCGTTGTCGTGTCAACGGCCGACGCTAAACTGCTCTGGGGCCATCACAACATAACAGCGGCCACTAAGCGTGCATCGCATTTCCTTAAACGGTCTCATCGGGCTCGAGGTCTTCTCTCGTGCGGCAGTTCATCACCTTTTTCTCCTCTTCAACTCCATCCTTCCCCCCTCTCTCTACCCCCCATCAAGAGCTCCTTTATAGGTCTCCTCGATCCCCTGATCTTACTCAGGCCGCATTGCCTGTCTCCTTACTCTATCCGCGCCCCGTGGTTTATCAATATTCTTTGTCTATCCCGAGTGGCAACAGTCCGGATCATGATCGTTTAGCTTAGATCACTTATTTTGATTTATCGACTCGGTTGACCAGGCCACGATTGTCTTGCAATTGCAGGAGAGCTTCCTTTTAGAGACGCCTTACTTTCTGTTCACCCCCTATTGATTGTTTATTGCCCATATTGCTGTTAGCCATTTGTTTTGGTAACGCATTGTTGCATTCAAAATGGCCGGAAACATTGGTGATTACGGCCAGATTATTGAGTATATTCAAGGTAAGTGCGATTGCCTTTGTCTATCATATTTAGAACGACTTCTTGCAATGATCAAAACATCCAATGCTGGAGATCAAAATCCGCATGCTAACTTCCTGACAAAACAGATCGTCTTTACTTGGCTTCCTATGAGGATGCACCGGATGCGAGAACTCCGTTCCCATATCCTTCCGAGCAACCTAAGTCTCCAAGCAAGCGCTCCGCGAGAGCTCAGCCGAACACCCCCAGTCGGAAGAGGCGAAGCCCCGTGTATTTCACAGTCGATGATACCTTGCTTTACAACTCTTTCCACGCAGACTTTGGTCCGCTCCACATAGGTCACCTGTACCGGTTTGCGGTCCATTTCCATGAGATTCTGGGCGACCCTGCCAATGGCGACCGCCCAGTGGTGTTCTACTCGAAGCCGGACGCTCGGAGTCGTGCCAATGCGGCATGTCTTGTTGCTTGCTATATGGTCCTCATTCAATCATGGCCGCCTCATTTGGCCCTCGCTCCGATTGCGCAGGCCGATCCTCCTTATATGCCATTCCGAGATGCCGGGTACAGTCAGGCAGATTTCACTTTGACTATCCAAGATGTGGTTTATGGAGTATGGAAAGCAAAGGAGCAGACACTGTGTGGCTTGAGGGAGTTCAGTCTTGAAGAGTAGGTTCCGTTTGACCATAGTATAAGAAGCTTTATTGACAAAGCACCAGGTATGAGAAATACGAACGTGTCGACATGGGTGACTTCAACTGGATAACACCTCACTTCCTGGCCTTTGCTTCGCCTCAGCACGAACCGATTGACCCGATCCCCCCGAATACCCCCGAATACGCCGCATTGCCTTCGACAGTGTCCCAAGTCCAAGCATCCAAATTACCTCTTCCTTTCAAAAATGTGTTGGCCCATTTCGCGTCACGAGACATTGGACTGGTTGTGCGATTGAATTCGGAATTATACTCGCCTTCATACTTTACGGCCTTGGGCATTACTCACATCGATATGATCTTTGAAGACGGCACTTGCCCTCCTCTGCCATTGGTCCGACGATTTATCAAAATGGCCCATGATATGATCACGGTGAAGAAGAAGGGAATTGCCGTCCACTGCAAAGCTGGCCTTGGCCGGACGGGCTGTCTGATTGGTGCATATCTTATCTACCGATATGGATTTACTGCCAATGAGATTATCGCCTTCATGAGGTTCATGCGACCCGGTATGGTGGTCGGCCCACAACAACACTGGCTGCATTTGAACCAAGGCGCATTCCGTGAATGGTGGTTCGAGGATAGCATGAAGGAGAAGTTGGCCCAAATGCAGACAGCTCCGGTCACACCCGGCCGTCCATCCACCAAGCAGCGTGCGAACAACGGCCCTGTCGCCACACCTCCAAATAACGGTCATTCGAAGCGCGCTGCACTGGGTGAAATAGATCACAATGAGGCTGCCGGAACACAGCACGACGAGAATCTTCCGGCCCCAACACCCGGTCAGCCTAGGAAATCGCACAGGAAAGACTCCCGCCACCACCCCTACGCCCGGACGACATCTGGCAGCATAGTAGTTGACAAGGACGCGAAAGCTAGAGAACACTCAGCGCACAGAAGCCAGCGGCTTAGCAGCGATAGCAGTGAGAGTGAAGAGGAGATTCAACTTCGCATGCTTGCAAAGCGTTCATCGAAGTCACCAGTGGCATCCCCAAGCCCGCGGTCTGTTAGCTATTCGGCAACATTGACCACTAGCTACACATTGAATGATGGCATTCATGAGGATAGAGAAAACTGGGGCGACGCTGCATATGCTGCACCGAAGACTCCAGTGAGCTCTAAGGCTGGGGTATCCGTTGCCAAGGTCCGCACCAGCCCTCGGCGTGTTACAGACAGCCGGAGCGAGACCAGAGGCGTCCGCAAGGCTAGTGGCCGAATCGGCAGTGCCGGCAGCCCGACTCGTGTGAAATAAATAACACTGCAGTCTTTTTCGTCTTCCGTACTCCTTCAAGATATCCTTCTTCTGTTACATTTTATTTCATTCATCTTACTTTGAGTCCAGTGTATTGCTTCTGCTGGACTATAATAGTGCATATTGCATGTGCCTCCTACTACCCATTCGCATATTCATGATTCTTCTTTCCTTGTTCATGTGTTTCAGGTCTTTGATTATCCTCGGCTTGTGGGTGTCTTTTGGTTTTCTGGTTTAAAATCCATGGGTCTGGGTCTGTGTGTTTCGGCGTCCGGGGATATTCTGATGTTGGAGGATTTAGAAGTTGGTATTGATGTGGAATCTTGTGGCTAGCACCAGTGCCTATACACTTGCATTGTTCTTTCGCAAGCGTGGACAGCAGTCTTTTGTCTGATTGCATTGTGTGTCTCTGTACGTATACGACCTACGTCGGCATGACAAATTCAGTTGATGACGATTCCAACCGTCGAGAAGTAGTAGTGTATAATACTTGGTAGCTGTATTGCCAAGAGCAAACACGCAGGTAAGCCCTAATACGGGTGCCATACTTTGAACGAGGGTGCTTCTCGCTCCAAGGTTATATAAAACGGGCCATAGAGGCAGGTATGGGATAAACGGTGCAGTGCATGCAGTGCGACGTACATTGTGATTGTTTTCAATCAGGCCAGACGCTACGCTACCACTTGTTCCTCCAAATGCGCCGTTATCAAACTCAAATATTCCCGTGCACGAGGCGTGGAATCCTTAATTCCTGGGACCTTAGCAGCATCGTCCCAAAGCCGCAGTGCGACCATGTCATCACGCAGCGGATCCTGGTCAAAAGTGGCGAGCTCTGCTCCCTTAAATGGCCCCCCCTGAAACTCGAGCGATTTCTTAGAAGCCGATGATAGGGAATCATAATACGACCCATTGACCGCCGTGAGGTATCTGCCCATTGTATATTAGTTCCTCACGCATACACATACATAGAAAGAAGCCCTAACAACAACCCGGGAGAACAAGGTATGGAGTAGTTGTGGGGGGGGGGGGAGTTTGGGGATAGGATGGATACCTTTTTGCCGCAACATGGCTTTCAACTAACTGACATACACTCGGGTTAAATCCCAGGGAGCGCAAGAATTCTGACCCGATTCTCTCATGGCCTACGCGACCGACGTTTTCAGCGCTGTTCTTTAGATTCATCCGTACCTCTTTGGTGGATTCAAGGGGAATGATTTGGCCGATGTCGTGGAGGAGAGCTGCGATGATGAGCTCATTTCTTGCCCCTGGTGACCGTGGAGTGTTAGTCGGTTGATTAATTAATCAATTGATTGATTGATAGGTTGGTTGGCTGGTTGGTGATTCAACTGACCGGATTTCTGTGCATTGTGGGCTGCTTGGAGACAGTGTTCTAGTTGGCTGATTGATTCGCCTATGTAGTCACCTTGGCCGTGCTGTTCGAGTGAACTGACTAGGTATTCCGCTTTTTCTTTGGGTGATTGAGTGGCCATTTTGAGGAGTTTGAGACGGGAATCTTTGTTCTGGGAAATTGAGGGTAAAGTTGGAGAAGGGTTGAGCGAACCGTGAGAAGGAGGGGATGATAGCTTTAAATAGTCGAAGATGACAAAAGTTAACCCCACGTGTGGCATTGATCTATTCCGTGGAAAAGGGACACTACTTATACTGCATTTTCTTTCTTCTCGTTTAATTGTTTTGATCTGGGCATAGGTAATATTATTTCATAACTTGTGGTGGGAGGGTTCAGAAAGCATCGGATGAATTCCACGACTCTAATACCGTCGCTCAAAAATAGTACTTAGGCTGTTGTCCTCCCTAGTTTGTCCCCAGGCCTTATTCATCATTTCATGATTATTTACACTAATATCACCTCAGCTAAATTGCACAAGTACGAGGTTTATTCATTCTCTACGCTACCGGTTGTGGTTGGCCTTCAATAGTCAGCATTGGAGAGCCATATCCATATCGAAGTCGTCCCTCTTCGTAGTTTTCTCCTTCCTTCCGCATGTGGGTAGCGGGCCAGAGCTTCCTCCGGTCTTCATAGTACGAATCGTGGAGATCGCCCTCAGCCTTGCAGTTGTAAGTGGCATAGATCGCCCGACGGTCTTTGGAGCTCGTGTTAGCACCACTGCGGTGGGCAAGATAGGATCCGAACACCATAATGTCACCTGGAATGCGTTAATAGATGCCTCGACTTGACATATAGACACCATTGGTAGCACTAACCTGGCTGAAGGGTGCAAGAAGCCCACTTTTGGCTTTCGACCCAAGCAGGATCAATACAGCGATCTTCTCCCAGTTTGATCTCTGTACGGTGACTGCCATCTACAACATCCAAACCACCATTTTCGGGGGTCATATCGTCCACTGCAGCGAGGACAGTCAAATGCTTGATGTTCTTGACATGGGTATAGGCGTTGGCATCGATGTGAGGAGAAAAGCCACCTGAGTGGGGTGCGTTAACGATTAACCTCAGACGCCAAGGGAGCTCTGAGAGCTACGTAGGTCTCGACACTTACCACTTCCTGCGAGTTTGTAGTTGATCTTTTCTTTGAAGAGTAGCATTGGCTCGGTAGCCAGCTGTTCGAGAACACTCAACATGCGTTGGCCCCGCAGAAAGCTGTTAAAGCCAGCATGACTATTGGCGTAGTTCTCTGTGCGACAGAGGACTCGTTTGCCTTGTGCATTTACTTCCTATCCTCCTCTATTAGTTCTGCACTTTGTATTTCGTTGTTCGCTTTAAGAGATAGCTCACCTCGTATGGCATATATGATGCGTCTGGAGTGCGAGGCAGGTCATGGACTTCCTGAGTCCACTGCTGGAGAAGCTTGGTTTCCGGAGCATTGAAGAACCCCTGGATCACCAAGTAGCCTTTCTCATTATAGGATTGAATTTGATCCTCAGTCAAAGGGAAGTGGTTGTTCTCCATGGTGTAGATAAGTCAAGCTCTGGTCAGACAATTTATTTTCTTTTCTCTTTTGTATCAGATAGAGGGGAGGCACATGATCTTTTCCCTGAAAGCGATTGGGACCACCAACTAAATAAGTCCTGCAGCATGCCACTTCCTCCCAAACAGGCTACTAATGCCAGGGTCTAAAATTGGGATCGTGACACATCGTAGGATAATGGTTTACGAGAGCAGAGCGGGGAATGTTACAGCGTTGGGAGATGAGATTGCGTACAGATGGAGAGATCATCGTTGAATATCAAGGACTGAAGGGAACTGTTGCATTGTATTACTACATTGAATCAGCCAGTGATAACACTGAGAAGTGTCCATGTGCCTCGAACGACAGGATGGCGGTTGGTTATGGGGCCCTTCGCTTAGACGTTAGTGTCGCGGTAGTTGCCGACACCTCGAGACACCCTGCCGCCTCCACTCTCCCCAGGCACCGAGGCACGTGCCCCTCTTGTCGTCCTTCTACATGTCAATCTTGACTGACTTTCTCCAGAGCTGCATATCTAGACTTTTCAACATAGACCACAACCGGTGGAAACTCAATTGATGCCTGTTAAGGTCACGACAATATGCATGCCCGTGCAATACCTAAACCCCCTGATTGGCCCACGAAAGGGCATTTCCATTCCGATCGTTTGATCCTCCATATGCAGGGTTCTCCATCAATGTCGATGTTATATAGAAGATTATTCGACGTGGAATAGAATGGCTGGAAAAGTTTCTGTGTTCTTTTGTTGTCGTCTTCCCCCTGCATTTACGGCACGATAACGGCCTCACCACGTCAAATCAATTCCAACCATGGCCTCGGTAGAAAGTTCTCCGGCCGATTCTTCAATGATCAAGGATGCCGATGTCACAGTGAGCAATTGGACAGGCTTACAAGGGCGAGAAAACACAATTGAGAGTAGTGAGGATGTCGAAGTTGGTCAATCAAGCAAAATGTCCGGGGTTCTGAATGTGATCATCTCGGGTCTGGCTCTCTTCAGCGACGGATACAATGCCCAGATCAGTAAGTACACTACCACCAATACCTGATCGAAAATAATTTACTGATCGATGGTACCTCTTGGATCTTATAGTTGGATATATGGAACCCTTGTTCTCGGTCTTGTTTGTACCCTTCTATACAAGCTGTACAAGCTACACAAGCTACACAAGCTTTGCAGCCAAGATGTCTCCCGCTGACTAGTTTCTTGGTATACGGTAGATACAAAGATGGCATGTCTCCAACAATCAAAGGTCGACTATCGAACTCGTTTCTCATAGGAGAAATTTTTGGAATGATCTTCTTTGGTGTTCTCATTGATCGCCTGGGACGAAGAACGGGTGTGGCAATGGCCACTACGTTCTTAGTTCTGGGTATTGCATTGGCAGCAGCTGCGCACGGGAAGTCCGAGCTTGGGTAAGTGCCCATTTTTCCATGCCTTTCTCGCATGTTGAAGTCACTGCTTACAGGATTTAGAATGTTCTGGATGATGATCATTGCCCGTGGTGTGGCTGGCTTTGGAGCCGGCGGCGAGTATCCCGTTTGCGCAACGAGTGCAACGGAGGCAGCGGACGAGACAACGAAACTTCGGAAAAACCGAGGGTTCTTGGTTGCCTCAACTACTGATTTTGCCGTGGACCTGGTATGCAGAAATATTTACTTAATAGCATGAAGTACTAACCCATGGCCGTAGGGCTTTGTCTCTGCTGGCATTGTAGCACTTATTGTTCTCGCTTGCTATGGTCAAGAGACTAGAGCTGGCGTATGGCGTGTATCCTTTGGCATTGGATTTGTGGTACGTCACTTCGATACGCTTATCCTTTGACTACGAAATACTCACATAAATTAATAGCTTCCCCTTGTTATCTGCTTCTTTCGGATTCGCATGATCAATTCGACTCAATACCGGAAACACAGCATTAAATCTAGGTATCCCTATGGGCTTATTCTCAAAAGATATTGGAAGCCGATGCTTGGAACTTGTGAGTCCCCACATCACTCGATTTTCTGTTCAAGTGTTGACTTTGTAGCCCTGGCGTGGTTCTGCTACGACTTCGTCACCTACCCGTTCGGAATCTTCTCATCCACCATTATCCAGCAATTGATGACAGACAACTCAACTGTCCAAAACATCGGTTATGGGGTGAGTCTCCCTATCTGTAGCATATACATTGAACTAGTAACTAATAGTCATGGCCTTCCAGACAGTGATTAATTGCTTCTATCTCCCCGGATGCCTTCTTGGCGGGTACCTCATGGACAAAATTGGTCGCAAGCAAAACATGACTCTTGGTTTTATGCTATGGGCCATCTGGGGCTTCATCCTTGGCGGTGCGCTTCACCCGATCCAAAGCGTGTTCCCGCTGTTCGTGGTGATGTACGGCATTTTCATGGCCTTGGGTGAAATGGGCCCCGGTGTATCTACGTTTCTCTGTGCTGCCGAGTCCTTTCCCACCCCTCTCCGTGGTCACTTTCTGGGATTTGCCGCCGCCGTGGGCAAGGCTGGTGCGTCTATTGGAACGGAAGTGTTTACTCCCATTCAGAACTCGTTCGATACCACTGCAAAGGGCCAGCAAGCGGTGTTTTTGATTGCCTCTGCTTTTACAGTGGTCGGGGGCCTCATCGCATGGTTCCTGATTCCGGATATGTCTCGAGAGTTGGAGGATGAGGATGCCAAGTTCAAGGCATACTTAGAGGAGAACGGATATGACGTTAGCCACTATGGCGACGAGGCCTTGCAGGTAGATAGGAAGAGTGGGCATTAATTTTATCATATAGAAAAGCCATTAAATTAGCATGTTGAATACAACGTTTGAATTTCCTCACAAGTTTAGAGTGATACGGCTGTTAGGGCAGTGCAATGACGCTGTGCCCGAATGGGAGGCACTGATCTAACTATTTCCAGTTAGATTTATGAATTGGCTTCCTTTTATCGGAGACCACCTCGGACTTCACATGAATCAATCCCGAACTCACAGAAGATCCTTATCATTAAAGGAACAGCAAAATAACAACAGGCGCATGAAGAAAAAGCGCAATTAATCGCATCGGTGTCTCGTGGATGGTTCTCGGTGGGGACATAAATGGCGGAGCGACCGACTCGAGGCCCCGCAGTCCGCCGCAATGGCACACTCCAGTCCTGCGAACCGTGTCGCAAGGCAAAGCTGCGGTGCGATCATGCAAGACCAGTCTGTGGTAGATGTACCACGAAAAAGATTACTGCCAAATGTTTCTACCATCCTGCCCCAATGACGAAAGGGGTGGCCTCGAATCGGACCAGTCCGATCAAAGCGTCGAGGGGTTTAACTAGTTTAACTAGTACTAGTCAACCAGGATCGAAGTAAGAGCTCCCATTGCCAGCCATACTCCGAGAATTGAGAAAGCCACCGAGCGCATATTGACTCGTGTACAGTATCTCGAGTCCATCATTGGCGATGGAAAGTACTCGACTCGGCGCAAACCTAGAGCTAACTCCCGAGCTTCCTGGCTATCTAGGGGCGACTAGTTACTCGGCCATTCTCACGGAGCATCGCAGTGATCTACCGTTTGAGATAGATAATAGTACGATGACAGGTGCTCCTGTTAGGGCTGTGGACCCAGACCGTCTTAGGGCTGGAGTAGAGCTGTTGAAACTTATTTATGACTTACCGATCTATGATGTTTTGGTCCGCAAGCTCTACTCCAAGAAAGCAATGGTTGTAGTTCCGATGGTCATTGTTGACGCTATCATAGAGTCTCTCCGGAGTACCTTTGATGATCTGGACATTGGAAGCGATATAGAAGCCCAGTTCCAGGCTTTGGTCTATCAGATATCTCAGAATACTTCAAGGCCACTAACGACACATCGCTCGATGAGTGTCCATGAATATTGCGCTTCATTCGCGGGTAGGAACCTTCGATGGGAGTCTCTTGGGATCGTTCTGTCCATCTCTGGGATATCCTTGATGTCTACCTCGGACAATGACCCGGACCTTGTTCAAGTAGCGCCGAGCAGTGAAGCTCGTGAGAGACTGCGCGCTCAGATTGTGGAGGCAAGCAGCATTTGTCTCAACTTCTGTGACCAGGCATCTTCAATCAACGAATTGCTAGGCTTTACTCAGTATAACGATGTCATGTTGAAAACTCAACATTTTGGCGACACAAGTCTGCTCACCTTTTGACCGATCGATGCAAGGCAATGCTAACGATGGAATTAGGCTATCAGGCTTGGCGTCGACTGGGCGACTTGTCAGCTACAGTATATGCCGCTGGCTTTCATCAAGAGAACTCGCAGGTTGACGATTGTCCATTCTTTCTTCGACAATGGAGGAGGTTATGTTTCGCTGCTGCCTTCTATGCAGATAAGGCGATAGCCACCTTCGTGGGGCGACCGCCATTCATAAACTATCGGTACTGCTCGCTGACGCCTCCCATGGACATACAAGAGGATCTACTAGTGGCAGGGGGTGAAGACCTCACTAGTGCCATTTCAAGCCTGAATATGGACGGCTGGAACACCCAACGGCAAAATTACAGGTCGAGCATGATACGTCTTCGGTTCATCTTTTCTGTGTATAGGGACCAAGCTCTCGAGATAGCGTTGGGAACATGCGATGATTGGGACCTGGTCCAAAAGTCCAAGTGAGAGGAACCCTATTTGAATTCGGCACAACGAAGTCATCGTCCGCTAATCGAGCATAGCCAAATTATCGAGAAAGCGCGAGCCACGTTGGAAGCTGCACCAGCTTTCATTCGATACGACGTTCATGGCCAGAACGAGGATGCGGAATCATACGCTTCGGCTTTTCCCAGTCTCCATTTGTATCTCGATTACCTCTACACGATATTCCTCCTGCAGAGGGTCCTGGTGAAACGCACGAGTACAGGGCAAGAAGCGTTGATCCACACATCGCGGGAAGCTCTATCAATCGTTATCAGGATAGGCTCCGAATGTGAGTCATCCATGGACTTGAACAGACACTATTCCTGGCTGGTATGTTTAGATCGCCCCACACCCCAAGGTCCTCTCCTGGATGCTAATTTCGCAACCTTAGATATTGTACTACGGGGTGCCCAGTGCCAGTGTCCTGACCCTTGAGCTTCTTCACCAAACCCAAGAAATCGGCCCGCACTCTGTCATATTGCCTCGCGCAGAGATCATTCGCAATCTAAGTGTATTTCTATCATGTCTGTCGTGGGTTCCGCGTCCAACGTATGGTAACTATCAGACCTGCAAGGAAGCCGAGAAGAAACTGTCCCATATTCTGGACCAGATCATTGACCCACAGCCTATCCAGCGCGATGTCTTCAATGATGTGACCTCTGGCCTGGACAGTTTCCTGGATTGGTATAATCCGAGTAACTGGGACTTCAGCACTGATTTCCTGTCTTCCACCGACGGCTTTGGTCTTGCAAAGAACTAGTTGGGCTCGGAGCTCATTCGCTAGGGTATCACATTTCAGCGTCGGTAATTGGAGGAAAGTCGCAACTACCTGAGACCATTATATAGTAATCTCGGCAACGAGACAATGCGGCAAACAAAGAGCAAGAACAGACAACAACCATCCGACCAAAACCGAGCCAACCTAAAACATATCGACCTACCCGAAACGCCAAATAATAAGAACAAGCAAAAGTCAAAGAGCACGCGCATCAACAGACATCAATCATACCATCCATACAAAGTCATTACTCGGGTGCGTTTCCTGAAAATAGTACGCTCTGTGACAGAGCGGACAATTGAATTGGTCCTGCAGATACCATTTCTCCAGGCATTCCTTGTGGAAGACGTGCAGACATTTGAGCTCCCGGATCTCCTGAGACGGTAGAACAGATTCAAGGCAAACAACGCTGTAACGGGCCGGGTGGGTTAGCTGGCTGGGTTTCTTTCTTTCTTTCTTTTTTTTTTTTTTTTTTGACAATGGTCTCCGGGGACAAGAAAATGTCGGCCGAAGCGGCAACGCGACGACAAAACTGGTAGCGCGACTTACCATACAAATTGACCATCAACTCCCTCGGTGGGTAAAAGGGGCCCCTTCGATTTCGAGCGCCATTCTTCTAGAGTCCGAGCCGGCGACACGGCATCCAATTTGCGCAGCTTGTCGCTCGATCCCTTCTTCTTCTTGCTTTTTGAGCAGGGACGCTGGTCACGGCGGTTCACAAAGATGGTAAATCTAGAATCATGCCAGCGATGAGTTTGGGGTTGCACATAATATCGGGATGCAAAAGATACAAGGATGATAGTCTCAAAATCAAAACAGGGACGAATAAAACCAAAACCAAAACACTAAAAGAAAAAAGAAACAGCAACAATGCAAAACCACTTCCATTCAATACTCACAGCAAGCACATGATAATCAGAGTAACAACACCAAGTCCGACCCCCAAAACAATTGCCATATGGGTATTATGATCGAAGGAAGTTTTGTCCGACGACAACCCCATGTTCCATGACCCTGGGACAAGGCGGGTAGTCGCCGGGGGAACAAACCGTACAGAGAGAGATTTTGTGGCGCTGGAAAGAAAGAAAAGAAAAAAACAAATTAAATATCGAAGATGAGGGGAAAATATGGGCGAGAACCCCGTTTTCAAATTCCACAGTGACCTTTTCCGTTTGGTTTAACTCCACATCAAGTAGAAGACAGGTCAGGTCAGGTCAGGTAGGTGGGCAGTGCGTCGGTAGATAAATATAATCATTACTAGTACAGAGTAAGTACTGTATAAGTAAGTCGATCGCTTCGGTGGGGTTTCACGCCGTTTTTAAACTGTGGAGAAGTTTGACACCGAAAGGGAGAAACCATAAAAAGCTCAGCTATCAGACCATCATCATTCCTGTCAGCCGATCTCGAGGTGCATTAAATGAGTTGTTTTTGTTGAATTGAGTCGGCATATAGCATTTAAAACAACAATAACAGAAAACAAGAAGAAGAAAAGAAAAAAAACGGGGGGAAAAGACAAGTACAATAGGGGAAACCCGAGCTCAGAAAAAAAAAAGAAGGTTATTTTAGAATATGTTTCATACTTTTTATGTATGGGGAACAACGATTGAATGGTGGGCGCGCAAAAGAGGGCTGTGTATGTAGAAAAAAAAGGCAACGACTAACTCACCTTGCATTCCAAGGGAAAGGAAAGGTCGTGCACTGGCCGTTTTGCCCCAGACTTAGTTATTTATTTTTCTTCTTCTCTTCCCTTGGCGCCCATGCGACGAGAGGATCATCGTTTAATCTCGTGAGCACTGACGAGGGAAAGGCGGGCGGCGGCGGCGGTGGTGGTCAGGCCATTCAGCTTCCAGTCATGCCATCATTACTGGACCCTTGCTTCTTGGTCGTATGTATTTCATATGTATGTATAGTACATGTATGTACTATGTATGTATGTATGCAACTATGCCCTAACTCAACTCACCCTTTTCAGGACTCTACTTCAAACATTGCAGATTTTGACGGCCTTTCTTTTGAAGAAGAAGAGAGGTGGAAGATGGGGGAGATCCCTTTCATCTCACATTCCTTCGATGATCGTCTTCCCCCTTGTTCGTCACTTGAGCTCCCACCCACCTTGGGGTAATTTTATTGAGCTCGGGGGCCAATCAGGACCCCCAGCGTGTGGCATCAAAAACGCGGGATTGCCAATTGAAGTAAAGTTCAGCTAAAAGGCCGCAGTTTGCTGAAAGAGGATTACGGCGGGGGAGCCCCACCGTTGCGGGATTTCATCGTCTTCGAGCACGGCTTTTCAAGGTCAGGTGGTGAAAGATGTTGGTTGATTCTACACTATCGAAAAGAGGTGGAGGTTGAGATCAGAGCCATGACGACATCACGCATGGTCCACATTCATTTGATCTGCAAACAAAAAAAAAATGCCTATATCATATCGCATGGCGTGGAAAATGTAGAGTATGTACATCACACTTTATTATCTGTATGCTCCACATTCGCGTACGAGACCCCAGTTTCCTCCACTTTATTAAGCTCGACTTCGGCGGCTTTCGCTTCCACATTCTCCGGTAAGGTCCCCAACGCCCGTCCGCCGAACAGGAGATCGATCTCTTCCAGCGACTTCTGCTTGGTCTCCTTGAAAAAGAAAAACACCGTCGGGATTGTGATACAGACATCTAGTGGCAAGAAAAACCAGATAAGTAACTGTTCTCCACGTCGCTGTTCACTTCCCTCATATTAGAAAGGACAAGAAAACTTACTGAACAGAATGAAGACCAGGTAGAACCTCCAGTGAATCTTGCCGAATGCAATTGGCGAAACTTGATTCCAGATGGTGCTCACTACCCAGTTGCCAAGGCTGGTTGCGACGGCGTTTCCTCGGCCTCGGATTTGCATCGGCATGACCTCGGCCATGTAGACCCTGGAGGGGATGGTTGTTAGCCCGGTTGTCCTAAAATTCTTCCCAAAAGCGGTGGTGGTGACCGTATAGTTTGGAGGGCAAGAGATGAAACGTACCAGGCGCATGATCCGTAGGAGAAGGAGAAAATCACAGTGATGCAGAAAATGAAAAACACGCCGGCGATGCTGTAACTCGTCCGGGACCCGTCTTCGTTGACCGAAGTCAGTGCGGCTTCGCAGATCAGGACGATGGTGACAGCTATCGAGCCAAACAGCATGGGCTTTCGCCGCCCCACTTTGTCGAGCAGGAACACAATGAAGATAAGGTTGCAGATTGGACCAACGCAGTTGTAGATACCGGCGACGAGGATGTTGCGGCCTCCGGTGATGCCGAGGGAATTGTATAGGATGGTTTGGTAGTAGCCGATCACGTTGACAGCGGTCATTTGCGCGAAGGCCTGGACGGCGATACCATGACTATAGTAATGCGAACGGCTGTCATCAGTAACTGCCATCTTGCAGGGTGGGGGGTTTCACATACAGCAATCGAGTCCGCCATTGGGGAACCTGGAACATGATAAGCCAGCCCGACACTGTTACAGCCTTCTCAGCATCAATGGTCGTTTTGATTTCATTGAATTCAGTCTGAATCCATTCGTCATTCGTGCCGTCATAGTGCAATTTCCGTAAGATTTTCATTCCCTCTTCGTAGCGTTCCTTCTCAACCAGATACCGAGGGGATTCCGGCATGAAGAACATTCCCACTGCTAGAAGTATGCAAGGAACCGTCTGGAATGCCAGAGGAAAGCGCCATTGGAACTCGCTAGTTTCTGGAGCATGAAGTGATCCAAAACCGACCCATCTATCGAAGCATCAATGTTAGACCTCCACCTCGGGACAAGATCGTTAGGAGTCAAATGCAAGGAAACCATACGTGCTGACGATAAAGCCAATACCGATCATCTGCTGTGATAAACCGATAATAAAGCCTCGGCTGCGAGGATGAGCACACTCGGCCTGATAAACTGGAACCGACATCGACAAGAGACCGACAGCCCATCCGGCCAGAATACGACCAACGAGCATCATAGCCAAGTTCTGAGCAGCGGTCTGAAGAATAGCACCGACAAGACATATGAAAGCACCCATTTGGATGGTAAATTTACGGCCGAAGCGGTCCATCGTAAGTCCTCCCTGGAGGGCTCCCAACGCAGCTACAAGGTGACTAGTCAGTACTCCTTCTGGCTTTCTTCAAGGTACATTGCTTCTGAAATTAAAGGTAAATAATCGCACCTCCACCGGAGAATGTACTATTGATCGCCCCAATGATTGGGGAAGTCTGGACGGTGTTGAAGAAGGCAAGGAAGTTCTTTGATTCGATCACATCGGTCATGACACCACTGTCATATCCGAAGAGGAACGACCCTGTGGCCGCGAAGGCGGCCAGGCCGATAGTGAAGCCGCGACCCATGTTGATGAACCTTTGGCGGGCGATGAGCCGGTCAGTTCAGCCCAGGGAATGAGGGGCGAGCAGGGAAAGGGCAAGCCAGGTATCAGAGGACTCGGAGGAGTAAAGATGAGATCGGCGGGGCAGACAGAGAGACGGCATTGTCTTAATATATCGAAACAAGTATTAGCCTGTATTATAAGCGAGGCTTGTCTGTTTTAAGGATCAAGCCTAAGGGTGAGTCTGGACATGAGGATACGACCCAGGATGCAGTGACTGGCGGGTAAACAGAGCGAATCGACGGCGTGGAGAAAATCCGGGGACGACCCGCCCGACACTAAAACCACGCCATGTTCCCTAGGGGTCCCGTGATTGGTCCGATGTCCATCTCGACCCTTCTTTTTTCCCTCCATTGTCAGATTCCAGCATATGAAGTCTAAATGAGGCCAAGCCTGGATATATTGCTTGGATTTAGCCATGGCCGGATAAAACGAATTATTCCACGTATTGTCGAACGGCCGACCAGGGGGGCGCGTCCAAGCGTACCCTAAGAGTGCACACCCTCTTATAACATGATCAAAACGAATTAGCCCAACGGCCTTGACTGCCAAGTCGGTCCGGTCTGACCGAAAAGATATGCATGGCTCTAAAATTCTAAACACAGTAGATTAGCGATTTTTTCCGGCATCTAGCGGTTCAGTCTGGACACATGGTAAGGATATGAGAGCGTCTCTCAGGGCTGTTTCATATCACATGACTCATCTTCGTATGAACAATCTCGGTCCAGCTCTCAGCAAGATACTTCATTTGGTTTAGTATCGGTAGAAGCCGTTAAGCCAAAGTCCCCCGTGGGAATAGACCACCCGGTTAAAGCAAGAACCGGGGTACAGCCTGAGTCTGGGCAGCCATGTAATCACAGGGCTCGTATCGCAGGCCATCACGTGCACCGAAGGACTGTGTAGGCAGGTACTACTAGGACTAGTACTACTACTAGCAGATAGTCCATTGTCTCTCGCCGATTACGGCCCGTAAAACTATTCGTAGAATTTCAGTTTCCGAGATCTCTTCACAGCATTCGGGTTTAATGGCAAGGCGTCGCTCTAACACCGGAACAACGACGATTATGAGCCGTTGGGGCGCAACAGACTAGTGCGTCCATGACCACTCTGAATTAACGATCATAACCTTTAAGTTCAATGTTTGTTAGGCATGGAGTATCCAATGCACGGCCTTAGTGTCATATGGTATTTTAGTCGACTAGTAGTGACAGGTTATATCGTAGTCTCATAGCAAGGGTCCAATAGCATGTCAACAGAAATACATAAGAAAACTCTCCCAGAGTCGGACTTTAGGGACGTATCGGATTTAAAAGTAAGATATATGTAAATCTACCGTCGCTATACCCTTCTTATCTTCATCTCCATCTCCATCAACATTTCGCTTTCTCTCGTTCTTCTCTTCTATACATATTTCGCTTGCTCTGGTCGGACCGTCTTTTCAGCAGAAAAGCATCCCCAACAGCAACCACAACATCAACTCATCTAACATTCAACCATGGTCGGACAACACGACGCTGCAATTCTTCCCCAGCAGGGCGGTCCCTTGTCTCTTGGCAAGCGTCCCACTCCCGAGCCCGGTCCAAACGATGTTCTCATCGAAGTCAAGGCCGTTGCCTTGAACCCCTGCGATCATTTCCAGCGTGACTATGGCATGCCTCCTGTGCCTATTTACCCCGCTGTTATCGGATCCGACACTGCTGGTGTTGTCACCAAACTGGGCTCGAACGTCACCACGGTCCCTGGTCCGGGAAGCCGAGTGATTGCCTTTGCCTCATCATTCTACCAGAACGGCTCCCCCGACCGCGGTTCCTTTCAAAAGTACACTTTAGCACAATCCGAAGCTGTCATCCCACTTCCAGACAATCTCTCCTTTGAAGAGGGCGCGGTCTTCCCCATGGCCGTCCTGACTGCCCTGACTGCCTGGACCACAATCGGTATACCGCTCGATACCAAGTACACTCCCGCGGACAAACAAGCGGTCCTTATCTGGGGCGCATCGAGCAGTGTAGGCACGTTTGCCGTCCAATCGGCCAAGACACTCGGTTTCACTGTCTACGCCACCGCCAGTCCCAAGCACCATGACCTCGTCAAGAAGCTCGGAGCCCATGCGGTTTTCGATTACAGGGCAAGCGATGTCGTCTCCCAGATCGTCAGCGCCGTGAAGAAGGATGGTACCAAACTGCACACGGCACACTGCGTTGTTGATGGGGCTCTGCAGCCAACATTGGACATCCTCAAGGAGACCAAGGGTGATGCACACGCCAAGGTTGCACACTCACCCCTTCTCCCAGAAGGTCACCCTACCCTCGACAATACGCAGATCACTTTCAACTTCCCACCTACGGACGAGACCGCAAGGAGCAAGCACATGAACGAGGTCTTCCACGGGTGGCTGAAGACCGGTCTGCAGTCCGGTGAAGTAATCCCCAGCCCCACTATCCAGACTGAGGGTGGCGGTCTGGGCGGAGTGCACGCAGCACTAGACAAGCTCAAGGGTGGTGTCAGTGGCACTAAGATCGTTGTGCCGGTTTAATGAATTGCCTTTTGCTGATACACACGATACGACTGGGATCCCGACCTTCTTAAACGATTTGGCATAGGATCCCTCGACATCGGGCGGGATTAAATGTGGGATGTTGAAGTTGACAATGACGTGCAGTGCTGTGAGATCGCGCTTAATCTATTTTCTTATTCCAAGTTTACTTCCCAATGCCTCCTCGTTACATTCGCTGTCTGGGGCATACTCCATCTGAGAAAGCAGTAACGACGTCTTTGGGTACGACTGCCAGATCTCAGATTGCATTCGCGGATTCAATCAGGGACATGCGAGCTGCTTGGATCTTCTCAAATTCTTTTCCATGTGCGGCTGCTGGGGGTGCATCTGGGGCAAAGGGAGGAGATGGTTGTTTTATAGACAGTTGACAGTTCCAAGACCCATTCCTAAGTTTCACATTGTGTATTTTTTTTTTACTATAGAATATGACGGTGGTTGATCGTGGATCCATGCAGGGGGTGTATCTCCAACCTTCGCAGTTGAAAGATCTACAAGATATCGACCCCACATGCCATCAAACTTAATTTAGTGAGAAGATAACGTGTTCGTTTTTGATAGATTTTATAGCCCTAAGCAATTGAACACTATATTTTATTTAATAAAAACAGCACTAAATTTAGTTTATCATCAGAATAGTATCTTTGGGTAATTGCCTCGGCTTAAAGGATTTGGTCGAGGAAGCAAAGTGAAGTAGGTAGGGTTCTATAAGATATGTGGATGGATTGTATGAATAAGCTCGACCATTTCGAACTCCGAATTCGTCATCCATGGTGTACTTTACATGTCCGGATTAGGAAATTAGCACCAAACAGGCCCAATTATAAAAATCGATGAGTTCCCGAATAACTATCAATATTGACAGAACTTATTTCGCATACCATCGTGTATAGCTACCATACCATATCCGAATGCAAGTGTCATCCCTTACTACTACGCCCATTAACATGTCCCAGGCCAACATTGCCATCCCCACCGGGTCTCTCATTCTCGTGACTGGTGCAAATGGCTTCATAGCCTCCCATATCGTTGATCAATTTCTCAAAAGGGGTTACAGAGTACGCGGAACCGTTCGATCCGAGAAACCATGGCTAGATGATTATTTTGCCACTAGATATGGTGCTAGTCATTTTGAATCAGCTCTGCTACCGGAGCTGGGGGACGAGGAGACGCTGAATAAATTAATGGACGGTGTTGCAGGTGTCGTGCACGTGGTATCATTACTCCCTCGAAGTTGAAGTCTATCAGCGCTGACATGAACTCTAGGCATCAGATGTCTCCCTGAAGCCTGACCCAGAAATCATATCGAAATCCGTCGCCAGAACCTTGACTGTTCTTGAAGCCGCAGCGAAGCACGATACCGTGACTCAATTCGTTCTGACTTCTTCAGCTTCTGCCGCTTCGCTCCCACAGCCTGGCCAGCCCGGTATTAATATCGACTCCAGTAAGTTGTTGATAGCCCAACATGCCACTGGCATCTAATGTGTCCAGCTACATGGAATGACGGTGCCGTAAGAAGTGCTTGGGATCCAAATGTTCCTGTAGCCCACAAACCATACCTTGTTTACGCTGCATGCAAGACAGAATCGGAGCGAGAGGCCTGGAACTGGGTAACGCAGAACAAGCCTAGCTTTGATTTCAATACAGTCCTTCCCGGCACCGTCGTAAGTTCAACCGAAGGTCTTTTCCGCTCTCGACTGACCCATGGTGTCTATAGTTTGGCAGAATACTACATCCTGAAATAGGTGGCTCTACTATGGCTCTCGCCCGTAGCCTCTTGTCTGGGAACCGGGCTGGCATTGACTTTGTCTCTCCACGTAAGTCGAGCATTATCTTCCATTTGAAGCATTGGTTAAGAACAGGGCCATAGAATGGTTCGTCGACGCCGAAGACACAGCCCGTCTACACGTTGCTGCTCTTCTTGATACAAGGGTGAAATCAGAACGTCTTTTCGCTTTTGCAACTCCGTATAACTGGACTGATATCGTGAACATTCTGCGCAAGGCCTTTCCCTTGAATAGCAAAATTCCCCACCCCCCGGAGAATGAACCGCGGGATCTGAGCCTGGTTGGTCCTTCTGACAGGGCAGAGAGTCTAATTAAGGAGTGCTTGGGCCGTGATGGATGGACGAGCTTGGAAGAAAGTATTCTTGGCGGAACTGGGGACCTTGAAGGATTTAGGGGATACTAGTAGGTTTTGTTCTTCCTCATCAGGGCTATGTACAGAACGGCTTAATGTTATGAAGTTAAGTACTAATATCTCCAATAGGAGAAATCATGTGGTAAGTACTAGTTTTCGAAATCATATAGCAGAGAGACTTAACAGATCGTGCAGCTCTTTTGGTTTTGATTACTAGTTAGATATTTAATATTTATTCTACTTTAGTTTTTTGTCTTCCCGGCTTATCTGATTATCTGTCCGCTTAGATTGATGATTGAATCTGCCAAGTGGCTCCGCCACCCCCCTTAGTCTTGGTAAATTTGGATATTACTTCCATTTGTCGCTGTATCTCTCTGTTCGATGATGTATTTAGCGAATAAACATATAGTATATTGATTTAGAGATAAATGGCTGTATAGTATTTAGATCAATCAACAGTTGTTTAGGGAAACTATGCAAATCCTTTCGAGCTGCTTGAATAAAATTAACTTAACTTCTTCCTCCTGACACTAGTGCGAAAAAATTGATTGTGGAAACCTTTCAACAATGCTATATTAAGCTTAGCGTGATCTTTTCGAGCGTCTGGAAGTTGGGACCATCTTTACTCGTTGTCCGTAAATTCATTCCATGGAATGTTCCGATCGCGGACCGACAAAAACTTAGTACTACTGTTGGTAGCAGTAAGCAATGATGTAGTACATCGTTAAATCCCTCCCCTGGTCATCAGTTTTTTCCTTTGGTTTGTTATTGCTCATTATCCAACTTTATCCATACTTATTTGAGCCACACAATGGCATGGATTAGTCGCTCCGATACGATGCCACAGAGCTCTCCACCATCGTCCCCTGCCTTGTCAAGCTCCTATCATTCCATACGTCCTAGAAGACCTAGTCTTGAGTTCGAGGGTGAAATCTTGTCTACCCGTGGTCAACGTTTGGCAAGTCTTATTCGCAGGCGTTCTATCTCCACCCAGAGCCCTGAACCCTGGGATGATAGTACTCGGCATGATGACCTTCCGCCATGGGAACGGGCGAAGAAATTGATCGGGGACGTTAAATCCGTCTATAATTGGTAGGTCATTTGGCAATGGTCCATGAATATGTCGTGTTTTGCAGGCAGTGCTTGCGGGGAAAAGGTATATCTAATGCAAATCCTTGCCTCTAGGCAACTGTATTATAGAGACCCCAAATCGTTAGAAGGAATGGGAAAAAAGCTGTGGGTAAATTCCTCTCTTTCAATTTGAGACACTAACCTAACGCCATCAGACGTGAATATTATGAACGGAACAATAATCTCATCGCGCAATACGTATACATTGACCGACTACTGGACTCATCATTGCCGCACCGCCTCATTGGAGATTATCACCAAAATCGAGATGTTATACCTGAAATGCACTCCTGGAATTCCGGAAACGAATACGAACCGGACAACAGCCTGTCTACTGTTCCTGCTGATGGTAATGGTAATAGTAATGGAGAGCCGCAACAAAAGCAAGACCGAATTAAACGGACTCCGCGCAACCTCTATCGAATCCCAGATGAGAGCACGCCTCTTTTACCTCAGGACGGAAACGAAAGCGCCCCGTCTCTATCCGATGGCGGGGCGAAAGACGACGACTTCGTGGATAGCAGTGCCCGTATTGTTACTATTGCCATCTACGTGAACTTCGTCGCCAACGTGGTCTTACTAATAGCAAAAATAGTTGTCATGTCCATGACCAACTCCCTTTCTGTTCTTGCTAGTTTGGTGGATGGCGCATTGGACTTTCTGAGCACTGCCATTGTCTGGGTGACAACGACCCTCATTCAGAAGGACGACCGCTATCAGTACCCCATTAGCAGACGTCGACTGGAACCCCTGAGCGTGTTGGTTTTCGCCGTCGTGATGATGACCTCCTTTGTTCAAGTGGCCATCACCTCCTTCACTCGGCTGATCTCCGACGATACAAGCTTAGTTAACCTCACGATACCTTCGATTGCGGTGATGGCCAGCACCGTAGTCGTGAAACTCGCATGTTGGTTCTGGTGTCGATTAATCAAGAACTCAAGTGTCCAGGCCCTGGCACAAGATGCTGAAACAGACGTGGTATTCAACTTCTTCAGTATCCTTTTCCCTCTGAGTACGTAGCAATCCTTTTGCCAATCACTCCCCTCAATGTATTAGTAGAAACGAACTAACATTTGTTCCTCCAGTCGGCTCCTTCACCAAACTATGGTGGGTCGATCCCTTAGGCGGTCTTCTCCTCTCAGTCTACATCATATGGAACTGGAGCGGAACCGCAGGCGAGCATATTCGCCATCTCACCGGAGCGGCTGCATCTCCCATCGACCAGAGTGTTCTACTTTACATGACCATGCGATTCTCCAAAGCCATCCTCAAGATCCAGAACCTAAGGGCCTATTATGCCGGAGACCTCTTGAATGTCGAAGTAGACATCATCCTGGAAGGGAAGACCCGGCTGCGCGATGCTCATGACATCGGCGAGAGTCTGCAGTACATGATCGAGAGTGTCCCCACGGTCGACCGTGCCTTCGTACACATGGATTATGATCCGTGGAATATCCCTACTCACCTGAATCAACAGGCTCATTAATTCATATAGAAACAGAATAATACTACCAATTTATCAGACATCGTTGTAACTCTTATCGTTGCATAAAACAAATAAATGAATACATGCATACATACATACATACAGTGCATACCCGCTGAGTCATCCCCATCATGAGTTAAGTACCACGTGACTCCGCGTCCAGCGCGTCGCGGGTAGTACGTAGTGCGATCTCAAATTTCCTTTCCCTGACGGGTTATGTATGTAATTTGCGAGAGAGGGGAGAAAGTAAAAAAAAAACTACAAAAGCGGTGTTGTAACATAGTAAAGTGACATTGGGGCTACTGGTACCTTTCCCAAACCAGCGGCACATGACACTATCAGTCCGACGTCAACCATGGAAAGAAATGAGATGAGTGGGTTGGTAGGAAAGATTCTTTAAATATCTTTCTTTCTGGATTGGCTCTGGCTGCTGCTCCTTACTTAGGTCGTTGTTCTCCCCTCGCATTTGGGGAATATCAGTCGACCAAGAAAATACTCACTTAGGTTAGCAGGTTCATGTATTTTAACCAAGGTTGACGGTGGTGGTAGTGGTGCTGATATTCAAATTCTGGAGGGGTATGATAAAACCGTTCGTATACCGTTGGTATGAATGTAGTTGTTACTGTACATACACCACAACCGCGCTGGTGTCGTATCAACCCCGCGCCCGGGGGATTGGGACGATATGAAGATGATTGTTTACGGCAGCGGGATGAAGTGTGTGCTGGCAATGATGATGTAGATTTATATGTTAAAAATGATGTTCTATTTTAAATTAAAATTTTAAAGAAAAAAGAAAAATAAATAAAAAGAAACGAAAAAAAAAGAAATGAAAGAAAATAAGCTCAAAATTCCAGAAAGTTGGACCCTCGTGCTCCGGGCGGAGCTAAACTGAGTTACAACGAGTGCACGGGTGCGTCCGCGTCCACATCGCGACGCGATTAGATGAAGCGCTTTTTTCCCACTCATCTTGGGGTCACTTTTTCGCTAGCCCCCCCCCAGAACGTCCAACGGGACTAGTGCTGGCTTTCTTATATTCCTGGTGGTTTCCTGCTTCTTTCCTGCAATTGTCTTCTCGGGCCCTCATGCTTATATCCTGACTTAATCAACTATACAATGTCTGACCCGGAGCCTTCTGCTGCGCCATGCTCATCGTCTCCGCCAACTGCTCAGGCATCCGAGTCCACGGCTGCTCTCAATTATGCCTTCCTCGTACACTCGCAGAAAACCCTAACTCAGAACCTTCCCCCGCGTGTCGATAATAAGTTACTCGCTCGGCAGAAACGTCGCCGCACAAGGTATATTAAGCGGAACGGCCTCATTGATATACCCAGCTAACGCGTGCTTACTCTGAAACAACAGTCCTGAGGACCATGCAGTTTTGGAGGCAGAATATCAACGAAACCCGAAGCCAGATAAGACCGCCCGGGCCAGCATAGTCAGTCGCGTGTCGTTGGGTGAAAAGGAAGTGCAAGTACGTCTCTTGGACAAGATTGAGTCATTGGCACTCCTTTGTTCTGACCATTACTCTCCAACGTCATAGATATGGTTTCAAAACCGTCGCCAAAATGATCGTCGGAAGTCGAAACCCCTCCAGCCTCATGAGCTGCTGGCTCCTCGGTCCGACGCGTCGAAACAGAGTTTCAGCGATGAGAATGTACCTGCGGAACCAGGCTCTTCTAGTGGGACGGAGCAGTATGACGACCCTAGCAATGAGAACAATGCGGTGACACGGGCTTCAGAGAATGACTCTTTCGCGTCGGATATGGTTCGTGGAAGCCAAGAAGAACCCGAGCAGCCCTTCCTGAGTTCCCAGACGAGCGTAGCAACCTCAGAAGCCCCAGAAAATAAGGAAGGAACGCACGAAAACTCTCGGTCGGAATCCGAATTGAACCAAGGACACGCGAGCGTACCAACCGATACACCACACCAGAGCTCTGCTAAAAGGAAGCGGTCAATCACGGACCTTCGACAGGGAAGATCTGAAGCACAGCAACCTTTGACACCATGTGGAGTGCAGAGCATGAGATCACCACCGTCTCTGCGGATATCCTTATCATTTGACGGAGAAGCTATGGTGAGAAAGGAAGGCGAATTGACTCCATCCCCGCCTAAAGGCCGTAATGCGCTCCGAATTGCCATGTCTTCAGACGGGAAAGCCGTGATTCGTGCCGATGGAGAACCATCGCCATCCAAAAACCGTATTTCAATGTTCCCAACCCGGACCCCTCGATTCACGGGACTTCGGAGAAGCAATAGTGCAGTGGTTCTGGGAACACCAAGAGGATCTATCGAAAGGGAAAGGATCTTTGGACGATCACGCGACCCTAGGAATTGGGAATCAGTCTTCGACACCGATGCCCGGAGTGCATTATCCACCCCATCCAGCTCACAAAGTGGAACACATACAGGGTCCCCCGGATTTTTCCGCTCCGGCGGTCCTCGTTCGTTGACACGAAGCCTATCGGCAAAGTATAAGAACACCGCAACATTCAACTCCTCCGAACATCTTAATACACCCGTTCCTCAAGCTACAAGGGAAAAGAGGAGAAAACTGTCGCGCGTGGTTTCGTCGTTGGGCCGTCTCGAATCTGGTCTCGAAGTCCCCAACGATAAAAACACCTCTTACTCAACGAAATTGTCGAAGAGCATGGCAGGAAAAGGCAATGGAGATATAGAATGCAGTGATTCTGACAAGGAGAACTGGATCCCCGGGACCCAAACATCTCGTGTCCGCCGACGAGCGGCTTCTCAACATCATTCATCCCGTCCCGTCCTGAGAGATGCTAACGGGAAGGATGGAAAAGTCAACAAGGACCTGACGGCCAGACGCTCCCGACTCTCTCAGGCGTCGCAGCGTAAAGCAAGCGAGAAAGCTTTGCCAACAGTCGACACCGAAGTGTCTACATTCATGGCTGGTGGGGGTGGTTCCAGTCAGGAAGAAGACCTCGATTGCATCCAGGGCCTCTTATCCTTGAGCCAAGGTGCATGGCGATAGGAACAGAGATACCCGTTTCCTTGTACCATGATCTATTTATTTCCTTTGTTAATTTTCTTTTGTTTCCTATTCATTTCCTTTGTAGTTATGTTCAAGTTGCGAGCGCCAGCAAGCGGTGACTTCATGTATGATCTGTGATGCTCAACCTGTGATGATTGAACTGTGCTTTTTCTTCGTTGCCCAGCCATTCCTTCCAAAGGGATACGATATTGTCCCTCACGGCTGTGACCACCACCACCACTACCTACCAAATATTGATGACGAGACCCTGTCGAATATTTAGATATCCACATGTAATTCCAGGCTAATAGAGCGATTGAAATGAACGACCAAAATCAAGGATATCATATAATGCGGGCACTGTTGACTACCGTTAGTAAAATTAGAAATAAAATACTCCGTAGTAAGAAGTAATTTAATGACTTCGGCGGCAACAGGAGCCAACGGCAAGTGGCACGTGGCCCGCGCTCTCTGCCATCTAAATGAATTAAAAAAATACTCTTTCTGTACCTTTATCTACAGTTTGCCTTTTCTATTCCACGTCAGTTTGATGCTCCGGTTATTTCGTCTGCCCTTACATGCGAGTCAGTGTATTTCACCTTTGGTAAGTGGGCAATCTCAACATTTTTTTTTTATGAAATCTGTTTGTGAAAGTATACGCCACTTGCATCATGGAGTCTTTCACTGGCCTGGATCGTAGGAATGCTGTCTATCTCAACAATGCAGATCAGCCACCCCACTTTTCTGTCTGTCATGTTTTGTATGCTTTTGTACTTTTTGAGCTTGTTTCTACCCACATTCTCCAGTCATGATTTTAGATCTTCCTAACCCCGTCATCCATCAATCTATAAATCGATGACGGGCGGGCAGACAAATCCTCTGAAACATGGACAAAGCGAGAGCATGAGTTAGACATCTCTTCACGGTTATTTGGTATTCCTTACATAAAGCTAACCAGAAGATGGCGCAGAAATTCTCGCGCACCTGTACTACCAAAACAGATAATACAGTCTACCCACTGTCGCTACTTTCTCAGAAATCAAATCCTGTATTCCCCGATATCAACATGGGTAAAAGTCCACATGTAGCCATTATTGGTGCAGGCTTTTCCGGTCTGAGATGCGCAGATATCCTTATTCAAAATGGCGCGCGAGTGACAATCTTCGAAGCTAGAAACCGAGTCGGAGGGAGGGTATGTACGCGAAAGAGACAAACTTATATGGTAATCAGTTGGTATACTAATACCAAGCAGGTACACCAAAGCAAGGTTGGGGATCGCTTAGTCGATCTGTGAGTGCTTTGTTTCTCTATTTTCATTCATTTTCCTAAAACCACTCATGCTGATGATACGAAGTGGTCCTAACTGGATCCATGGCACTGGCACAAATCCCATAGTGAGCATCGCAGAGTTGACGAAAACGACCATAGAGGATTTTGAGGGAAACCAGGTATTCATCTCTATGGATGGAAGCCCCATTAACGACAAGACAGCTACCAAGATCTCAGAGTTCGTATGGATGACCATCGACGAAGCATTCAAATACAGTAACGCTTATAAAGATACTATCCCACCGGAACGAAGTCTGTTCGACTTCTTCCTAGATAAAGTCGAGAAAACAGACTTTACTCCAGAAGAGAAGAAATGGTGTATTGAAACCTGCAGATTATGGGGAGCATACGTCGGCGACCCAATCGAAAGGCAAAGTCTGAAGTTCTTCTGCTTGGAAGAATGTATAGATGGCAGTACGTTCTCCACACCGTCACCCACATACAGTACCCTCGACTGACCATCGAATACCAGACAACTACTTTGTAGCCTCCACTTATAAAAACATACTAGCCCACATCTCCAGGGTCGCTCTGCAACACGCCGATATCCGATTCAACCAACCAATCACCAACATCCACTCCGACGTCCAACAAGACCTAAACGCCCCTCACAAAACAACATTAACAACCGCCACGGGCGAAACTCACACATTCGACGAAGTGATAGTAACGTGTCCACTGGGCTGGCTAAAGCGCAATAAATCCTCATTCACCCCAGAGCTCCCTGCCCGTCTCGTCCAAGCAATCGACAACATCTCCTATGGCCGCCTAGAGAAAGTCTACATCACTTTCCCCCGAGCCTTCTGGCACAAGGACCCCAGTGACCTCACTACCAGCAGAGCCGCAAGTCACAGCGCCTACGAGCGTCCAACCTTCGCACAATTCCTCGATCCCACGTATACAAAAGGACCTGGGGGTATCCTCTGGAACCAAGAATGCATATCCTTAGCCGCTCTCCCAGTCGACTGCGCTCATCCAACTCTTCTCTTCTACACTTACGGACCCTGTGCTACCTATATAGTCTCCAAAGTGGCCAACCTCGACCCCTCATCTCAAGACTACTACAATTTCCTCGATGACTTCCTCCGCCCATTCTACTCCCGTTTGCATGGGTATTCGGAGTCATCACCCAATTGCAAACCGCTCGCTGTAATGGCAACCCAGTGGCAGACTGATCCATACGCTGGGAATGGGTCGTATTGCAACTTCCAAGTTGGGCTTAGTCAGGGCGATCGGGATATCGAGATTCTGCGAGCGGGACTCGGGACGGATCGTGGGGTGTGGTTTGCTGGAGAGCATACGGCGCCGTTCGTTGCGCTTGGGACGACGACTGGGGCGTACTGGAGTGGTGAGCGTGCTGCTGGACAAATCTGTCAATTGTATAGTCTTGGTAGATTGGGGCTAGGCTTGGAAAGGGATGATTCTTTACCTTCAGCCGGTGGAGAATAGGTCGTCGCTTAAGATATGTGGCGAACAATACCCTTCCTTATCCGCGTGATCCGTGGATGCCACGTAGATGGATATAGCAGCTTTGCTGCTTTTGGAATGAAGATTTAGGAAATATAATTGAGTATGTACGATTTCCATTGAACAGTCCACGTTATTTACACAATCAAGGGACACACCGCGCAATGTCAAATTGAGCCATGAGATAAAATATTGTTCCAACAAAATGAAAAGCAACAGGGGAATCACAACAATGACGCTTAATCTCGCTCGATAGATGAAAACAAACTAATAAGATAACACCTCCCGGATGACAAGCCACCCGTACATAATCAGAATGCCTTGCGCCCTGGTGCAACCCACAATATGGAACGGTTCCACTAAGAGCATCAACGAACCTGCGCGCTCTCCATCTCCACATATCCATTTAGTGAGGCACATGAATTGAAAACAATAGACAAGAGTTAGGGACAGTAAAGGGTATTGCGACACCTGAGATGAGCGCCAGAACAAAGAGCAAGGAACAGTTACAACCCGGACAACTTTCAGCAAATCAAAAGGAGTATAATACATCACCACACAATGATGTTACCGGCAACAGGGACAAGACTGTTGAGGTAGAGGCTGCTTCGAAGTAGAATATCAAGTTGGGGGCGGGGCTCAGAAGCATCGCCGCTTTCATCAGTAGCACAATCCTTACATCGGAAAGTCGAGCTCTAAGGTACGTCCGAGCAACAGTTGGTGAACTTAAAACACAAAATTGAGACCAATACCTATTGGTTAAAAGCTGAAGCACAGCCCACAAATTTGCTTCATTTAGCATATGTTGCTTGACCATTTGTTAGAGGTTGCGGAGGAATTAGTCGTAGTCAACAAATCAATCTTCCCAGATCGTTTCCAAGTCGAGGTCTTGACGACGCTCGGCCCCACAAACGCTCCACCGTTTCCGCTTATCAGTCCTGAGGCCATAGCCACCTGATACGGTTCGCATGTTCATCATGGAGCTTGAAGGGCCTGACGCGTCTGACGCCCCTCGTCGACGATTTCCGTTCGTCGACGAATCCGCTGCATCTGCTCTATCAGCCGCAGCTTTCAAGGCAGCGATCCGATCAGCCTCAATAGCAGCGGCTTCGGCATCGGGAATGTCAGGGATAGTCTCTAAAGATGAAATACTCGGACTCCGCGAGCGAAGGCTTGTTGGTGTCGAGGGCATTGATGAAGCAGAAGACGTCGAATAACCGGGAAAAGATTCGTTGAATCTGGAGTTGAGAATTATCGGAGACGAGTGTGCGGAAGAGGGGCTGCTGGCCGATTGAACAGTGGAATTCATCGGGTTAAAATGGAGAGGTGATGACGGTCGTCGACGGGTCATTCGAGGGAAAGTGTTGGATAGCACAGGCGAGGCTGTGCGGGATTCTCCCTGAGTCGGAGAGGAAGATGGCATCGCGGTGTTCAGCTCAGCATACTCCAGAATGGGCTCCGAGATGGTCAAGGGTATCATTCTAGACTCTAGACTGTCCCCCATTGGGACCTGAAATGGTAGGTGGCGTTTCGCGGCATTATCAGGTGAACTTGTTGGTGCATCGCGACCATGAACAAAGATATACCTGCCCCGTGAGTCCAGTCCCGGGGTAGAGTGAGCGCGCGTCATAGGAGGTAGACCAGATACCTCAGCCAGAGATCGGGACCGAAAATGGGAGCGGGCGAAGGGCGAGCGACTCGGCGAAGGGGCCGGGGGACGTGACAGAGTTATCATGACGTCGTTCTCGCGGTCTTCAGCGGACCCCGGCGCTGTCGGTTCGGGAGAGTCCACCGATTCCACGGGACTAGGGGGTAGTGATATCCCCTCTGGGGATAGATAGTGAGACGTTTCCATATCCGTCTTCGATTCGTTAGTCGGGTTAAATCGGCCTCATGCTGGTTGGAGAGGGTGTACGGGACAAGCGAGAAACAGGGGATAGGGGGGAGGGAGTAAAGTTGAGTGGTGAAGTCAAGACTTTCGAAGTCACGGACTTAAAAAAGAGAGAAGAAGGGGAGGAAAGAGGCGCGGGTGATGGGAAAGGAAAGGCCGCCGCAACCAATGAAATCGCTCACGCCAAACCACAAGAGGTTTAGTTTTCTCCGTACTCCACCGCCTCAAATTTGTATATCCATAATCAGAGGATGGAGATTTTATAACTACCTTTATAGATTGGGAGTTATAACCTCTCATATCAAATATCTTTTTTTTCTCGCTTCATGCCAAATTGTAAATAACAATAAAATGAAAATGAAAATGAAAAAACAAAGAAATAACCGTACCCTGACGAAAAGCTTCCCGGCTTCCTACGTCCCGAATCCCAAGGTGTTCCTTATTTTCTCCGCTTACCCTCTAACATGCACCTGACCTCATGCCCAGCTGGCCCATAACCACGTATGGTGGTGGGTTTACTTATCTGTTTACCCCAGCCCTATTATTGCGCGCTCCAGTCCGGGAGGGATAGCTGTTGTCGTACCCGCCCTAATATGATATTTTCGAAGATGGACTGAATGACGGAGACGATACGATAGTATTAACGGATTGAATATAGCAGTTACTGGGTGCGGATCACAACAAATAGAATCACCTGTTGTTTATCTTCTCTCTGCCGTCGAATACCGGAGCTAACATCATGACCAGCGGTGTAGGTGGAATGGTGGAAAGGGTTAACAGGAAGGTACTAAATAAGTGCATATCTCGACAATTAAATTCAAAAGCGGTGTATGAAGCGGTGTGGAGGGGGGAACTGCTTTCATCTGCCCTTACGAAATAACTGCATCTACTAGACACAGCTATTCGTTTTAAAGGTTAGTCTGCATCAGTGCACCGCTCTTTGAAATATATCTTTGCCTTCAAAATCAACCTGTAAGTGGTAGAAGAATTGGTTTTGGAAGGTCAATTGGTGAGATACATATAGTACGTAGATAATTCCCAGGAATGGTGTTTAACAAGAACTAGAAAACTAGTATGATCCTGGTCCTAGCATATGGCTCCGTTTCTTGTCAAGTTAACGGACAAAGGCACAAACACATTTATTAGACGGAACATATAGAAAGGTTGGATGAAAGAAAGAGTGATGAGAGATAAAAGAGCGGCAGCGAGACAGATGATCCAAAGAAGGGCTTCTTCTATATCACTATCGGGTGACGTACGTAAGGGACTATTGAGGGTATTAGGAATGGAAAAGGAATAAGAAAAAGACGAAAAAGAAAGGTAAAAGGGAAGAAGAAGAAGAAGAAGAAGAAGAATAAGGAGGAAAAAGAAGTGAAAGAGAAAGGGATGGCGAAGGAAATATGTTCCCAACTTCAAGGTCCGTTGTCTCAGTGATGCTCATGACCCTCATCCTTGCAAACAGTCGAGGCTTTAGGCTCCTGTTTCTCTTCCCGCACTGCCACGTACACTTGTCGTACAATATCGCCTTTATGGCCTTTAAGTGCCCATTGCCCAATTCCTTTTTCTGGAGGGGCTCGCAGAACACCACGACCACCCCCGCCAACGATCAGGTTACCAGGGCGGTAGTCACCATCCACATACATTCGACGAATTGCAGATATATGGATGTGAGAGTTGTCTGGGATGTCGCGAACCTCTCCGCACGGTAGCGGCCACCGGATCGGTTTCCATGATCCATCTTTTTGCAGATCCATTCGACGGAATGGGAGGTACTCCATCATTTTCCATGTGAGAACCGATAGATTTGATATGCCACTGCCGAATTTCAGACAGTCATGGAGTGGGGCCTTACAGGACTCCTGGAGCGCCTTCAGAAATGTGGAGTTAGATTCGTTTGTGCATTGTTTCTCATCCATATCCCCATAAACGGCGGCGACTTGGGCTTCCAGTTCGTTATTTGAAATTGGTGTCAACGGATAGCCATCTTGGCCCACACTGATATCATGGTTCCAGTGCATGGTTTCACGAATGGGTGAGTAATCCTCATCGTAACATTCAAAGTCCTCCATCTTGTCAGGATCAAATTGAAGCCCAGCGCGCTGGGCCTCCTGAACCATCCAAACCAATGGTGCGTGACTGAGTGGCCAATCTTTGGGTCCCTGTTGCCATCCTCCACCAATATCTGCGTGACCTCCCGGAAACCATACTTCCTGAATGTCCTGATCCTCATCCTCCTCGTAATCCTCTCCCCCAATATGTTCGTGTGGCACTTGAAGCGAGAGGCCCGATTTCTCACTTCTGATGGAGACTACATCCTCTGCGGACGCTGCTTCCATGGGAGCAGCCGGACTGAGGTGTCTCTGGGAGCGTCGTCGTCGTGCACGGTATCGATGACTTGTGCTGTATATACTCTGGTTTGAACTTCGCACACTGTGGTGCACAGATTCAGTCTCCCCGGGCCTCTGCTGAGAGGGGCTATTCTCATTGTTACCTCTGCTGATGACGATCTTGGGAAGACCAAGGGAGGTTTTTGGAGGGGACTTTCTTGGACTGTGGTGAAACCGGGGCCAATGGTGTTTCCAGTAGGTAGACTTTTTCTCCTCGCAGCACGGTTTGATCTCGGAGATCAGGTCCTGCCGAAATTTGGCACGCCGCTCATCGATCCCCACTGCATGTCGAATGACCTTGGCTGAGCTGCGAGCGGTATATGGGAACTTGCTTCTTTGCATCCACGCAGATTCGAACGCAGGCACACTATTGACAGTATCAAACAGTCCCATGAACTTAATTCTGGGGTCGATTGGTCGACAGAATGTCTCACGGAAGGCCTTCATATACTCGAACAGTTTATCTGTTTTTTCAGTATCTTTATGGGTATCACGTCTCATCTGCCATTTGGCAAAGGTTTTCCATGCAAATCGGACGAGTTCCTCATTGCCAGCCTCGAGCAAGCCGATGGAATCCAGCATTTCCGCAAGGAAGCGAGCAATATAGGCACCTCGACTGAAGCCTATAAAGAAAATCTCATCTCCAGGTGTATAATAACGCATGAGAAACTTGTATCCCCCCATGACATGGTCAGCGAAGGAGGATCCGACAGCGGAGTCCTTTGCTTTCAGATATGCGGACCTGATCCGGTGGAAGCGGCCAGAACTGGAAAGGGACTTTGAAGTTACATAAGTTCCAATCCCTGGCTGGTAATAATGAAATTGATTACTTCCGCTGCGATCGAGCATCTGGTTGCAGAATCAGTGACTGATCAGTATATCGACTTACGGTCTACATAGAGCCCTCGAGTCTCACGATTCTCTAGGTTGGGTCAACTTACTCGAAAAATCTTCAGAACATTACTGTCCGACCTATCCCCGTTAAACCTGTTTCCAGTGCCATCGAAACACAGAACAAATTGTTTTGGCACTGGGGCCGGTCTTAAAACTTCTGCATCCATGTTCGCCGTTCAGAGCAGAAAATGAAGAGGGAGTGTAGCTTAAGGAAACATCTGCTAGGGCAGTCGACACGTTCAGGTATCTTGGAGGGGGGAAGATGTGGATGTACATATATTCGCCGAGGGCTAATACTCGCAAGCACATGCGCCTATCCCCGAAAGTATGCCTCTCAGGCCCTATGGGTCGTGGACGTCCAGGAACATGGTGCGGAAGGATGGAGTGTAAAGAGGACGCACCCTGTTTTAGAGCCCGCTGTCTGCATCATAGCCATGTATTCGGCCAAATGATACGTCGATGTAAGCCTCCTGAGTGGAGCAAAGAAGGTGGTTGGTCAAAATGTACGAGTAGACACATTCCTCAACTTACACCATCCCTTACAAGGCTTGTAATGGTGTAAAAATTTATCTGTTTCTCGGGACTACTGCACACCATACGTCTTGGTTTTCTTTTCTTTTCCTTTGAATTTTTATTTTCTATTTCCTTTTTCCTTTTTTATTCTTTTCTCCCTTTCCCCTAAAGTGGGTTGTGACGGGATGTCAGCTGCAGCGGAAGCCAATAATTAGCAATGATTGGATTTTTCTCAAGCTGCAATGTCATGAGAAGGACAAAAAAAAAAAAAAAAAAAAGGGAGATGAAAGGAGAAAAGGAAGGAAAGAGGGGGAAATGGTGGATAAACTTGGACAAATGATCGTCTCTTTGCATCACGGCGAGACCCTACCATCAAATGAGATCGCCCGAGATCAGCCAGTCTCGGGGAATGGGAACTGTGATTGATGGCCAAAGCCATGGTCAATTTGGTTCGTTGATCTCAAGCGTGAGGTTCAACAATTTGTAATTGATTACGGAACAGTTCTCGTATGCGACCCGTACGCCAGGGACGATCTTTTCCAGGCATTTCGTCTTGTGGGGTATTCGTGGATGGTGGTTCACCTTTAGCGCATACTTTTGCACACTCCGTCTCCATTATGTTACATACATACAAGCCTTGCAATACGTAAGTTATATTTGAGTCATTAAGCTACCTCTCACAGTGCCACACCGAATCGCGTGTGTTTTGGGTATGTCGATCTCTGGTTAGCAGAAGCAAGGGATTGATCGAGAGGGGGGGGAAGAAAGGGGGGGAAATCCGAGGGGAAGGAAAAGGGAGAAAAAAGAAAAAAAGAAAAAAAGAAAAAGCAGAAGTCAGGAAAGATACTCAGCAAACAAAAGATTTTCGGTACTGAGACCATTGGTTCTCCATCATAAGTCTCGATACTAGTCTATGGAGCACACACCGCCTTAAGGAGAAATTTTGGACGAAGTTGTTGGTTCATGTGGGGAATCTCTTTGGCCCCAGCCGTCAGGTCCATCACGAACCATTCGGCAACACCCGGTCGGCTCCAATGGATTGGTTCCAATGCCCCCAATGCCAGCGTTCAGCTTGCGTGGGTTGTCCACTCGCTCAAGCTACCAAAATGTCAGAAAAACCAACTTAAAATTCTAAATTTCATCTACATTGGAGCATGTATATATTTCATTGAGACATGAGAGTGCTATACCACTGGCCATATAAGGAACGCAGCAATACATCAATAACTCCTGTAGGGTGAGCAAAGTTAACCTTGACAAAATAACAACAATTCAGACCCTCGCACTGATTTATCCGTACTGCCAGTTTGTATGAACAGTGGTCAGGAGGTTGGGTGTGTGGATGTGTAGTTTGAACACGGTCTGCCACGATTTATCAATTTAGTAATTTAGTTAGTTCCTCTTGTCTATCAACCACAGGGTACTTTGGGAACCTAAGGCCGCAAGGAATTACCGAAACCACCCCTTAAGGACCCCGATTGGTTATCCATCGACGCTAAGACACGGACTGTCCTCAGATCGATTGGGTTACTACTGTATTGACGAACACATAGATTTCGTCGATCAAGTTGGTGATCTTCAGATGGTATTGTTACTATCGTACCGTATTGTACCACCCAAAGGTATACTATTACTAAGTACGGAGTACTCTGTAGGTGTGCTTCCTACTACCTACAGCATGATATGTCAGTCTATCAATGGCCTTGTACGAAAGCACCAGAAAGTCAAAATATAAGAAGGGAACAAACTTTGTTTTCTTTTCTTTTCTGAATTTTTGACTACTATCCTGAACAGGTTTCATCCGTGTGGACTCCGTATCTCTTTTTTTTACCCCTTTCGACTTTTTTTTTTGACTCCCATTAGCCAAGGTTTACCCACGGGACTCCACCGGGGTCACGGCACTAACAGAAAGTTAAATGACGATGATCCCGTGTTCGAGCGCATGGCTACAAATTGGGAATTAGCTATTCTCCATTGGACTCCATCATGACAAGATCATGGCTTGGGCGAGAAAAGTCTGCCGAAAGTCCATAATGTCCTCGTGAAAAAACCATGACACCATCGATCGTGCGTATTCTGTTGTGCCAGTGCTTCCACAATGATATAGCCTTTCTCACTCAGTCTCGCTAGAGGTCCTTCGTTGCTGACATCGAATGATCTGTACCCACGACTTAATACACTCCGTTAAAGAGCTTACACCCTTACTCCGTACATACTCGTGAACCATCCAAAAAAGATCAGAGTTTGAGATTACTCATGATGTTGATCGGTGAGGGACAGTGGGCATGGGAAGAGCTAGGAAAGTATGTCTCCAGCTGGCGTACCCACAATACTATGCGACGGAGGACTGATTCATGTTCGTCGGTAGTATCGTGCTCATGGATAGCATGCCCCCGCCAATGATTTCGGAGCACTTAGCTTGGAGCTTGGGCCAGTAAAAACAAGGCTCTACAATTGGCAGTCTGGAGCCGAGGTGGAACCTGCGTTCTTCCAATTCCATGGTTCCACCTTGCCATGATTATCAACTTGGCATCTTCGCGATCGCTGCAGATTCCACTTTTGTTTGGTGGCTGGCTACTGTGCACACTTACCGCAGTGGATCAAAGATCAGCTGGCCTGTTCACCAATACAATGATGCTGAATTCTTGTAATGCAAGCTCACGATTAAACTTTTCCTATGTCGGTGGGTCGACTGCACGGTACTACAATGAGCCAGCGAAGAATTACTCCGTATCTGCCTACAGATCCCTTCCACGACCCGGCGTCAATGCGCAGCGTGCGGTGTCCATGAAGCTGAACAGATAGGAAAAGTGTACCTTGCTCAGTTGAGGAAGCCCCCTTGACTGGCCAATCTGAACACCTCCACTGAGTCCACTCTCGTCCCAGGTCGACCAACATTGACCAAACATGATCCTTCTTGCGCCACCCGCGGGTCTAAACCATATGGTAGGTATTATTACTTGACAGTATCCAAGACGAATTTCAGCTGTGCGATACCAATTAATCTACCCCTAGACTGATTAATTAATTTTGCTATCAATCGGATTCGGCGGCGAAGATCCACCCACAGCTGTGGTAGCGATTTGACCCCATGCTGTGTTGCGCTTTTAAAAGCTACTGCTCCGTACGACGCGACACATGGAAAACTTCTTTGAGCATTTGTCGGTCGAGATTCTCCTCCGCTTTCCATTATTGTTCGCTTCCTTTTATACCCCGCTTCGCGCCTTTGAGTTACCTAACCTGAATTGTTCACATTTCGCATTTGTTCATATACCATAATCATAATGTTGCGGAGATTTTCTACAAATTTCAAAAAGTCAAAGAATGACCGCGAAACCAAGCAAAATGGCGCTCAAAATGGCGCTCAAAATGGCACCCAGAATGGCACTCAGAATGGCACTCCGGTGAATGGTGACAAGCGGCAGTCTAGAGTTTCACCGGCGCGCAAGTCTGCGGATCAAGAACCAAGCCGTAAGGCAGCCGATGGCGCGTCGATTTTCGACAAGTATGCGCAAGTCCTCCATGCTTCGCACAGTCCTCTGCCAAACCAGACTGGTGACGGTGCGACGTTTGAACATCGCCATGGCAGTCTCGTACAAGACGTCAAAGCTCTTACCTTCCAGGATGCTTCAACCCTGAAGCAACTGGGCATACAGAAGTTGAAGAATGAGCCCGTTAACGATAAATCGATGTTCATGGAGAAAGTTATCCAAGTAAGATTTGTCAATCATATGGACGATCTAGTGCGACAGCATTCATTGACAATAATTTGTCTTGGCGTAGATGGCTAGTAATCTCCCAGACAACTCGGAGAATCGCACCAAGGCCACAAACCTGTTTTTGAATCAGCTTTGGGACTCCTTACCCCATCCACCACTCTCGTGAGTATATTTGATGCAAGAAACGGTTGAAGCTTAATTAGGGCGGTGCTAATACAAGCATAGATACGTGGGCCCCGAGTATTCCTACCGATCCGCTGATGGCTCCAAGAACAACCCTACCTTGCCGTGGCTGGGTGCTGCCAACACGCCATATGCGAGATCGATCGCTCCCCTTACAATCCAGCCAGGTGGCTTGCCTGACGCGGGCTTGGTGTTTGACTGTCTCTTTGCTCGTGACAAGTTCAACCCTCACCCGAACAAAGTCTCAAGTCTTTTCTTCGACTGGGCCTCTTTGATCATTCACGGTGAGTTCACAATTATGGGTGACACAACGTCATGATTCCATGCTAAGGCTCTGCTAGATATTTTCCAGACTGATCCCAGGAACCCCCATATTAACAAAACTTCGGGTTATTTGGACCTCTCTATCTTATACGGTGATGTTCAAGAAGAGCAAGACTTGATCCGTACCCATCAAGATGGAAAACTGAAGCCTGATTCATTTTCTGAGCCCCGACTTCAGGCTTTCCCTGCTGCCTGCTGCGTTATGCTAGTGATGCTGAATAGGTTCCACAACTATGTGGTAGAACAATTGGCCGAAGTCAATGAAAACGGTCGTTTCACCAAACCTAGCCCTACCCTTAACGAAGAGCAGGCCAAGAAGGCATGGGCGAAATACGATGAAGATCTCTTCCAGACAGGTCGCTTGTATGTCCATCTTATGTCCCACAGATTAAGAGCTTTTCTAACCTACCGCAGAATCACATGTGGTTTGTATATTAATATTACCTTATATGATTACCTGCGTACGATCGTCAACTTGAACAGAGTTAACAGCACGTGGTGCCTGGTGAGTCGGCACTCCTGGTTGATGCTGCGAGGAGAACTAATCACAGACAGGATCCACGAGCGCAAATGGAGGGCAGCGATCCCACACCATCTGGCCTGGGTAACCAATGCTCTGTCGAGTTCAATCTTGCCTATCGCTGGCATTCTGCGATCAGCGCCAACGACGAGAAATGGACTGAACAGATCTATGAGGAGCTCATGGGAAAGCCCGCCGAGGAGGTTACAGTCAGAGACCTTAAAATGGGACTTGGCAAGTACGCCATGGGTCTTCCGAAGGACCCTTCGGAGCGTACCTTTGCCCATCTCCAACGTCAAGAGGATGGCACTTTCAAGGACGAAGAACTCGTAAATATCCTTGCCAATGCAATTGAGGACGTTGCCGGTGAGTTCCCTATGCAACAAGAAGTGCTGAACCAACAAACTAAGCGTCTTTCAATAGGATCATTTGGCGCCCGTAACGTGCCCAAGTGCCTCCGAGCAGTCGAGATTATGGGTATTGATCAGGCACGTAGCTGGAATGTTGGCTCCCTTAACGAATTCCGCAAGTTCTTCGACTTGAAGCCGTATGAGAGGTTTGAGGATATCAATTCCAATGAGGAAGTTGCAGAGGCCCTCCGTCATCTTTACGGCCACCCAGACTTCGTGGAACTCTACCCCGGTATTGTTGCTGAGGAGGCCAAGGAACCTATGGTACCCGGTGTTGGAATTGCGCCTACATATACGATCTCTCGTGCGGTTCTCTCTGACGCTGTGGCTCTTGTCCGGGGTGATCGGTTCTACACTGTAAGTTCGTCCTTCCCAGGAGATAATGATGCTGTTTGTCTAACGTGCGCTATAGGTCGATTACACCCCCAGGAACCTGACTAACTGGGGATACAATGAGGTTCGTTACGACCTGAACGTCAACCAGGGATGTGTCTTCTACAAGCTTGCGACCAGAGCCTTCCCGAATTGGTTCAAGCCTGATTCTATCTATGCTCATTATCCCATGACCATCCCCAGCGAGAACAGGAACATTATGAAGGATCTGGGTAGGGAGTCTCACTTCTCTTACGAACGCCCGTCCTTTACCCCTCCCCCTGTGAACCTGGTATCCTATCCTAATGTCAAGCTGGCTTTGGAACGGGAAGAGGACTTCCGCGTGGTCTGGAACGGCATCACCCCCCTCGCCTCTGCCAAAGGCGGCGATGATTTCTGGAGTAAATCATTGAACAATGACCAGTGGCGTAACAGCATTAAGGAATTTTATGAAGACATCACCGCCAAGCTTTTACAAGAAAAGTCTGGAAATCTTGCGGGAATCAAGCAAGTTGATATCACACGGGAGTAAGCTACCTTGATTAACATTACGGCCGCAGTACAAGAGCTGACCATGCCCGTAGTGTTGGAAACCTGGCGCCTGTTCACTTTGCATCGAAACTGTTCTCCCTTCCGTTGAAGACTAAGGAGAATTCGCGCGGAGTCCTTACCGACAACGAGACCTTCATGAGTATGGCGGTTATCTTTACTAGCATTTTCTTCGATGTCGATGAGGCCAAGTCTTTCTCTCTTCATCATGCGGCTCGCGCCGTCTCTCAGCAGCTGGGCCACTCCGTTGAGAGCCACATCAAATCTATCAACTCTCCTGGTTTCCTCAGCGGCATCATTGGTAATCGCCGTAATGATCACAACGCCTTGAAGGAATACGGTGATCAGTTGATCAAAAGGCTTCTGGAAAGTGGCTTGGGTGTTTCCGATGTCGCCTATTCTCAGGTTCTACCAGCGGCTGTGGCGATGGTCCACAACCAGGCTCAAATGGTAAGCTCCATCTATTCTTGTTACGGTACTTGTTGTTGACACCTTTGAACAGTTCACTCAAATTATCGACTATTATCTTTCTGAGGGCAAGAAGCACCTCCCTGAGATTAACCGCCTCGCCAAGGAGGACAGCAGAGATGCCGAAGACAAGCTGATGCGCTACTGCCTGGAAGGATTCCGCCTGAATGGCACATTTGGATCCTATCGCGAAGCTCAGACTGACATCAGCATGAGTGATGAGACCGGAAATGTCAATATCAAGCAGGGTGACAGGGTATTCGTTGGTGCTGTAAGTGTCTTCTCGATCAATATTGTCCCGCAAATCTCGCAGCAGTGGCATGACTAACATCCAACAGGTCAAAGCCAACCGTGATCCTCAGGTCTTCCCAGATCCCAATGAAGTGCATTTGGACCGCCCTCTGGAATCTTACATCCAGTACGGCCTTGGTCCACATACTGGCTTGGGCAAGGAAACGACCTTACTTGCATTGACGTCCATGCTACGTGTTGTCGGCGGCTTGGACAACCTTCGGCGTGCACCCGGCCCCCAGGGTGAGTTGAAGAAGGTCCACCGTGAGGGCGGTTACTACGTCTACCTGCGTGAGGATTGGGGAAGCTACTCTCCATTCCCAACGAGTAAGTCATCCCTGGTACAGCTCCTAGTGTGCTAGGAAGGAAACTAACCTCTGTCCTCTCTGTAGCCTTCAAGGTCCACTTCGATGGTGCAATTCCTGCTCCCAAGAAGCGCCTCACCTCCTAAATAACCGATATTTAGGCAATTGATCTAATCGTCGAGACTGAATAACATGTGATATTGTATTCGAAAATGGTTTTGCGAGATATCCTAGTTCTGTTTGAACTTGTATGCTTTTATGTTTAGTTGGTATTGACCCTATAATTATACACTACAAATGTAGCAACAATGTTAGTTCTTTGATTTTTGCCATGCAAAACTGATTACAAAGTTGGTTCTGATTTCGTTGAACGTGTTGAGTCTCTTAGCCTTGATGTTTTTTTCTATAGTCCTGTTCTAGCCGTAGCTGATCGCTGTTGTTCGGTCGTCAATTTGCCCATCTCCCTTTTCCAAAACCATAATCCTCGTATAATATTGATTCAAGATATAGTTCATGCCACACCAGGCTCGGGCTCGTCACCAGTGTCCAGCGGAGTCTTACCCAACAAGGCAAATGCCATACCCTCTTTTCTCCTACTCCGTTTCTCTAAGCAAACCTAAATACATTCCTAGTCCAACGACTCCTTCACGGGTACGAGCTCAATTCCCAAGCACGACTCAACCCTAACCGTGCAAAATCTGACCGACAGCTCGCCTTTAAATCGTCTTCACCCAAACGAACAACTTCCATCCAGACCTGAGAGATTGAACCAACCTCACTATCTGACAGGTACATTTGGTCATGACAGGTTACATATCATAATACATAAAGCTTCCGAACCGCCGAATAGGGTATCATGCCACCCAAGTCTGCTAAATATAGACTACATATCTAGCGCCAGCTTCCATCCCCACCGGACAATGGGGTATAGGCGGCGTAGTTGGGCATCTTAATATGGCGTGTCTTATCCTGAAGAGTGTCTTATAATAAGTTTTATTTTTATTCTTTTATTCTTTCGTTTCCTTCTGGGTTGTTCCCCCTGTGCCTTGTTTAGACGGTACTATTGCTTTCCTTATTAATCAGAAGGAAAGGTTGTGGTTCCAATGAGCGAGCGGATTCATATTTAAAAATAAGCTAGTCGGATACTATTGTTTTATAATTGGATAGTAGCTCGGGTTTCTTTCCCGGTGTTATCCATTGTCTTTTTTTCTTGTATTCCGTATTCTGGACGGATGTAATTTAATATAAATATAAGTAAGTCTGTACGAAGTATTTGGATATTTATGAGTCGTTGAGAAGTGAAACTAGTAAACTACTAATTGTACTCCGGAGTAAGTCAGACTTCATGGGGTTGATAATTGTCGCCTTACAATAGGGTGACTGATAGATCCAGCTGCAGGGGTGGTCGCTCATGTTTACCAGTGCCAAGAGTGGTGGTGGGGGGTGGAAATAATCAATAAATCGTCGGGGATTGTTTTTTGAGGGCTGATCCAAATCAAGCGGGGCCAATCCTTCCTTCAGGGCTGGTGCTTGTTCAGTCGTCAAATCTCGAATGTTGTCGCGGTTTTAGGGTTCCCAGCTCACTATTATGTCAATATCATACATTTCTGGATTAAGTCTGATTGGGAACACACTATCTAATTTGCGAACCATCCTAAATGGTTTTCAACCTCGAACAAGCGCATTTGGTACAGATATACAGAGTAAAAGGGGTATAGGATACTTGTAGAAACCCTCCCCCCCCTTTATCTTCAAGAAGAAGCCCTGAAGCTTCTACTAGCGCGAATTAGGTAGTAGGGACCGCCTTCCCAAATAGCCTTAGTCCCCACAGCGGAGACAATAAAACCCCACCGCCTAAGCTCCAGAGCGGAAATTGTTCCGGAGCTATTCACCGCCCGACAATCAACCTTTCTTTTGTATTAACACATCGGCTCAGAAAAAGCATCAACAACATCCACCCATGAAACCAGTCAATTAAAAACAAACAACCACGTAACCAATCCAACATGCCCCCCAAAGCCGCCAAGGGCGAATACATTGAAACAGTGCGTCTCCGTAACTCAATCTCTCCCCAAACCCCTCCCCAAACCCCACAATTCAGTTCACCCACTAACCCCCGGGCCACAATAAATATAGGACACAGGGAATAAAATCTCCCGCCGGTCTCAAATTCACGGAACACAGCATATTATCCTCGGTGGTAAAACGGTCATTCAGGGTGAGGCTGTCATTCGGGGCGACCTCTACCGTACATCCACTAGTTCCAGTGCAAGCGGCGACCAGGGAGGACAACAGCAGCCGGCGACATCGACGCCGTCCGTCGCGATTACGATCGGGCGCTATAGTTATATCTCAAAGCAGGCTATACTAAGGCCCCCCTCGAGATTACATCGGGGCGTGCATTCGTTTTATCCGCTGAAGATTGGGGATCATGTTTTTGTGGGGGAGAGGGCGGTTGTTGAGGCGGCTAGTGTGGGGAACCATGTCCATGTGGGGAGGGATGCGGTGATCGGGAGTATGGCTATCTTGAAGGATTTTGCATATGTGCTTGATGGTGCGGTTGTCGCGCCGGGCATGGTGGTGCCGAGTTGGTGTGTGGTTGGTGGTGCACCGGCGAGGATTGTCGGGGAGGTTGGTGAGGGGTATGGGGTTGAGGGAGCCGAGGGGGGTATGGCCAGGGAAAGGTACCGGTTGGTCGGGAGGTAGAGATGGTTGGGTTTGACGTGTGACGCTTGTGCTTTAGTTTTTTGTCTTTCGGTGTTGTTATTATACCCCCCCGCTGTTTTAAGAGTGTTCCTATATAGTTTCCATTTGTATTGTTTAACTACATCTTGCTTATTTCTTGAGATTTCATACGACCAAAAGCCACAGAATGACCTCTAAACTACCTGACGCCCACGAGTGGAGATTCGTTCACAGTCATTAATATCTACTATCCTTCTAAACCAGAACATATCGGTCTACTTTTGGTGTCCGTTCACGCCATTCTGAGGACAAAGCTCCCGCACCAATCTGCTTTCATCGCTTGTGTACTCTTGGCCCGCCTCGGCGCGAGCCATGTCGTTGATCCATCGCTCGTTCGGCTTGATCTCTTCGGACTTGGATAGCTTCGAAGCCATGTAAAGCCAATTCAGTGCGTTGCCGACGGTGCTCACTTCGTCGCACACGTTGTTGAGCGCGAACTTGTGCATGCGTTCGTACAGCTCATCGTCTGTGCAAAGGTCCAACAAATGCTGGGCCACCGCGTCGGTGTCCCCCACCTCCACAAGGAAGCCGTTCTGTTTGTCAGCCACTTGAAGGGGAATCCCACCAGCCCTGGTTGCGATAACTGGTGTTCCTTTGTGAATAGCTTCGGACACTTTAACTTCGAATCCCTCCTGCGTGGACAGTTGAAGAGCCACCTTAGCCTTAGAGAGAAGGGCATTCAGCAGTTGATCTGAAGGACCCAATCGCACAACGCAAATCTGCTCTGCGAGGTCCGGGAGGTTCTCCTCGATGTGCGTGACTACGGCGTCGTAAATCACCGTGCCATCTGGATCATCAACAGAGCCGTGGCCACAGATCAACAGCTTGGGAGCCCGTCTGTCGGGAAACGCAGCAGTGAACCGCCGATGGAATTTGACGTACGATTCCACAACCTCTGGAATGCCCTTCGACGGATCAAAGCGTGCGATTTGAGCGATGTATTCATCTGTTTCCATATCGTTATATATCAGTCCACAAGGTTCCAATATAACCGTGCTGCGTGGGTGACAGTAACGCACCTTCAGGGTAGTCGATAGTGGGCATGCCCGAGTTTCTGCAAGATGAATTGAAAACCCGGCCATAATAGGCAATGTCCCATTCTCGCATGTTCTTGTTCAGACCATCCAACCTAAAACGGCTTGTCAGTCACACCTTCCAGTGGCACTAGATGGGGACTACCTTACCAGTCCGTCGACGCAGGCATATATCCCACTTTCTCCCGGGGTACGTTCTTAGGTACAAAGGACTTCACGGGGTGGCTAATGTAGATATCTGCCAGTTTGATGGATTCCCAGAGCCGCCCCCAAGCTTCTGCCTGCGGGGTCCCCGGTTTATCAATCAAGTCACTGCGAAGTTGGATGTGACTGCGGAAGATAACCGGTCGGTCTGGGGCCATTTGCTTTGCAATGGGAATCAACGCGGGCATCTGAGGGTCATCAATAATCACCACGTCGGCTCCTCCGTCCTTGGGGTGTTGCAGAGGACCTCCAGGGATCAACCAGTATCTCTTCGCATTCTCATTGACCCACTCCGTCACCTGTGTCCAGTCCTCCTCGCTCAACCGCTCCTCGGGGGAAGCGACACCCTGCAAAATGTTGTGGTTGTTTTTGGTTACACGGAAGACGCCCGGCCGTGGCTTGGGCACGTACCTAGGCCCCAGGGTCAGTTGACGTCCGGCTGCCACCCCAGAAAGCCAAGTAACTTTTATGATTGAGCCTTACCATGTGATATCGGTTCCCAAGGAATACGAGAATCTCACGAGAGAATGTCTCATGAGGGCTACACCTCCACCTTGAGGGGTGGCGCTGAAAAAGGCAATTTTGGTCTTTCTTTCCTTGAGGTCGTTTGCATAATGTTGAACAGCCTTCCAGGTCTTGGGGTAAACTGTCTTCTGAAAATCCTCCAGGTTGGTCAAGCGCACATGGAATGCCGTGTCGACCTCTACTATACCAAGGAAGCCAACTTGAAGCAGGGGGATATTCTCTGGACCAAACAAACTAGACAGCAATTCAGTATATGTCATATCGCGTTAGAATTGATCTGACCTTACCGAACACATTTGCGACCCATTGATTCGGCCTGTTCATCAATGCCTCTAATCTTCCAGGTTGTGGTGTCCGGAATGCCGAATGTGAACTTGTCATCACCCTCCCTTCTACTTCCTTCGGGGAGGACTAGTGGTATGATATCAAGATCAGCCCAGAGGCTCGAGCACAGACTGGGGCATTGTTTCGCGATGCGCTCTGGCATTGCTAAGCCGATGAACTTCTCCATGTGAGCGTCACTCCATTCTCGCAATTGGTCTATCACGAATTTCTCCAGCACGGAGCATAAGGACTGGTCATCTTTTAGGGAGAGTGATTCTTGAATGAAGTCTAGGAGATAGGTGGTATCGCGAATGGCGATTGCAATTGTCACTGTTCCGTCCTCGAGTAACGTCGATAGACCAGCGTAGATGGTCTGGTGGGACGAAGAAGTTAGGGCTTGCAAAGCTCAACCGATGAAACAGATATACTTACCCCAGAGGGAGGTGCGGCCCAGGAATTGTTCTCATACTGTAGGGAGAGACGACGCTGCAGACGCAGAGACGAGCGGCGACGTAATATGGCGTTCGAATCGTCCGCCATTGCTCACTCAAATTAATTGTGAATACTATAGTTGGACAACAATGGATGCAGTAGGAAATGGTTTTATGGAGAGAATGGAAGACTGTGATAATCGTCTAACGAGAACAGAGTATACTAGATAAGCTACACATATATATAGAAATGATGATTCAAACCTCATGCCACAAGGCTTTTTTGCTTTGTTTGCTGTCCAAAAATCTGGGGTGAATTGAAATTGGGATTGGGCGGTCCGGTGACCTCATGATTCTCGGGCCATGACGTACAAAGTACAACATCGCCCGTGACAGGCATCAATCAAGAATAACATTTTCCAAAGGACGAGTACACACGCACATGTTCATTGGAACACGCAAGTCTCTCTAAAGACGCCTCACGAGGGACAGTGAGGGAAAAAAAAAAAAAAAAAAAAAAAAAAAAAAAAAAAAAAAAA